TGAAAGGTTGCCCGTGATTGATATTCCGGGGAGAGGATTAGCAAAGTTAATTTGGAGCTCGTCCTAAATATGCTAATGGCAAATAGGGAAGTCAAAACTGAATCGGTCGTTACTTCGGAATGTTCGTTCATACAGGACCGTTCCATTCTCCCTCGGTGGCTGACAGGACATGGAATAATAATACCGTCGTTTCTCCGGTCGAATGTAACCTCGCCGGGGTAGGAACGCGATAGGCATGCAGGTGCATAAAAATGCACCTAGCCGGGCGCATTCGAAGTACGAGCGACTTCATAAAATCCATCGATCACGCGGTATTAGGGAGGAAATATCGAGACAGTCGCTCGCTCAGGGCATGGGGAAAATGTTGGCATATTACAATCGGACCCCCTGCAGTGATGCGCAAAAACGTCGATATATTACCTGCGAATGTCGATATTTGTCTCGCGACCTGACCTCCTCGATATTCCCTTGAATTATTAGATTTGGCTCGTTGACCGATGGGAATATAGAAATTCGGCTCTGGGAACTGCCCCGGGATTATATTAAAAAACGCATCTGCTAAGCTGGCGCGACCGCTTTAGCACACTCAATTAAAATAAACGAGAAAGCTTAATGCTTTTTAACCGGAAGAATATCCACGCCATAATTTGTTGCTCGTCGTATTCCATCGGCCAGCCGAAAATGAAGAGAATTTAATTAACTCCGTCACCGAGGGAGCCGAGTCGAGCCTCGCGGAACCACTGCGCCGCATGCGTCGCTAAGCGTCGATTTTTCGCGACATCGAGGCTCGGTGGAAAAAAATGATTCGTATAAAAGTTGCACAGGGTGGGACGTGCGACAACTTTTGCCCGAACAGTTTCCTCGCCGCACGCGTGGTCGAGGGAGAAATCGGAGGTTTCATTTCTGCGGCCTCGTTCCTTCCACTCGACCGCCGCGCGGACAGGGCCGATCGATGCATCGCGCCATTATCCCGAAACGAGTCCGCGTTAAATCCTATCAATAATTCCGATTTTTCATCCACAACCCCCTGAAGGCTCGCTCGCGATCGCGTGCTAAAGCGGGAAAGATATTAAAGCTCATTGCGCTTTTTACTCCTCGGCCGGCGAGGTCGGCGGCCTCCATTCATTAGACTAACGATGGCGATTAATTACAAGAAGAAGTTTACCCCGTGCATGGGAGCCGCCCAAAGATGTGATCGATGAAAACGCACGATACACGCACGAGAGGGTGTCCATCCCCGGGTCGGCACTCGGTGTGGAAATATTCGGGAGAAAAATGTTTTCGGAAAATCCACCCGCCTGGGGGGATACGTATTGGGGAATTTTTCCCCCTTTTTTCCGGCGATTTCCGCCCCGATCGGGAGTGGCGTAGAGGCCTCGGAATGAAATCGCAGCCACTGGCTGGGGGTGGCTTCGTCCCCTGCTTTTACAGGGACATGCTTAGGGACGCAACCCCTGGTAGGCGTGTCCCTTATATTAGGTTTTAATCATTCAGGGGATGAAATTTTCGACTCGGGGGCGTGGTAGTCTGCTTCCCTGCCGGCTACACCCCTTCCTGCCCGGCTCCGACGTCCTCGCCGAAGACTTCCGCGACCAACCCTCGGGGATCCTCTTCGAGGTGCGATACCTGTCGCCTGGCGGATTAGATTATACCCCCTCTTTCGACGATTTCCGAGGCCCCACTAGCGGAGAAGCCACGTACCAATTTTGTTTCAATATATGGTCTTCCAAGGAGAGGAGATTTTCTCGTTTAACCTAGTCGATGGAAGAAGATGGATGGTCGAGCCGCGAGTGCTCGTTTGCAGAGGGGGTGTAGATAATTCAGGGAAATTTCGAAGTCGATCCGAAATCACTGTCGAAGGTCGAGGAGGCCAAAGTGTGATTGGTTTGGCACCCTCTCCCGGGACCCGGGAAACTTCCTCGTGGATCGGCACGGGCCGGGAGGAAACGCAAGCTGTCGGGAAAGTGCACGGGGAAACGTCGGGCTTGTGTTTCCGATACTCCGGGGACACTTGTCGGACTGCGAAATCGCGAAGTCTCCTAGGCGCGGAAACTCGCGGCGGAGTTTCGGGCTTCGCCCGGGGGCGAGACGTCTGGCCGGAAAATCGGTTCTCCTTTGCCCGGAAAAACGGGCCACAGTGCGCCCATTACGTGTAACGCTTGACACATCAACATTTGCATCGATTTTTCAGCGGCAAAGTCGGGAAATCGAATGGCTCCTTTCCGCGAGAATTGGATTCTGGAATTTGCTCGCCCGAAAAGGGGGAAATCGAAATCGCGCGCCGAAATTTTCCCAGAACTCCCCCGTCCAGGAAAGAGGAAAAAGGGGCTGACCGTATCCTAATGGGTTTATGCAAATTTTGTTTGTATCCCCGGCGATCGCCCAAGTAATTACGACGATAGGGTTGACACGCGAGCACGGCCAACGACTGCGGGAATACTTTTCTTCGTGCGGTTGCCGATGCGTTTTATTTTTTCGACAGGTTGAATCCTGAACGAATGTAATCTCGCGAGGAAAAATGTGCATCAGGGAAAATTAAAAGGGACGGTCGAAGAGAGATTCCCCCGGAGGGGCGAGAAATACCTTATCCCACCTGTTAGAGGTGGCCCGTGTCAAAGGATCGCATAACGAAGTGCCCTCGGAAGAAATGAACGCCCTCTGGGAAAAAAAATTGTCCAAATGCTGGCCGGAGATAAAACCGAGCACCCCGAGGACCTTCCCCGGAAATTAAAATGGACGCGCGACCTGCCGAGGGATCCCGAGAAGAATGGAGGCCGTCTTCGCCCTCGAAACTTTATCCCACCTATTAAAGGTGCATGTCGCGAGATCGCACAATAAACCACCCCCTGAGACCGGCACTGATTCCTCCCGGAAACTCCCCCAAAGAGCCTGGAGAAACCTGGAGACCCAGGTGCACCGTTCGATCGTCGGCGAGAGCAAGTCGCGGTCGTTGGGAACGGTCATTAAAGGCTGCCGAAAAATGCGGAGACACGTGGAGAGGACCCGGGGACGAGAAACGCGCTCGGAGGAACAATGACGTTAAAGTCCTCCGAAAAGGGGGCGAGCATAAATAAATAAAGAGGACCCGGGGGGCGAGCTGCGAGTAATTAAATTCTGAATGGCACTCGGACTGAATGCGAGCTCATATTACCCTCGACTTCACCCTCGGTTCGATCCCTCGAATGAGGGTTGCAGCTTCGCCGCCGAGCTTGGCAGCGCCAGGGGATAGGCCGGCTCTTCGGCAGGGAAACGATTATTAATTAATCCCAGGAGGGATGACAGCGGTTGCGATTCGCGACTGATCGATTTATTCGATGTTTCCGATTATTCGGACTATTCCGTCTATATTTTCCGCCCTTAACGGGTCTCCTCCTTCCGGAATTTCGCGGAGTGGAGGGTGGAAAACGCGATGCAGGTGACACAGAGGGGGGTTTTCGGGGGTGGGCGGGATGGGCAAAATTTCTCCGACTTCCGGACTCGAGCACGCGGGTGCAACAATGGCCACGGGTAAACGACGGACACGGGCATCCCCTTTGAAGAATTATCAACCCCCCGGATGCCGAGCCGAGTGATATCGACATTCGCGTCAGACCTCGACGGGCGGAAATGGATGAAAAATTCAGAGCACGGAAGCGCCGCGAAGCCGGTCCCTCCTCGTTTTCGGAGGATCATCGGGAAACGTCCCTTAAAAAAAAAAAGAAGAGAAAACGGAGGAAAAAAAATTGGAAAGCGATAGGGATCCAAGCTGCCGAACAACTCCCGGAGACTCGCCCGGAAGGGGTGGACGCGCCGGAAACCCTGCTCGAATATCCAAGGACCTCCGTCCGACTCAGCGGAAGGAGGAATCCCGGAAAGAAGCGAAATCGAAGTTGGGGATGGAAAAGGGAACTTGAGGGACCGAAGGGATTAAAATCTCGGAAATTGAATTAATCAATCCCGCCCGATCGGGGCGAGAAAAATCGGGTCGAGGCTTCTCATAGGAAACCGTGTCGAAAGGGTGCGGCCGAGATTGAAAAACATTTTCAGCGGGATATTCGCGGATTCATGTAATATACATGAGGGGCGGTTTGAGTGGGTCGAGATTCCTCGTAGATCGTCCCGATGGCTCTAATATGTCCCGGATGTTATGAAAGCCAATAGGAGCGAGTAAGGAGGAATCCATGGGCTTTTACCCCGAGCCGGGTTGGGGTCGCGGCTACCCCATATGAATATCGAAACGCCTCGGGGGCGGCCAACCCTCTGCGAGAAAAATCCGAGGGATGTTGTCCCGCTCGAGCACCGCCCGGGGAATGCCGGATTTATTATTGAACAATTAATTAAAAAGACCCGCCAAGACTGGCCCAGTTTCGAGCCGACCGTTGAAATATTCACCCCCGGGACAAATCTCGGCACTTCCGGGACTTTGCCCACTTCCGGCGAGACTTTTCGCCGCAGCTGGGAATAGAATTCATCCCGGAAGCGTTAATTCGGAATCCGGTCGTCGCGGGACGCCCAAAGTATTTTAATTACCACTCATGCCCCTCCGAGGACTGGAGGGAATATTTCGGATGGATTTATGGAACTTCGCCCTCTCCCCCCGAAAATATTCATTCGGGATCTTAATTATTTTGCGTAATTTTCTTCATCTCTTGGATGGATATTTTGGATTAATTGAATTCCGCAAAATGGACAGAGTCAAGGTTTAGGCCGAGTATGCTCGCGTCGCGTGTGCGTTCTCCACGGCCAATTGCACGGTAACGTCTAATGCACTCTGCGTGCATCCCGGTGTATACTTTAATACGCATTACGATGCGTATCGGTTACCCCATAAAGCGACCTTTGAAACGACGTCAAATGATACGACACTCGTATCGGTCAGCGGGTTATTAACGTTGCGACAGGTCGGAGATAACAGGGATATTCCATTCGTTAGAAATTCGGAACGTCTCGAGACGCCATGAAAATGGCATTCGAAGGCGCGTCCACGACGCGAGGGTCTTCTAACGAACGTTTGCTCGCAGGCAACAAACTCATCTGCGACTGCAAGCTCGCCTGGATCTGGGGCCTGAGGAACGAGACGAAGAACAAGAAGCTGAGGGATACTTTGGAGGAGCTAACTTGCTTCCTGGAGAGCAATAACGCGAGCTTGAGGTCGAGCCAGGAGGCCGGGAACGACCAGCCCCTCGGAGCCGCCGACCGAGGTAAGTTCCCCGGGGCATATCTTGATTTCCTGTTTGCCGATCGAATGCTCGAATTGACACGACCCGCTCTCCTTCCCCGAAGAATACCAGGCCGAGAAGCCACGAGGGGGGAACGAGGAAGACGCTTACATGGGCGACGGCGGGGAGTACTACGAGTACGAGGAGGAATACGAGGACGCGGCTTCGAATAGCAACGCTCTGCCCAAGGTAAGACGACCCCGAATTGCGCGGAGAGAGCGAGGGAGGCAATTTATCATACGAGGTGGCTCTTCGGGGTGTTGTCCAGGTCGAGGTCGTGGAGGGCAAGGTGGGGTACGTGCGACACCTGTTCGACCTAAAGCCGGAAGAGCTGCCCTGTCCGGAGCCATCCCGGGAGGACCTGATGGCGTCGGAGCAGCCGTCGAGTCACCGGGACCGAGCGAGGGCGGGCTCCTCGGGGTCCATATTCTCCCTGTCCTCGGCCGAGGCGCTCATCGGCAGCCGATCCACCCTGGGCCTCTTGCAGCTCCTGGTGGTCGCGATCTTCACGTAGAAGCGCAACGGCCGCCGCCGATGCGGAAGGACTGTGTCGAGTCGCGCCCGGGAGATCCATATCCGAGATCGGCTCGGAAGGTCGGAAAACGACTCGCCGCGTGGAGGCGCTTCCGGTCCAGGCTCGGCCCCTTTCCATTATTTTATTAATAAATGCAGCCGACCGGGCGGGTTGCACCCCTCGATTCGGGAACCTTATCAACCGCGAGTGTCCGGAACAGGCGCTCTCCCGGCTCCCCTCGTTCCCTGAAAAGCCGGACAAAGCCGGACAAAGCCGGACAAAACCGACGCGAGAGGACTGGGAACGCGGATTTTCCCCGCTCGGCTGCCGATCGGCGGAAATCGCCCTTTTTCCTAGGGTCTCGCCGACGACGTGCACCTAGCCGCGGCGCAGCCCTCGGTGGCTGCCTTTTCGCCGTTCCGACCGCGTTTCCTCCCCAACCATCGCGATTCCGGTCGTTGGGGAAACGTTGGAAAGGGAAAAAGTGTCAGCCGATGCGATGGCCGCTATCGTTCGTCGTTAACCTATCGGAAATCCCCCGTGGCCGAGTTAGGCTATTTATTGTTCCATAAGAGATGTTGCAAATCCCTCGTATCGTCGCCGTTTTTGAATCGTGTGCCGATTTGTCCCCGTCAGCTGATCCGCCCGGCGACAGGGAACGACGCACTTGCACAATGCTATTTCACGTAAGACAATCCAGTGTTAAGTCTCGAGAGATTAAATTTAAGGAACGGATTATTATAGAGATATGACGAAATATGAGGTGAGATATTAAGGAGAGATACGATTATTGGAGGATCCGGCTTTAGCTGCCACCGTGTCATTGTATTATAATACCAAATACCACGCACCACTAGTATATTTTTGCTTCTCTAGTGCCATTTTTAGTATTAGCTCATTATTTATGTCGAGTCGCGGTGATTAACTATTAACTTTCCGCTGGCTCCGATTGGGGCCCTTGCTTCCAGGAGGCGAGTCCTCCCTATGCGATGCGGGGATTTTTATTTAAATCGTAACATCGGAAATTAAGTTCCCTGGATTTTGAGAGAATATATTTTAAGTACCGTTTTCTAAAAGGGAATCCTTTTGTACAAAGGCTCAAGGACCGGGAAAATATTCCGGTGGCTCCTCCTTTATCGGGTCGGTATAATCGTTATCGGCGCGATCCCATCCCGGGTATCAATAAGGGAACGCGATCGGAAATAATCCCGAGGGTGTGGTCGTTAAACTCAATCGGGCATCGGGAGATAATTGTCCGATCTTAAAACGCCCTCGATAACCCACCCCGGCCCCAAGAGAGCGAATTACCCTCTCGGCATAATTGCAAGGACAGTTCGATAACGGAGGGAGTCATCGATTGGCAGCCCCTCGACTTCTTTTCCCGACTCCTTGACTCCTGGAGACGATTCCAAGGAATTGCGAGGAAGGGTTATTTATTCGGCATCGATTTGCATCCCCGGTCTAAGAGAAAAATGGAACCGACGGAATTCCGAGATCCGGGGCCCCAACGGGTCCTTCGGATGCGGCCATTATTAATTACCTTTAATTAATTACCCGGGCTACTTTCACTGCCGCGTGAGAGATGCGTGATTTTGCGCCAGCGAGGCAGGAGTGTGAGGTAAAAGAGTGTAATCAGAGACGAAGGCTGACAGTAAATTCGTTTATCTAGGTACATACGCACAAGCTTTAAACACGCGGAGGTGGTGCCAGTGAGCCGTCTCTAGCTCGGTGTATGCGGTATAATCAACTTCCATAAATTACCATACTCGCGTTACTTACATACGGTCATTTATCTTTCGACTCACACTCGCGCCAACTCCAGAGGGAGCCAAAAGGAGGAACTGCGACGCGCCGATTTTCGAAATCCGACCTCTTAAGGACTACTCTTATGGATTCTTCGCTGTAACGTGTATTATATGTTCTTTTGTAAGACTTAGCGATAACTGGATCAATAAATCGAGGATACCATTACCCGTTGTCAGTCTACCGTGGAACCGAGGCGAGACCGTAATCAACGGTACACCGAAGTCCAATCCTTGTGCACCCTTTTTCGTGAACTCAGGTAATAAGTCCTGCAAATTACATTAAGCGACGTCAAGGAGGACTCCTGACCTCTCCCGAGGCCGGAGAGCCCGATTCTCCGGAAACTCCCTTTTTTATTCCGTCATTTTAATTAAATCGTTCGCTTAATTCCCGGCGACTCATCGGAGAGCTCCAACTAATTATCAAGAAATCCAGAGCTTGCATTAGAAGCGCTGATATACCCGATCCGATCCCCCCCTTACCTTATCGATCGTGCAACCCTGATCTCGGAGATCGCAATAATCGATTACGAAACGATTACGAAAAAAAAAAAAAAAAAAAAATAGTACAAGCCCGGCTTGATCCTCGCTTTCGATCCTTGCGATCTCTTGAATATTTTGAGAATATCTCCCGGAAAAAAACGGATTAAAAATCGAGAGTGGAACTTGTCGCACCTTTAGGGTTTTTATTAATATTAATTAAACCATCCATTTAATTCCGAGGAGTTACTACGAGGAGTGCTACCGGTAATTATCAGGAGCTTGCATCGAGAGCTCCGATTAAACGTACCCCTCTCTATCCTTCGTCCTATCCCGAAGAGCACCTTGATCTCAGGTCGGATGCTGCGAACAGGACTCCGTAATCTCATTGCGTACGTATTATTATTAATCCACTTGTACCGTGCATCCTTCATCCAGTCATTGTTATTCCAAGGAGCGATAGCAATCGTAAATCTGCGCTGCTTCGCTGGAGCCAGGAAAGTTCCCGGGTCTCCAGGGAAGGGGGGAAGGGAGAGAAAGAGAGAGAAACAGTCCCTCGGGAGTTTCTTCCGTGTCCCCCGTGCGTAAAGTTCCGACTTAAACTTTAGACTTATGATTAGTAGTCGGATCTTTATTAGCGGCAGATTACGGAGTCCGCGCGCTGTCCCATCTCGGCCGGTCCAGGGGAGGTTGAAGAATGGCGCGACATAATTAAAAATGAATACGCCCTGTCCTGCACTTTCGTCATATTTTTCTTGTCACCTCGAAAAAATGCCGTCCCTTGTGAATAAATCGGGGAGACGGAACGACGTTTACCTGGAATTTATTTCTACACGCAGGGAAATTAATCGTTTGTCCCGGGAGCTCGGAGTCGCGGGGACAAAAAGTTTCAATTACGTCCGGACAATGTCTGTCGGGGTTACGACGCGGTTTTACACGTCGGAGGGTGTACACGATGTACACGGTTACGGCAATATTTTTCTTTGTGTCAAGTTGACCCGCCATTGTGGGGAATCGCCCGGCATGGTGATCAAATTGCCCGGCTGGCCGATGCATAATTATCGTGTACCGATCGATTATTGTTTCGACGGCGAACCGACCTATCAGGGTGCTTTTCGATAATCACCGCATTTTTGGCTTCGACGTGATTTCCGGGGTCGCCTGCGTGCCTCCCTCCCGTCCTACTCCCATTTGTTCCGGGCTAACGTTTACAATCAATTTTTCGGATCGTGTAACTCCATTTCATTTTATACCCGTGCATTTCCGGCGAACTCGACGAACTTAAACACCGTTCATTTTACCTCTTATTTTAATTTAATATTTACCGTGCAATATTTTTTTTTTCCCAGAGGCGAGATCGTATTTAATAAAAATGTTATGGGGATGTTCCATTTGGACGGGAATTATTAATTAGGAGTGCGTGGATTTTAATAAGGAGTTCCAGGAATTATCAGGGCTGATTTTAGAGAGCCTCTCGAATTTTCTCACCTCCCTGATTGGACGAAACGCGAATCGTTCTACGCGATCCACCCCCGAAATCGATGGTTTCGCGGGTATATAATTATCTCCGTACATGCGCCTTGGATGTACATATCGCTTCTCCGCGAAATCGACCTATCGGAAGTAGCCCCCGATGAGACCCGGTCCATTTTATTCCCGATCCGGTAACTATCATGGTTCAGTTCCTTCCCCACTTCCATTTTCATGGACACCTTGGGATTTCCTCGCCGCTGCAGCCAAATTGCCTCGTTCCCCGCCATCTCGCCACATAATCGTCAATGTACGTGCATTGTATTAATACATGTCCGTATATGCGGAGTTAGGTGCCAAAAGAGCATTGTTCGCGAGCCAATGAACCCATCATAGAGAACCTCTCAATAATCGAGGACGCCTTTTTCACCCTTGATTCTATTTTTGCCACGGTTATGGATTTTAACTTCTTTCCGTCGCGGGCACTTGCCAGTGGAAAAACACTCGAAGGAAAAATCGGATTGAACGAACGCGGTAACGCGATACCTACAGTGATAACGAGGAATTACTCCGACTAGTCTCCCAACTGCTGAAATATGCGACGAAAAGAGATACAATAAATCCTCATTCCTCCCCGTCCTACTTTCAATTAGCCCCTTCAATTGGCAAGGGCGAGGTTTCGAGTTTCGCAGCGAAATTCCACGGCCCTCTCGCCTATTTCTGGAAGACGCGACCACGCGAATTATGTAAAAGGCCAATTGTTTCTTATTCTTCCAGCCGAGTTTATATAAACCAGATACGGAATCCAGAGAGATGCACAGTGCCCGGGAAACTCGGAGCAAACTCGCCTCTTCTCGCGCCCTTGCTTTAAAATCGCCTAATTCCGAAAAATCACCGTCGCCCACGTGGTCGACGTAAATAAACAAAAGAAACAAAATCGCACAAAAACGCCTCTTCTCGTGGTAAAAAGGAAATATAGGCTCGAGCAATTAATAATTTAATCGGTAGTAAATAAATTGCATCGCGTGGCGGATCGAGCCCCCGGCGGTGATTTGTCAAAAATCCTAAGGAAATTAATTAGTTGTTTAATACCCTCGGGGTTTGTTCTCCAAAGTCAATTTTGACGTTCAACCTTTTTCGCGGACTTTTAAAGAATTGATCGCAGTCGCCGAGTTTTGCGTGAAATTTGCAAAAGCTGCGCAAAGGGAGGTATAGAAGCACATCGTACGTCCTCTCCTTTATTCATGTGTTTGGATTCGTTTCACGTCGCGTGTCGCCGATTTATTTCTCCGAGACAAGGAGAGCGACAAAAAGTCGAATAAAGGCACAAATGATCGATGCGACCCCGATTACTATCGACGAGTCGCTTTGACTCGGATATCAATCGAAGTCAGTTTTCCGCGATTTTCCGGCGCGAAAGGCGCCCGTGCAAACCTCTCCGAAGAGTCAGGGTTTTTTTTTTTTTTTCAATCACAGAGTGCGGTTTTGCCGTAAAGCATTGAATTCGGAGGACTTACGGGTTTACGGTCGAAGCGACGCGTAGGTACAGGGAACGCTGTTTGCGAAAGCCCCAGTGGAAACCGACGAGCCCGAATTTGCGAAAATCGTCATTCAAAGCCGCGGCCGTGCCTCTCTCGCGTAAAGCACGCGTTGTCGTGATCGTTGACTGTAATTCGCCGTCAAATCCGTCGACATTGAGCGAATAGCGCATATCCGTTAGGGTGATTGGAGCGGCGAGGTCAGTTCGCATTGGACGGCCGACCGGAGCAATCGCCGGAAGGGCCGATCGAAATCTGCCGAGGTAATCCTCGAGCAAATCTCGCTCGGAAAGGCTAGGAAAAGCTAGGAAAAGCGGCGATTCTTGGTCGAGCGAACTCGCTTGTTAGGCGGCCAAACGAGCACCCATTGAACATGGCAAAGGTACGGAAAAAGACCAAGAGCCCTTTACCCCCGCTCGGACTCTCGTCGAAATTAATTATCTAACTAGGAAGAACGTCCTCGATAATATTCTCAAAAGACTCCACATCCGGAAAGTTCCTGGCAATTTGTGGAATTTTTTGCTTATATTTAATTTCGAGATAAAGATCGAGGTGAAAAAAAAATGGCCAAAGCGAGAACCGCCTGTATCGATTCGGGGCGGATTATCGGAGAGGGTATAAACGTCGCGGGGGCATGAGATATGTCACCCGGGGGTTTTGGTCACCAGGTAACGTTTTCGCAGTGCTCGGAGAACCGGCAGGTGATGCTGCTGGTGATAACGCAGGTAGTGGTTATCGCGCTGATGGCCACGCTGACGACCTACGGACCGGAGGCGAGTCCAACTCCGTCGAGAAATCACTTGGGTGAGTTTCCGATGAGCGACGGCCAAGCGTTAACCGTATTAACCGTATTTCAACGTGACCACCGGTGCTGATCCAGCTAACCCGGAGTCGCGCATGACGTGCACGCTCTACGTACAAAGCTAGGTGTACGAATGTGCATCGTCGCGCACGCGCCAGCCACGCCGGCCCCCTAAAACACCGGGATTAAACTTTCAGGTGCAGGAGGTAAATCCGACGTTAAGTCATCCAGGAATCCGATGCGAATTTATTCGAGTGAGTATGCGCCAGATTTCCGAGCTTAGAAAGTTTTAAGCTTCCACGCTAACGAGCCGAGATAGCGGATCTGCCTTTTGCACGCTGTCTTCGTCCCGCGATAAGGCTAATTTCCCCCCTTCCGTTTCCCTCGAATGATCCGCACGATATCCCACGGAAAAAAGAAACTTTGCCATCGTCCCCGACAGCTACGAGACAACTACATTTTTATGCCAGTCGATGGATTAAGCGGGGTTTGGATTCCGCCATTTCTTTCTCCACGGGGTGGCCCTGAAAACGGCGCGACTCCTCGGTATCGCGGGGGATGCCTGCCGGTTTTTTGCGCGAAGGGGTTGGTGCCGGTAAAAAGTGCACCTCGGTGCAATTACTCCCGAGCGTTACGCGCTAAACGTGTCCGGAATTGCTTCGCGGTCTCCCCGAAACGCGTCCACGGTTGTTCGGAAGTTCCTCGGGATGCGAGGAGGAATGCGCGGGGCATTAAAATACCCGCAAGAGTCGGAAAGCATCCTCTAAAAAGTGGGACGCGATGAATGCATCCCGGCGGTAATGCCCTTGCACCTCGAAGAGAACGATATCCCTACGATGACCGTCGACGATCGCTTTCGGCCCTTCCTCTTGACCGGATTCATCCCCTTGACTATAAACCGTCGCGTGGAGCAAGTATAACGATCGGAAGCGTCGATTGCCCGTTTCGTTGAGCCTCGGATCGCAAAGGGACGATGTCGTTCTCCGTGAGCATGCATCTCTGCATTTTCGGCATACGCGAAGCGCCGTGTATCCCATCCCAGGAACGGACGCAAATTTCCCCGACACGGTCCTGCTGGCTCGATGCATAAAACACCGAATTAGGAAGGCTACAGGGCGTTCCAGGGAGCGGCCGGAGTTCTCCGAGGTTCTCCGAGGTTCTCCGAGAACCCTCGGAGGCCTCCTTCGTCCTGGTCGAGCATTATCGGGCGCTTGTTGCATCCACCTCGCGATTGCACCCCGGAGACCCCGGGATCGACCCCGGGATCGACCCCCGGACCGCTCGATGCGCATCCCAGACATTTCTGACAACTTTAGCGAGGTTTCCAAAATTCGAGGGATCCGAATGCTTCCGGAAGCGACGGGCATCGAAATTGCACGACCCTCGTTAAATTTCTCTGGATTAAAAAAATGATAAAAATGATAAAAATGATAGAAACGTATAGAGAAAATCTAAAGGCAACCCCTGAATTCTAAAATCCCGAAGACTCCAGGGATGAGTGGTCCCCGCGGTGTTCGGCCTGCCTGCAGCTGCATAACGCATCCAGAGCCTCGCATCTTCCCGAAGTCGAAAACTCGTAAAAACGCATTCCGAATGCCTCGGAATCCGAGGCCCCTTTCCGCGGGCGCATTAGAGAAACGCGAAACGATTCGCGGATTGCGCGCGAAAGACGGTAGCCGGAGCATTTTCGCGCGGTGCGGTGCGGTTTGGAAGAGAGATGCGAGATTCGGAAGAGGAAGGGAAAAAAGAAGAGGAAAGGAAAAGAGCGGATCGAATCCAAGGCGAAGCCTTTATCGCGGGCATAAAGAGGGAAATGGGGTCCACTATGGGGAGGTGTCGTTTTCCGGGCTCCGGCGGTGGAACGGTGAAATTCCCTCTGTATCCTCTCTGGAAACAGTCGCCATTCGACCCTGGATCCGACCCGAAGCGGCGAGATCGATATCGACTATGGAATGGATCTCGGCTCCGCGAGATTTGCATTATAGGGAGCCGAGAACGGAGCCAGTCGCGGATCTTCGGCGAGTCGGCGAGTCGGCGAGTCGCGATCGCTCCAAGAAAAATCGCTCGTTGGCGGATTTCCCTCGAAGAAGGGGCCAGGCGTAGAAAATCGAGGCGGTCCTCGATAAGCCAATAATAAAATTCAGTTTGGTCCCGATCATGAGCGTTGGTTTGGCCCATGGAATCACTCTGCTCTTCATCCAAGGATTCCTGATTTGCGGATTCCTGGCCACCTTCGATTACGCCCCGGAAGCCAACGCTGCTTACCGGCAAAACAGCTTCTCTCCCCATCTAAATGGAGAGACCAGCTCTTTGCCGGTACGATTCACACGTAAGTCCTGAAAGGTATCCTTTGAACTCGCCGGATCCTCGTCGAAAGCGCTTCTTACGGTGAAGCTAATTAACGGAAAGCTCCGTCAACGGATAAAATCGCGGTCATTCTTAGGACGTTAAAGGAGAAAAAATATCAAAGAGTTCGCTTTTACATGAAGCATGTAAAAAATGGTACCAGATCCTCGCGCATCGATTTTTCTCCGGGCAGGCATTGGAACGACACCCGGGTGGACTCGTCCGGGCCGATGGACAGTTAGCTGATTTTCTATCAATTCGGAGGAAATAAAAGAGAGGGCGAGACGTCGTTTCCGATTTTCTTGAAAGGTTTAAAACCCATTAGCCCGGGCTGCGCCCTCCGCTCGAAGAGCGGGGCGAACGAGTGGCTGCGATAAATGGTAAAAAAGCGGAAAAGGCGGTCGCGTTAAGCCGAGAAACCCCGGAGCCGGGACTCTTATTAAATCCGACACAGATGAAAATGTATTCGAATAAAGTCGAACCCGAGGCCCCAGGGGTCGGGTCGGGTTCCGTAAAGAATTCGCTCGTCCGGTCGGGTCCGAAAAGGACGGAGGACGGGAAAAAGAGATCCACGGGGGTGGGAAACGGATCTCTGACAGGGGGCGAGACGGCGACCGGCGCGGGATAAAGGAGGTAAAAGAGACAAATCGTTGCATACATCGAACCGAAGGAGTCTCTCTCGGAGAGACTCGAGATTGCACTTCGGCGCCCTCACCTCTTTTTCGCCTTTTCCTCCGGGTCCAGATTTGTCAAGCCGGCCCTCCCTCGAGAAGCGCAGCTGCAACCGCGCGTCGCCTTTAACCGCATGCGGCCTTTACTCTGTCTCTCTTTTCCTCGGTCCCTAAACGGCTCAGTGTATCAAGATGTCCACGTGATGATCTGGATCGGATTCGGCTTCCTGATGACTTTCTTGCGCCGCTATGGCCAGAGCGCCGTAGGCCTGACCTTCCTCACCGGCGCCATATTGGTGCAGGTCGCCATCCTCTGCGATGGAGTCGCCAATTGGAGGAAATCCGAAAAAGCCCCACTGTCTCTGCAAGGGTAAGTTAAAATAAATTCCGAAATGCGAGATAAAATTAATCGGCAGATGCGGGAGGGAAAATGAAACGGTGCCGGTTACTCCTGACGGGATGGATGGAAGCGTCCAGCGATATTTTGTTTCGAACACGGTGCCAGGACCACGGATTACTAATACGCTAATATAATAATCGCTCGGTTAATTGGGATTTTGACCACTCGAGTACCCGCCGTCCGCTCGCGCCCCGACTTTTTCCCCTCGAGAATAGAGGCGAGGTCATTTCCATTGCAGATTGCTGAGCGCCGACGTAGCCGTGGCAGCGCCCTTGATTTCCATGGGAGCTCTTCTGGGCAAAACGACCTACATGCAGCTCATTTTCATGGGCATCCTGGAACTGATCGTGTACACCGTGAACAAGCACATCGGCGAGCACCATCTGATGGTAATTTAAAAAAGAAATCTCTAAAGAAGAGGGATAACGAGAATACGCACATCGTTTCGCCCTTCCAGGCAGTCGATGCCGGGGACAGCATGTACGTCCACGCCTTTGGAGCTTACTTCGGGTTGGCCGTCAGCTTCGTCTTCGGGGTCAGGGACAAGCCCAAGGAACACCCCCTGGAGGGCCCCTCGTACCAGTCGGACATTTTCGCGATGATCGGTGAGAATTCTGGTCGCTTCGTTGTCCTCGTTCCTTCCTCGGACTCGAGATCGGACGTCCTGTAAGGGTCCTTTTGATCGAAGGTACCGTTTTCCTGTGGCTCTTCTGGCCCTCCTTCAACAGCGCCTCCCTGGAGGGGGATGACCAGCAACGGGCCATCATCAATACCCTCCTATCGATCGCGGCGAGCTGTGTGATCGCTTTCGCAGTTTCCGTCTTGGTCTCGAAGGAGAGCAAGTTCAATATGGTCCACGTGCAGAACTCCACCCTTGCGGGAGGTGTCGCCATCGGTACTGCGGCAGGTAATTAGCGATTGACCCGTGCACATCCGAGGATATGTAGATGGTTCATTGATGTGGCGGGTGGTTCACGCCTTCGTCCATTACGCGGCACCCCGAAGTACCGTCGCCCTCGAGTCCACTCACGGAATTCACTCTCCGGTACCGCCCGAGGTGCTCGAGGAGCGACCACGTGGTGTCCGTTCGAAACAATTTTATGAGGAATTAATTCCGACATAATACTCGCAATTTGCCTTCGGTCGGGAATCACGGAGTTCGCCGGTAATTCAATGAAACCGGGTTAGCCGATGTAAACCCTCGCAATAACGCGGACCTAGAAACTGGGAAGTGAGTTTCAGCGGGATTGATCGGTCCCTGACCGATGCTCCGTTCTCACGCGAGATCTATCCTATAAATCCTGCAGGTTTAGACCCCGCTTGGGTTTTCGTTTTGCCAACGAGTTCGTTCGCTCCCGCGGCCGCTGTGGCCACACAGAAATGAATGCATCCCTCGAATCCGTATAACCACCGGCACCACGTGAAAACGCGGAATTCGACCGATGGACGTTTAACCGGAGTGCACTTCCTGGTGGTTCCGATGTTCCCTGACTGTATCCTAAAAGTGACGTTTAATAGCGGAGACCGCGAAGAGGAATTACTTCCACCGGGGGACCATTACCGTAGATAGAATTTTTACGCGGTTAAAAATATTCGCAGCTTTTCTTAACTATCAATGAACCATGGTAGTTAAGCTAGATATCGATGGATTAAAAATCATTCGCGATCGTTACTAACGCAATTATAATTTCAGGGATGATGTGCGAGCCCATCGGAGCTCTGGTGGTCGGATGCGCTGCCGGTGCACTTAGCGTACTTGGGTACAAGTACCTTACGGTAGTTTACAATCGGATTTACCATTTTTATCCTAAGTTGGACATCCGAGATATTCGATTTTCACGAAAAGGTCCTCGGGTCTTTCGATAGCGGAGCGTTTCGATCAGGATGCAGTTTGAAAATTGATAAAAGGTGCGACCGAGGATATTTCTCGGCTTCCGGGAGTCGGGACATTCCCCGAAAGCCCGCAGATCGGAAACCCTTAATAAATCAGACGTTCCTGGCGAGTCAACGCCAATCACTGTCGCAACGTCAGGAGTCCCGGGTCTTATCCGGGGTCCAAATTGGATATCCAAGGGCCGAATCGATCCCGGACCTCTGCTCCGAAGTCCCCGAGGACCGAGTGTAAATTTGCCGCCGCTAATTCGTCCCCGATAGGAAGTTTTCGCAATTTCGCAGTTTGACTTGCATAAATCCCGAAAGGAGGTCGGAGGCCGAGCCAGCTTCGCCCGGACCCCCCGAACCCCCCGAACCTCGACCCAGGGGCTCGAACGTGACGCTTCCTTCTCGTTTCAGCCAATAATCCAGAAACGACTGAGAATCCACGACACCTGCGGCGTCCACAACTTGCACGGGATGCCGGGGGTCCTCGCGGGACTCTTCGGCGCCCTCATGGCCGCCATCGCTACGGAAACGACCTATGATTATTCCCTCTACGAGGTGAGGAAATGAGTACCTACCTCTAATTATGACTAAACAGGGACCAACTTTTCACGGCCCTAAACTCGCAGCTCGTGTTTAAATCCGCTCGAACGAAAACCGGCTTGGGATCACTGGGATCCCTGCGAATCCAAAATGGCGGCCGGTGACCGCGCCTCGACTGACGATATACCTTAGAAAAATTGGAAAAAAACGCTAACGTGATCGAGTTAAGACGGTTACTCGCGGTAGAAAAAAAATAGATTTCAGGTGTTTTTCGATTTTTTCCATTTTCGAGGGACTTTGAGCAACGTAATCGTCTTAATGTCGCCATATCTATTTGCAGATCTTCCCGGCCAGGGCGCCGAACTCGGAGGTGAAGCTCGCGGAAATGAGGGACAATTACGGGATATCGGCGGGACTTAATAGGACGGCCGGACAGCAAGCGGCATATCAATTATTGGCTCTGTTGGTCACTCTGGGGTTAGCCGTTGTTTCGGGGTTAATTACAGGTAATCAATCTTGGCCAATCGCGCCGACGCGACGGCGATGGCACCGAAGCGGACGGGACCCGTGTTTGCCGTTATTCGTTCGCCGATAATTCGCTCCGTTTATTGGACGCGTGCTGCCCAGGATGAAATTTCGATCATATTAATTCACCCTACGTGTTATTGCCCGTGATAATTGGAGGACATTGTCGCCGATTTCGCTTCCCCGTTCTCCAAAATGACGGCGCGGATGTGCAGCTACTCTTTTCGAAAGATTTGCGAGATTTGCCGAGGGAACGGGCACCTTTTTGTTTCAGGACTGATTCTGCGAGCGTCGTTGTGGGGCTCCATAGCGGAGGAGCAAAAGTTCGATGATTCCGTTCACTGGGAACTCGAGGAGGAAGCGGGCCATGATTTATCGTCGAAGAGCAAAGAGGGAAGCAGTCGAGTGATCGATCAGCTGCCGATGGCACACATCTAATCCCTGAATCCCCCTCCTCTGCGTTCTCTAAAATCGAAAAGGTGATTGTGTACGCAAGTCGCATGGCCGTAGCCAAGTGACGTGTTCGTTTGAAGATAGAAAAGAATTTTCTACGAAACCCAATGGGCAAGTTACCGCAACCAGTACGCGAGCAGATGTCCTTGTTTTTTCTTTTTTTCTTTTGCGACGTAGTTTATTCAAGTTTTCTATAAAATATTCTGTTAAATCTATCTATACAGTATATTATGTAGACTGTAAAAAGCCAAGTATATTCCTACATTTTCTATCATTTTTTCAAGACTTCTTGTTATACCTTCGCAGTGACCTCGCGGTAACTTCCTTTGTACATGAGAAAAGATTATCGATAACTTCGGAATAAGAACGAGCGAAGTGGGCAAAAATTGATTGATCTGGATATATATATATATTGCTGGTTCACTTCATCAGCGCGTGAACAACCGTCTTAACGTTCAATGATTTTAGGTCCGTGTAGGTTTGACCGGTTCCCACGAAGACGATCGGCTGACCAGTGATATAAGTCATGGAAATGGCAGCTCCCACCTGCGAAGAAAAATCCGTTTATAGATTGTAATGTAAATAATGATTACGGCTTGCGATCACTTCGCCTTATAAAGATTCGAATACCTTGTCATCGATTGTGTCAAACTTGGTCAGGACGATTCCATCGATTATATGAGGATTATCGGAATTACTGTAGTCGGCGAGAGCTTGATTGAACTTTACCAATTGATCGACTGCTTCGTTTCCCACTAGAGCCTCCCCGACAAAAAGTACCAAATCCGGTTCGTTCACTTTAATCAGCTTGGCCAAAGCTCGCATCAGTGGCTCGTTGTCTTGCATTCGACCAGCGGTATCGATTAAGACCACGTCTATCATGGAATCGTTCGCATAGCGAATAGCTTCCAGGGCAATTCCCGCGGCATCTTTCCCATAACCCTTTTCATACAGCTGGACCATGGTCTGATTTCCGTGTTTCTCGGGCGGATGAAGTGCATTCAAGTGTCGCATATGTGTCCTTAGCTGCTCCACAGCACCGGCTCTGTTTTCAGGTCACACGAAAAAATATATATTTCCAACTGAAACTTTCGAAAGTAGGGAAACGGAGATAAGCGAAACTTCGGAAAAAAAGTCACCTGAATGTATCACAGGCAGCAATGAGAACACGAAAATTATTTTCAATCAGCCAGAAACAGATCTTGGCCAGATTAGTGGACTTTCCGACACCGTTAACACCACAAAACGTCATTACGTATGGTCTGCCCTTATTCTTGGCCTCGTAAGCATCTCGAAGAATATCGATTCTTCTTTTTGGGGACAGAATCTGGACCAGAGCTTCTTTCAATGTATTTTTAACGGTGCTCGTCACGCTGGCAAAGGTACCTAATACCTTTCCTTCCAGCTTCGTTCGAACGGACTCGCAAAGCTTATGAGCAATATCAGCGGCGACGTTCTTTGCAATAAGATGATCTTTCATTTTTTCCAACACCGGGACCATATCTTCGTGTTTCAATGATTTATTTTTCACTAGATTCTTGAACATGGCAAGCATTCCGCTGGACTTCTTATTCTCTTGGGGCTTAACAAAATCCTCCTCTTCCGCTTCGTAGTCATCCTCGGAATCGCTGTCAACTTCTAAATCCTGTATACCTCCTTTCATTTTTCCAACTAACTGAAAAGTATGCAATTTTTTAAAAGAGGTATCTTAAACAACGTTTAAAACTGTATTGAATAATTTTACATACGTTTATATCAGCTTGAATGTGATCGGTGAAGTCATTAGGTTTATCCTTGGTACGTTCTAAAGAAGGTAGATCCTTCGCGGTACCGTGGAGTTCCCATACACGAGGTTTCTTTCCAGCCTTTTCAGGCTTTGGACTTTTCCTAATAAATTAATCCCATTTTTATATTAAAACTGTGTAAATTAACGTTCCTACTTAGCCAGTTAGTATATCGCAATGCCCTCACTGTTTATTGACGGTCTTTTTTGGCTTTTGGAATTTTTGAGCAAGCTTCAGCCGATTTGCCATCAATACCTCGTCGTCTAATTCACCATTTTGATCTCCTAGTGACATCGGCGATTCAGCTCTCGGTAATTCAGCTTTTGGCTGTTCTTCAATTTCTGTTAAAGATACATTTTTTCATATTAAATACCCGACTCCGGTGTTGGGGCCAGTAATAGTCAGTAAACAGTAAATATTAAGGAATACTTATAATTAACCCTTATAAAAAATGTACCACAGAAATTGTTAGTGCGAAAATTAAGTAAGAAGCGATCGCTTACCCTGACTAATCTCTTCAGCACTGACTAACTTCTTTTTACCTAAAAGGCAAATGAAGGGGGTCACTAACCCATTACCAATTATGATAACCCATAATATTAAGGTTTTTTAAACTACAGTTAAAGCGAAAGAGACCCGTTTTAATAAATGGTTAAAGAAACATTAATTTAGTGTTAATGCTTTTGTATTAAAGGTATTAAAAATATTTGAATAAAAAAAACCATGTTAATGGTTTTTCGAAAGTAGCACGCATGTAAGATGGTTTAGAATACACACATACCTTGTTTTTTAATGTCTTTGTCGTTTGTTCTCTCAATCATACTAGCTACAGTTTTCTTAGATTTTTGACTCTCATTGAACGATCGCATTTGCTTAGGTAATTTAGTCACCATCTTTCCCCACTCTTCGCTGTCAGCCAAAATGCGACGAAAATCATCTTTAAATTCATAAGTGTGAAACCACTTAAAAGCGCTTAATTCACATCTGAAACGATCTCTAAATTCTAAATGAATATCATTTAAAAATTTGTCTATATAAGATAACTGCAATATTTTCTGGTATGCAACAACAAACACCAATTCGAACTCGTTATCCAGCTTGTACTGGAGTCGTAGAGAATCATGTTCAAACGTATGATTCCCAGTTCGTTCCTGCAACAATCATTAAATAAATGCCAATTTTCTACATTTATTAATAAAACATATACGTAAGAACTATATTTATCACATACTTTTGGCAGTTATTACGCGAAAACAAATTTTCTACAATCTATAGCGCCCAGTAAGTAAACATATGCTATGAACCGATGTGATTATCGACAAGGTTCCTGCTGTCTTACCATAATATTTTAATGAATATCTTGCGCTATAATTTTAATTGAAAGATCTTACTATTCAACGAAGAGATAAGTATTAATTACCACATGAATACGAAATTATCATGACAAGAAGAAATTTGAAAACACACCTGTAGGATAACGCTTCGTATCAACGCATTGACACTCGGTGTAAAAATCTGTGAAGTGCTCTGAAAACACCATAGCACAATGCCGCTCTTACTGAATATTGAAAACAGATCGAGCATTTTTCTAAAATTTGTTGCAACAAAAACAACTACACATTCGATAACCTACAACTACTTAACGAAATTTTCAACGTTTCCGAGAGACGTACCATAGAAGATAAAACGCGTAGATGAAGGACTAATGGGGCGTATCAAAACCGGACCCCGTTACTATCGACTTTCACATTTTGTCACCAGATGGCAATACAATTCTGTACATATTTGCATATTTTGTATAATTTCGATTATAATGGCTAGACAAATTATTTAATTAACATTCAGTTTCCATAAGAGAATTCCAAACGAACAGGTATAGTGGTGCAGCAATTAATTCCCGATTAGCCCATGAGTGAGTAGAGCCCAACGGAATACGCGCTGCCATTGGTGAAGCTACCGTTCAGCCCGGCCAATTAGAATCGAGCTGGTATCATTATTCGGCGTAGTGATGAGTGCGAATAATTCATACTAGAGGACAGGTACAGACAGGTATGCACCGCGGCATGGCACAGTTTCAACCCTGCTTATCACTCATCGTTGTTCACTGATTGTTCGTCACACTTGCTCACACGCCGAATCAGCTTGAATCAGCTGATATAAGCCGATCAAAGAGGCGGAGTCGTCATCGAAAAACCTCCTCGAATTTCGCCAACGATTTGGGAGCAAAATGTCGCTGAACACGGCTCACGCCAATGGCGGTGTCCTCATACATTCCGGAGAATGGTAAGTTGTAAGATTTAAGCGGGGAAGCGCGAATTGTGCGATCATTCGGCACGGCGGAGGCTCTCGAATAGTCTCACATATTCTATGTGACTACGTATGTGATAACGCAGCGTCTCTTCCAGGAATCCCTTCCGGCAATTAGGCCGGACTTTACTCCGTATTGTTTTTATACCCGTTAATATTACCGGCATCTTGACGGTATAGAACCTGCGCGCCGAATTAGAAATTTTCCCTAGCATTTGACAGTAAGGTTAACTTTAAAGTATACTCGTTTACCGTTTCAACCCGAATCGGATGACTAATGCTTTAGATTTGCGAGATCTTTTGAGTTAGACGTATGTTCCAAGTATCAAATGAAGTATCGATATATACTCAACCTTTTGCGCTCAGATATTGTCTCTGTAATGACAATTATATTAGCAAAAGATATTGGAATGGAAAGGATTAATAGTATTAAAAATTTGATACAGGGGGTATTTTCCTTCCGACACCGATCGAGCGGTGTTATAATATTTTTTTAGGTAATATGGTGTATTTTTTTGTCTTCAGTATTCTTCTATTCTGCGACAATGTCACAATGGAATTCCATGGGCAAGAACAGCCCGAATTCCTCGGATCCAAGCGTGGACGACTTTATCTTACCACTCATCGAATGATCTTCAATGCTAAAGATCAGAAGGAGAAGATGCAGTCGTTTAGTTTTCCTTTCGTCACGTTAAGTGACGTAGAACTGGAGCAGCCGATGTTTGGTGCCAACTATATCAAAGGAAAGTGTCGTGCTCAGCCTAATGGCAATTGGATCGGAGAATGTAAATTCAAATTGCACTTCAAAAGCGGTGGAGCGATCGAGTTCGGCCAGGCCATGTTGCGAGCTGCTAGCATGGGTAAGGAGAATATTATCATGATTATTAAAAGTTATATGCGGAAGCGTAATTAATGGTTTATTGCCTTAGCTCAACGCAACGGAGGTACCGGATTCGATGCTCCTCCTCCGTATCAGCCTCCTACCTCGAACTGGTACGCGGCTCCACCTCCGGCTTACCAAGCTGCTCCAACTGGATATTATGGCTGGATGCCACCTACCGATGTGTTTCCAGATGCACCTCCAGGTTTAGTATACAGCTACGATCATATAAAATCTACAGGTTACATATTTGAGATTCGGTGTCGTATTTCATTGGTGCTATCGGTGTTGGAACGTTACAGCTAATAGCGTGTTCATGACGGATATGCCTCCACCTTATCCTGGCATCAATGCACCGTACGCCAGTGGAAATCCACAGCAGCAACCACCGGCATGGGGCCAGCAAATGTCAAACGGAGCACCTGGGTGGGGCAATCCCGGCTACAACCAACCAAGTGCTCATGGCCAGCCGATGTCCCAAGCAGGTGCGTATCCGGGTTATGGCTACGGACAGCCTCCCTATCAGAGTTATCCTCCAAACCCGCCACCTTACTCTCAATATCCGCCAACTCAACAAGGATCTTACGGGTCGTATCCACCACCTCAGCCGGGACCTTACGGCTCGTATCCGAACCCGTATTAAACTATTACTTGCGCTTTTTTTTTTTTTTACGAGCAATTCACGTTTATTGCACGCATAAATCACGCCGCGTCGAAACGCTCAAGTACTGCTCGTATTGAGCGCTTCCCTATTGCGGCGGTACAGCATAAACGATATTAACATAATCTATTAGTATGCAACTTGAACTTCATGGTTCGATTTTTCTATATATCTCCCTATATATATGTGTGTATTTAAGCGGGTTTCAAGTTAACTACCTTGCTTAGACCTTTAATCGTTCAGCTAGCACAAAGTAACGCGTATTTATAATCATTAAGAGATGTAAATACTATTAATACAAAGTGCACAAGTATTGTTTCCTACGTTATCATGTGCCGTACCTTGTCACGTCAGGCCTTGACGGAGCTGACAGCACTGGTTGACCAAAAGCGATATTAAATGTTACTAAAGAAGATCAGTTGCTGTTTTCATTTAAACCTGTCAACGGTGAGGTTCTTGTAAGATACGAGTTCCTGTCAGCAGAGCGAAAACGCGAAAGCCCGAGTATCATTTTAGAATGCAGGTTCTTGCACAACGTTCCAGTCTCCAAAGCATCTTGAATCTGAATCTTCTGACCGTATCGCATAAACGTTCATTCACAAAACGTAGACACCATGGATAGCTGATAATTTAATGCTTCTTGCTTTGTGTGGCCAGCAGCGAATTTTGTCGCTCTTTGTGGAGGCTTTTCTTTGTTAATTCACGAACGAACGAAAAAAAGAGCCCTTTCTGTTTTTCTTTTAAGTGGACTTTAATGACGAGTCGATTCTAATGCCAAGAGAGTAAAGACATAAGATATATTGCGGGTCTTTCCTTTCAAGTAAATGCCTTTATCGTTTTCCTGTGCATAGATGCAAAGGCTGCCGAAGCTGCACAAAGTGCGTACTACGATCCGAGTAAGCCACAGTGTGCTTACGTGCCCCCTCCAGCTTACTACGTAAGTGATGTTTCTCAATTCCGGATCGTTTTGCGTATCGGGTGACAAGGCGCGAGGAGAAGGCTATTACACGGTGTCGAATTGACATTCCGAGCCTTCCCTCGCGCGAACCGCGAATATTTTGGTGACCAGAAATTTCAGGTCTGCAACTAACGTACGAAACTCGGGTACGCAGAGGTGTCGGATCGACCGAAACTTCCACATTGAGACCGGAGACAATTGAAAGACTGTCGATAGTAATTCTAAAAGTCATTTATCGAGGCAAGTGGTGAACGTTCTTAATTTTCTGATCACCAAAGATGTTCACCGGAACGCGGGGAAATCTTTTAGCCGGGGGTGGTCATAAGTACGACTTATCAATCCATTGAAACTGACTTTCAGGAGAGCCCGCCGAGTTTCCAGCAGGCGACAGAAAAGAAGGATCAGTGAGAATCTTACGGGCTGTAGAGGCAGGAGATTTTTCTAACGGAACGATAATTCCAACGACCGCCGGCGAACCTATCGTTATTTTTCTAGCCCTATCCTTTGATGCATGGCAGACGTATGCATTCCAATAATTTAGAGAACGCTCGGTATCATCTCCAGTGGTGGATCCTTATTTATTCGTTAATTTCCCCGTTTTTCGCGGGGGCAACGTGCCGACCGCAAACGGTGGACATTCCCCGCTGGTCGAGAAAGGGATCTTTCACGAGGTTTTCTTCGCAAAAAATATTTGTCGTTGCTCGTTTCGTAGTTTATATATTATATGTATATTTCACATTTTCTCCGTCACGCGAATTTTCCGCTGTCGCGTGTTTTATGAGATTTGCAATGTATATGTACAACGTAGGAGGAAATAAAGTGCAGTGCGTGTACGCGACGTGCCTCATCTCTTGTTACGTTTTGTAGATTAAATTTCTGAGGGCCGTGCGAATCCTGACGAGTTTCAAGGAACGGGTTCGGAAATGATTTCCCGATGCGGTCAAGTCCGGATAACGGGCGAGACGGAGACGCACCGTAAGTCATGTGATTTTTTTTTCTTGCGTGCGTACATTGACCGAGGAGGCTTTTATACGTTCCATTTATCCGTATTCCGAGGCAAGGGCCAGAGTCAGGTCGGACCTTCCCTCGTCGACGAAGGTCGCGTGGTACCAAACTCTGGTGTCGAGGAGAACTATGTCTCCAGGAGCGGCGGAAAACTCGAAGGACTTGCAGGAGTGGTCGCATTCCGGAGTAGGTGCCACCCTCCACGTCTTGCCGCCGATCAGCTGAGCTTGCCACATCAATCGAGGGATATAATCCAGCTGGAAAGGTAAGAGGAAAATTTAGCCCGTCCACCCCGGACCCGCGCTTCCGAAAAATTCGCGCTGGAATCGAGTCCCCGAGGAAGAACTCACGTGCATGGGAGCGCCCTGTTGATGTCCCAGGAAGACGTAGTTGGCGCGAGGCACTTCGGCGTCCTCCGGAAGGAACCTCGGGACCTCGTAATACCTGGCCATGGCTTCGAGGACTCCCGGGTGGCAGTTCTTCCAGCCGACGTACCAGGACTCCGGGAGCTCGTCCATCGAGAAGACTCGGCGAAGGGTGTCGAAGTCGCTCTTGAAGTGCAGGAACTGGCAGTCCTCCTCGACGGACTCGTAGGCGCCCTCGATGCCGTCGTAGAGGTCCCCGAAGAAGCGCAAGCCGAAGACCCTGGATGCCGGCCAATGGCTGGCGGCTCCTTTTACGACGATCGGCCTCGAAGAGTACGCGTAAGGCTCGAACTCCTTCCTGGTCGAGTTCCCTGGCAACTGCAGGGCGTTCTCCACTCCGAGGCAAAACGAGCACGAGGACACCGGCCTGGTGGACTCCCAGGACAGGTAGCTACCCGGGACCAGACATCGGCCGAAGACTCCGGAGTCCAGGATCCGATTCAACGCGAAAGCGATCGCGCCGGTCGCGCCGATCGCCAACGCTACCGCGATCGCGGTTCTACGGAACTCCGGGGAATGTGGATTCTTCCGGGAGTCGACCCGGACGCGGATGGAGCGCGATCGCAGTTCCGACATCGAAACTCCGTGTCTCAGAAGGTCCTCGGTTGCTCGGAGGAAGGAATCGCGTATCGTCGATCTCGGCATCGCGCACGTGGAAACCCGGCAAACACCTGTTAGCCAACTGGTCGTTAATCAACGGAATTCCGCTAGTCTAGCCGACCGCGGCCTCGATTTGTCAAGAGAAAGGTCTGGTGCTCTTCAAATGAATCCACGTACGCGAGCACGGACTTCGCGTCTAGAAGCGATCAAAGTTAGGGATGAAATTAAACGAACGATCGGCGCGGACTCGAGTGCGGTCGAAAAGGCCGAGGAAGGAACGGAGACTGACTCGGCCTGCGAGTAATCCGAGATCGTAATAAGGTGTTTCCTGCTCTCTCGGGCCCGGTACTCCCACACGTGGTCCGCAGATGCTGGACGCTGGATGCTCGCCCCGGCGGCCTTCCTCGCTCCACGTGGCAGTTGCCCGCATTTTAAAGCGCGGCAGGAAGAGAAAAAGAGAAATAAAACCACCCGATTGCATAAATCCCTTGGAACTGTGGACGGAACTGTGGACGGAACTTCGGACGAGATCGTTTTCAAATTACTTTATTTTATGAAATCGCCCAGCGCAAGGTACACCCCAGCAAGGTACAGAGGGACTCCCTTTGTCGCATCCGATACGGCCCTCGTTATCCCTCGTGTCCGTTACATACGATTTAAGCGTATACAACCTAATTTACAAAAGTTAGAAGGTTAAGCGAACGTATGCAGTTTACCGGAATTTGTGCATATCTAGGGATGTTCCGCTTTGGCACCCCGATCTTGGCTCGATATAACTCGCTCCTCTAGACCAATGTGAAAATACACGAGTATAATTACATCGTTTTATCTGCTGGGAAATTCGTTGTCGCGTTATCTATACCCGGAGACGGTATACATTGGTCGTATAGGTCTGTACGCGTGTATGTATACATATACGTTATCCTTTTTGTTCCTTATCACAAAGCATTGACTACAATTGTTTTCCACCTACCGCCGCTAATCCTGTGTTTGCGATGAAAAATCAAAATCTTAATCTTTCGAGTTAAAATTATACCTCGCAAGTAAACCATTTAATCGAAGGCATTTAACGGATATAACTATGGTCTAGGAGGCAAACTGCATAATTTTTTTATCTCTTTTTAAGCCAGAACACTCCGTTTTAAGTCATTTTCGCTTCGCTATAATTTAATTAGAAACGTACTCTCGTTTATAACGAACTCGCTGTATACGTACAACGAGATCAGTTCCTCGATGGTATTTCCTACAAATGTAAGTTCATGGACCTACTGTTTACGCCCAAATTTCAGTAGTTTGTTGCAAACAATGCCGGTTTTCATTCGTTTCATTGTTGTACGTTATTACGTCTCGGAAGAAATTTCATTTCCAAACAATTGTACACATCCAGTGGCAGAGCATTTTTGCACAAAAACAAACTTTCATGGAAATTTAAGATCGCTGCAATAACTAAGACTTTCGTGAAAAATTCATTGCCGGTGGCAAGATAAATATTAAAAAGTTTGACACGACATTTACAATGTCGCCATCCAAGAAATTCATCGTTCGAAATTTGGTCGGTACGTCGAAGCGTTATTCACGTAACGTTCGCGATCGTTCGAACGGGCTGACCGATCTTGATCGTTGCAACCGTTTTGTGAATTTCAACGTGTAATAAGTTATTACTTACCGATAAAAATGCTTGACTAGCATGGTCGTTGCGTCAATGTTCGCACTCTTACATTTTGTTCGCAATGAGACAGCAACCTCTATCTACGTTCGATCAGAAGTACTGCCATTTTCCCAAAATAGCTTCTTTGATAGCCGATATGTACTGCGCGGGAACCCAGTATATCCAATATCGAGAAGCTTCCGTTGGACCTAATTGAATGGCCTGAAATTTTAAAAAAATCATAGTTTTTAATTCATGCGATATATGGTTCAAAATGCATGTACGATATTGCCTCGTGCAATTACCATTATGTGATATTCAGGATGATCATGAATAGGCTCATTGTGAACACCTTTTATGGAATTCATTGGAACCTTATCCGTTCTTTCTTTCGTACCGATCCAAAGCTGATCTTGTTCTAATTTAAACGTAAGCCTGACCTTTCCACCGGACTTGTTCAACATCCCTGCCAATGGAAAATCTGGTAACGGTTCCTAAGAAACAAAGGACAATGAATTCGATATAAAAGTACAAAATCTGGAGTATCGAGGTAACATACAACCTTGCTGCCCAATATGCCTGGCATGACATCTTCTGGAATACCCTTATCCAAAACCTTACGATGCACTTTTTGACGCGACAGAGGTTCCTTCCCAATAGCGGACCTAAACTCGGCAGCAAGCTCCTGCTTCGTGGGAATCGATAAAGCTAAAACGTCGTGTAACTTTGAGCCTACTATCATTACTTTGGCACCTAAAAGAAAAGTGGCATCAATTTTACATCGATATAAAAATCAAATCCAAATGTTTCCCCAGTGAAGGCATCACCCTATATACCTTTTGTCACCCCCAAACTTCTAAGCGTTTGATCATCTTTGGCTAGTCCTTTAATCATTACTTTTTGCATCGCTTGAGGGACAGAGATGATATTCTCAAGATGTGCTTTCAGTCTACCGACGGTGCTATCTAATGCAAAAGTAACATCAATTTTCTGCTTATTGTAGATCACTTTAAAGTCTATGAGCTCGCTATCCAGTTCGACAGGAGCAGCCGCGGCGACTGCTTCTTCCTCTGGATTCTTCTTAGCGACGTCATTAGCAGATTCCTTAATCGAGTTTTCGTCAGGCTTCGAATTCTCTACATTCTCCAACCGAGATGGCGAGCTGCAGCAATCGTTGCTGTCGCTTTTTGATGTCTCTGTAAATAAAATTAGAAATATTGCTAACAGGAAATATCATGCGACGATGTCTGCACGTTATCGTCTGGCATTCGTGCAAGACAAAGCTGCATTTTCTGCTGGCTCGTTATGCGTATTTGAGACATTCCCAAAAAACAAGTTCAATTAATGGAAGATGCTCAAAATCAGTTAAATTTCGACGAGGCACTCCGCTCTGCGCCATTAACGTTCCGAAACGACAGCTAAACGTGTCTCTCGGACTCTTCAAAATCATCAGTCATTGTTGTCATACGTTCGCTCAAATCGAAAGCCCGACGCAACGTTTAGTTTTCGGCCTGATAAAAACCGCTAAAAAGTTTCTTGCAAATACGCAGCATACTTCCCGTTCATTTTTTACCCGTTAGATCGTTTATGAAACGATAACGAGCAGTCATCGTGGCCTCGTATAGGAAATCCCGAAAAATCTTTCGGACATCCGTACATACCCACGTAATCCATGATGCACTTCCAAACCGGACCGGACCATCCGGACCATCGGACCAACCGAACCGATCATAGAAAACAGAAGACTAAAGAAAAGATGGTCTCCTAATCAGCCTCTCCCTAGAGGCCGCCACGAAACTTTTAAATCCAGTTCCCGGTTCCAAGAGAATCAACCAACAGCGATCGAGTGCTACAATCGATTCAAAGCATTCTCGAAACACCGCGTCCGATTACAGATTTCGCCACGTTTGAATGAATAAAATAATTCGTAGCATCGGAGGTTATCCGCGATCGATTCAATCGAAGAAGCAGCTAGTCCAAGGAAGATTTTCAACTCGGTGCACTCGGTTCTCGGAGCGCGGCAAGATGGCGCCCGAGTCGGCCCTCTAGCTTGGAGCGCGGGGCGCAGTCTTAGTCGAAGCGCGCCCAGCGCAGCCGCAGCGCAGCCACCCGCAGCGGCAGCAACGGCAGCAGCGTTTTCCGCGCGGGTCAGGCGTCGACTGCGTCGTGTTTTTCGGCTCTCGCAAGTGCGCTTCGCGTCCGGTAGACTCGTGAGAATCCGCGCGAGGATGCCGCCGAAGAAGCGGGAAAAGGAACTGGACGGGCCGAAGGCACCGCGGATCGACCAAATTCAAGCGGACCACGAGCTGTTTCTCCAAGCCTTCGAAAGTGAGCTTCGGTTTCGGCCGCTACGAGCGATTTCCTACTTCTCTTCCGTCTTCGAAACCCGCGATCGGCCCGATTCCCGCGAAATCGCTCGCGCTAGGTTAGCTCGGGTCGCCCCGCCGAGCGACGTCCCTACATCAACATAACCCCGTAATGGATTCGAGATGGCGGGTCGCTCGAGTCGTCGGACCTCAACCGACGCGGCCAGCCGCTCCACCCTCCATTGCCCGACGAGCGGCCGCCCTCCGGATTCGATTTTACCTCTTAAATCTCCCCCTGCGTTGCCTTCCTTCCTTTCCTTCCCTTCCTACCCTTCTTAAATTCGTTTCGACCGAGCTCCCAGGCGCTCCTATCCCCTCTGTTGTGTTTTTAATTTCCCTCCACGCTCGTGTAAACATGTATGCTTCCCATGCTTGATATGTAATTTGCTTATACTTTTTATTCCTACCCTGTGGTTTACGGTATTCTATGGTAGGAATACTTTGGAGAGTGATTATTTTTAAAACGAGCCTATAGGGATGCTCGAAAACCTAAACTATGTTAACGTTGGGACCTTATGTTCTACGTTAAAAATATGTTAAGTGTACGGACGGATCTATGGTAAATTTCATTTATTAAAAGTCTTTTCTTTTTAACGTCGCTCGCGCGGTATTTTGAAGTTTGCGATGCACCTTCCATCGGGAAGTGTCGAGATGTACAGAAATTGTCTTTTGAGAACGATCCATGACTTGTATCGTATTAGTTTCACAAGTTACCCCTTAAAGTTGTAATAACTTTCGTTGTGTCTGGCGGAAAACTTAAATCCTGGTAATTACTTAATACATGAATGGAACCGATTCACCCCAGGATGAACTTTCCAAGCGAGTCCATTGATTTTAGTTTAAAAAAAAGAACGGGATCAGAGAGGTTTGACCTGCTAGAATCGTAACAAGAATCCCGGTGCAGGCGTCTCGTATGAAAACGAGAACAACCCAGTCATCACACCCCGTTCTGAATCACAGAAGGATCGGAGGCGAAGTCGCGGGCGGCTCTTTTATGAACTAAACCGCGTACTTCTCTCGCGAGAAAATCCCGGAGTCGGTCTCCATCTTGTGGTCATCGGCCAAACTACGACAACCACCTTGCCGATCCGAAATTCATACGATCGCGAAGGGGGCTTTCGACTCCCTTCATAAAGATCTCGGCTAAAAATGCGATTAAAATTTATAAATACTGTATGCGAAATCTTTTTCACATTTATTTCGTCGCCTCTCGAAGCGACCTAACGGCGACGTTAACGAACTTTCGTAGATTTCCAGAGACTTTTTCCCTCCTGGAATCGGATTCGAGTGCGCCCTTAATGAGGGCCGGTTTTAATTACCGTTGCTCTAAGGCTTTAAAGATAGCGTCTCCCGTGGGTCGTTCGGTATTGAACGTTATTACGCGTTATTAATGCGAGGCCTTTGGATTCGTTATCGGCACCTGCGAACCCTTTGAACCTCTCCTTTGCTTCTTTTCCAGAGCCCACGCAGATCTACCGGTTTCTACGCACGAGGAATCAAATCTCGGTGAGTCGCAATTCTCCGTTTTTATATTTCCATCCCACGTCCTTCGTCCCCCTTTAATACAAATGATTACATAACTCTTCCCTTGCGCCGAATTTCTCAAAGAAACGTTTCATGTACAATTCCGTGATGCTCAAATTGTTAACCGTCGTTCGCCGTTCCGACGCTGACAGTTCGCCAGCGAGTCTCGGAAAATGATATACCGATTTAATTGTGAAAAAAAAAAAATACCGGATCCTTCGAGTATCCGTGAACCCACTCCCAGTTTTGTTCGTTTTCGTTCGTTTGGGCCTCTTTATTTTTGACGGTACGTATGCGAACATTTGATTACTCGATTTCATTCGCGTTTCGAGGAGAGACCCGAGAGAGGCGAGAGTTCGTTCCGGGTCTGTCCGAGGAACCGAACCCTTTCGCAAGGAGGAACCTCTCATCTCGCTCTTCTCTACTTTCAGCCGGTATTTCTATACAGGAACTTATCTTACATGAGGCAACGCATGTCCAGAAGTCACAAATCCCGGCGTGGGTTTCGAATCGACACCATTTTGGAGAAACTAATGTCCAAGAACAATCAGGACCAAAATCCAGGAGTCCGTGGGTACATGACGCTGACCTTCCTGGGATTTTATGACAAGAAAGGTGAGAACGTCCGCAAAAGTGTACAAAGATGTAGTTCGGTTATTACACGGTACACCCGCTCACCCATTTTCCTTCTTTCCAGTCGAAGGTCCGCAAGATCCGGTCAAGGTGGAAACTTTGCTGTTAAAGATCTGCCACAAAAAGAGGAAAGACGTCAGCTCGCCGATCATGCAGGTGAGGCTGTCGCGGACAGCGCATCGAAAGGCAAATCCTTTCCCAGTTCCGATGGTCGGCATAAAGGTAATGCCGAAATCGTTGCAGGTGTCGGTCGGGACGAGCGAGGTGCCGATCAATCCATCCGAGAATCAACCGCCACCCAAAGCACCCACCGTCTCTATACCTAACGAATCCTTTAGTTTAAACAATGGACACATAGCCAAGACGTACATGCTTCTACTCAGGGTGTACTGCACCTCGAACGGCAACTGCCTTATGCACAACTGTGATCTAGATGGTAGGTTTCCTACCATCCAGCCACCAAGGTTTCTCCGGTTCGCTAAGAAAATGTTTCTCTTTCAGAGCCCGCCCAGAAACGACGGAAGTCCATCACCGGCGCCGTCAAAGTCGTCGGCGAGGAGGTGAAGTTGTACGGCTCGGAGCTTATAGTATACGATAAGCACAATCGCTGTCTGTTGACGGACGGGGATTACGAGTTGGGATTGCAAGAAGTGCAAACCAACGTTAGATCTAGCCCGAAGAAGCACAGCTCCTGGGAGTCGATATCGGACACGAAGGAGTGCGGCCCCTTCGAAGTCTTTAGTCGGGGACCTACCCTGAAATTTCGGTTAAGTTGGACCGCGGAACCGAGCAATGGACTGGTCGATAGACCAACTCCCATTCACCCGCTGCCTACCGGCGACAATAAGGAAAACCGATCGGCTAATGGTAAGAAGACGCGACGAAGCTTACGGCCCTGCCGGGTCCAGGTTTAACGCATTTTTTTATCGCTTCAGCCGGTTTGGAGAGGTCCCCTGCTGCTCACAACCTGAACAACAACAACAACAACATCAACAACAACAATAATATAATTACCAACAACAACAACGCGTCACTGCCAACGCCTAGTCCGCTGACCCCGTCGAAGATCTCCGTGTCGAGCGAGAAGATGGACTCGTCGACGGTCACTCAGCAAATCGTATATCAATTTTTGTACAACAACAACAGCAGGCAACAAACCGAGGCCTGCGAGGACCTGCACTGCCCCTGGTGCTCGCTGGACTGCGGGAAGCTCTACTCCCTGCTGAAGCACCTGAAGCTCTGCCACTCGCGCTTCACGTTTACCTACGTGGTTTGTATAAAGCCTTGTTTGCTCTTCCACGAAAAGCGAACGATGTTCCCGCGGTCACCGCTCGAGCCAACGAAACTGACGAGGAAACTCCCATTTCAGCCCATCTCGCAGGGCGCCAGGATAGACGTGGCGATCAACGAGTGCTACGACGGCTCCTACGCGGGAAGTCCACACGAGCTTATTTCTCAGCCCTCCGGAATCGCCTTCTCCAGGACGGGACCCACCAGGAGGACGAGCGTCACCAACATTCTGGTCTGTCGGCCGAAGAGAACCAGACCTAGTCTCTCCGAATTTCTCGAGCTCGACGAGAACGAGTTCGAGAGCCAGAGGCCGTACATCACGGGGCACAATCGGTAATTCAGTTTTTCGATTTTACGTCTTCGTCGGGATGTTTCGGGTGGGTCAGGGCATACCACGAGAGACCGAGGCGTAATCGACTCTTCTCCCTTCAAGGCTCTATCATCACACCGTGACCTGCTTGCCGATATACCCGAAGGAGATGGACATCGACTCCGAGGGCGAAAACGACCCCAAGTGGCTGCAGACCAAGACGATGATGATGATCGACGACTTCACGGACGTCAACGAAGGCGAGAAGGAGCTGATGAAGATGTGGAACCTTCACGTGATGAAGTACGGCTACGTGGGGGACTGCCAGATTCCGCTGGCGTGCCAAATGTTCCTCGAGACCAAGGGGAAGGAGCTGCTCATGAAGAACCTCTACCGGAACTTTGTTCTCCACATGTGCAGCCTGTTCGACTTCGGCCTGATCAGCCCCGTGGTGCTGTACCAAATGATCCAAAGGTTGCAGGAGATCATGAAGGAGGGTGGCGAGGACGGGGACGTGAGCAAGGTATTGCAGAAGTCCCACGAGGCTCAGGTCGAGCGCTGGGTCAGCACCCTTCGAGGAGGGGCTCGACTCTCCAAGGACTCGAGCGAGTCGCGGATCGGCTTCAACGGCGAAGTGCCCAACTCCAACGCCAGGAGGAAGACCACCCTGCCGATCGCCTCGCCGTCCGGTGGGTCCACCGCGAAGATCACGGTCACTCTCCACGCCAACGTCAGCAAGGTCGCCAGCATGGTCGGCTCGACCTCCTCCTCCTCCTCCTCCTCGTCCTCCTCCTCGTCCTCCTCCTCCTCCTCGTCGATTCATGGCCCTGAACGAGTACAAAGAGACTCGAGGGACCCTCCCTCGGGTGGCCAGCTCACCGAGATGCCGCAACGGCGCAAGAGCGCGAACGCCATCGTGCCGGGCGCGGATAACCTCGCGACGACGGGGCCGACGACGGGGCCGACGACGGGGCCGACGACGGGGCCGACGAACGCGCCGGCCCGCAGGAAGTCGACGGCCGGCGACAACGTCGCCTACGAGTACCACAGGAGGAAGCTGGTCCTGGACGCGATACCGTCGGCCCCGACGACGCTCGGCACGGCGAACGGCAACCAAAAACCCTCCCAGAACGGCGGGAGCCATTAGCCCCGGTCTTTTTACGGAAGATTGTACGTTTTTGTACAGTATTTGTTGCGAATATTATGTGATTGAAATTATTATTATTATTATTAACGATAATGTAGATAATAATTCAACGGCCGCCGTCGTTCGGGCAGACATACCGATTCCGCTCTCGACTGTCTGCGCTCGCGGAAGCCGGAGAGAGGGCGCCGTCTTGGTACAAGGCTCGGAACTCCGACAGGGACCGTTTCTTGCGATGCGACGAGTCGAATCATTTTTTCTTTTTTTCTTTTTTCGGTTAGAGTTGGGCCGGTATTTCATCGGCACCTGAGTGGGAAACTGTCGACTTTAAGATGGACGCACGGTACTACGCCGTTCCATTGAAAAATCGGCCTTACTCGACTCGAGTAAACGCGAGCGTTTGACTCGTTGCATCTCTACCCCGAGGAAAAGAAATATTTCCCTGGTTCGGTGGAGTTTTTTTTTTTCTCGGGGTAGCCGTTTCTCTTTCCCGATTTTTAAGCGGTCGTGGACCCCGTCCCGCTCGCAGAATTCGCGACTCGCTCCCAGCCTCTTTTCTACGTTGCTCGGGCTTTTTATACACAGAATCGGTTTCGTTTTACTCTAGTCAATGTGTATTCGTTTAACGTCTTTAACTGCCATCCTTCTTTTTTTTTGTCTCTTGCTCGTTTACTTTTCCGTCTCTCTTCTCATTGATCCATCCACGAGCCGTCGGAAGTCCGCGAGTTCGCCTCTTTCCGGGGAACTCTGGGGAATTCGCTTGAAAAAGAACTCTGCGAGCGTCGAGGTCGGACATCACTCGCTGGTAGCCGTTGAACGAGCCGACGCGAAGGTGGCGGAGCTTGCGACGATTCGACCCGGGACTCGTACTTTCACGCTCGACGATACAATAAATGGGAAAAGAAATCCGCGAACCGACCGAATCGGAAGTGGAAAGATGCAGCGGCTTCGGGTTAGAGCGATGGCGCTTTTCACTGGGGAGATGTGCATCGAAGGCCACGCCAGGGACGGGCAAATTTTTAATAAGTTATTAATTTATTTTACTTTCTTTTCCGCGCGGTATGTATACATATTATATATTTAAATATATGTGTATCGCCCTTCAATTCCATATCAGCGGCCGAATGATACGGTTACTCGCGTTTCCCCGCTGATTAGTAACGACTCAACTAGCGCGAGAAAATGTAAAAACGAAAGGCAACGCAAAACGTGACGACGGGCAGTCGCGCTCTTCCTCGACTCGAACGCTTCCATCTTCTCGGGACCCGGCTAGCCCGCGCTCGATTTCGACGACTGTTTCGAGAATTGTATAAAAGTTATGGAAGGTTATGGAAAATATATAATTTTTCAGGAACGCGTCGCCTTTCTCCGGCCGATGTAAAATAAAGCACGTCGAGTTGACAATCAGAAGGTTATCGGTGGTTAAGCTTGCAATTTGCCCATCCCTGATTATCGCTTTTTGGTGTAGAGACAAATCGACCCAGCGAAGAACGCCGTCGCAAAGATATGGAAAAAATAGACGAGCCGAAACTCGTATCCGCGATGCACCGAATTCTGTACGCGAAACGAGTCGACGTAGCGAAAGTGCCTTTTTACGAAATCCGAAATCCTCTTTCCGGAGACGGCGCTGCTCTCTTAATTTAATTAATAACACCCACAACGAAAGAAAAGAGGCGCGTCTACCTTTCGTCTGCCTTAGTTCGGTCCAGCGTGTTCGTCGATCGTTCGAGACTCGATGTTCCGACTCGTCCATCGGAGGACTCCAACCGTCGTGCATGCATTCCGCCCGATGTCGACGAACCATCGCGCCCTACCTTCACGATCTCGATTATATTTTCCATTACACTACTGTCCACGTCAGGTTGTAAATAATAAAGGCAATTGGAAACTCCCCGGAAAGGAGCGGTATTCTACTTGAATTCGCATGACGTCCGTGTACTCGTGCATCGCCCACGGTTGGTTGCCTTTTACGGTAAGACATCGCGTTATACTTCCTTCTTATGCATACGTTATGGTTACATTTAATTAGATAATAAGTAGCAATTCATTTCAATTCGACCATTTTTTCGGCAACTAGCTTTAAGGACCGTTAACGCGGTTTTTAAATTTAGTTCCAGTTTTAATCCTTAGCAAAGTTGATTCTCTTGGACCAGAGTCCTTTGCGTCATTTCCTGGTGGGAGTTCCTTTCTGGATCTTCATCAGTATCAGCCGATCGACTCTGTCGTATCGGAAGTATTGGGGGAAATCCGTCGCGACGTGCTCTATGTTCCAATTGTGGTTGCGCCTTCGAACGCATCTCAGGAACTCTTCGTACATCGGAGCTACCGAGTCTAGATCGGCAACGGTGAAGACGTAACGTTTCTCCAGGGCAACGTATGCTACCTTGGGGAAGCCAGAGTTGAATAATCTCTCCAAGGTCCCGACGAAGCCCTCCGTTATGTCGTCATCGTATATCACTGCGGATGACGAATGAAATTACTCGCGAGAAAACTCATTTCAGGGAAGTGAGATGATTCGTCCACCCTCACCATCGGCCGCCAACACGATGTCAACGGGATCGATCTTCCGCTGCAGTTCTCGTGGCCAATTCGGACACAAAAAATTCAATCCCTCGACGGACACCTTCGACGAGACGTAAGACTGGTTCCTCGCAAAGTTCCTTCGTATCAGTTTCAAGATTTCCTCGACATCGGTGTCTACGACAGAATTTTCTGTCAACTTTTTGTTTTTCTAAGGTAATGCACGTATTACGATATTTGTCCATTTTTCGCGGCGTTATCGATACCTGTGCAAATAACTTCCGAGGCGAGGAAACTCGCCACGATGCTTGTCAGACCCACGCCTGATCCTAGCTCTAAGACTCTTTTTTGTTTGAACGATTGCGGATTGCTGAGTATGTAGTCGGCCAGCAGGAACGCGCCTCGCCACACTTGCAGACCGACCAGAGACAGCTCCGTCGATATCCTGTGTTCTGAAAGAAATGGAAAGACCGTTGGGTAGTTTCCGTGAACGAAGGTACTCGCGAGTCGCGTTACCAATGGCTAGTTTTCCTTCCTTCTTCTTCTGTTTTCTCGTCAAGATCAGATCCCCGTCGTCGTCGTACCGAAGCTCGGCACCTCTTGCATCGCGACCCAACGTATAAGGAGGAAATTCAAAGAAAAACTCCGATATCTTAACTGCAATTAAATAAGATATATCGCCTTTCCTCGTCAACAAATTACCGTTAAAATTGCTCACCGTCGTTTTCGGGTTCTCCCGCGACACATCCATTTTCTATGTAAATTTCTGACGTTATCTTGTGTGCCGACATCTGCGTATAGGAAGCACAGTCGTTATAATTATGTAGAAGCATAAATGTAGAGAATATCTCGGCATTTGCTTGAAAATTTACCTCGGTTTCAAGGAAAGGTCGAGACCCACGCAATCGTTCGACCCTCAAAATGAGGCACGACCACCTGAGGGTCGATCGTTTTCTATTTTTAGAGAATAGACCAGGTCCGTTAATGTCGAGGGCTATCTAGAGATATAGGAGTGCATATTACTGTGTCGTGCCGTGCAACGCTACCTGTCAATTTGTTAGCTGTCTTCTCGGCTTGGAGATCGGATCTTCCCTTCTTCCTCTCACCTCGTTCGATGTAACGTGTCATATCTTATTATCGCGTATCACGTTGTTCCATTTTCTCGGGTTTTCGCAGAAACTTTACAGGTTTACCTCTGGCTTGCGTGCTTTATTCACCGATTCGTTGTTGCGTCCATTTATTTTGAGAAATTCTAACTTAATGACCTTACGTAATGCATAATTATATGTATATTAAATTGTCGCGTCCTCGACTTCGAAGTTCATTTGGCGGGGGGGGAGAGCTGCGACTCTGAAAAGGGAATTTCAGATAATTTACGAAACGATACCGATAGTAATTAATAAAAGTAACGATTACGTGTTTCGATAAGCGATAATAAAGGGAACGCATAAGTTTTGAACATTTAAATCCCGCCGCGCTTCCGGAACGAGCCGAGTCGCCCCGAGTTGAGCCGAACCGAGTCGAAGTTTTTTTTGCCCGCGTGCAAGTGTATCATTTGTTGGAGAAAAAACGGTAGAAAACGAGTGAAAATAAGGTAGCCACGGGTGCAAACGCGAAAATTTAAAAGGTTGCAGGATGCCATCTAACAATTATTCCTGACGGAGCTTTAAATTCGTTGTACATACTTCCTGCATCCGAATTTAAATATCCCCAATGAAATCTCACCCTCAAATTACGGAAAAAGCATTCATTGCGTTTCGATTGGCACTTGAACGCGGAGGAAAAAATGCAGTGGAGCATCGGGATCAAAGTTAACAAGGAGGCTCTCCGGTTATCAAGGAAAAAATTATCTATACGTAGAGTCGACTAGGGGACGCAGCGAAGTCGAACGTCGCTAGTGTCGATCCGGTGGTCACGTGTGACGGGCGTCGGCCAATCAGCGCGCAGCTCCCGTCGTGACACGGATCCACCAACTAGAGACACGTCTAGCGTCGACGGCCAATCAGCGTCCACCACGACCGACGCGTGCCACGCGTTCGACCGCGTCCACCGGCCTCGATCGTCCGGAAAGTCGGTGAACGCTCGCGAGGAGGATCCATACGCCGGTCGCGTCGGTCGTTGCTCGCACTCCACGCGTAGATATTCTCGCACTTCCTGCCGCGTGCGCGCGCCTGCCGACGCCGAACTCGTCCGACACCGCGACCGTTCCGAAACCAGTCGAAGGTACAGCGCACGTCGATTTCGAACGCGTCTTCGTTGCCGCTCGATCGTCGTTTCGTTCGTGCGGCTTCCTCGCAGTTCCCGTTGGCGACCAAATCTGCGCGAGTATTCGCGATCTCGACGAGACTACGAGGAGAGGATACCGAGGAAAGATGAAGCTCCTGGCATTGGTGAACCTTGTGGTCGCGGGGGCCTTTCTGGCTGCCGTATTCGCCGACGATGCCGACGATCACGTTATCATCATGACGAAGGATAATTTCGAGAAGACCCTGGCCGAGCACGAATTTGTCCTCATTGAGTTCTGTAAGTACCAGGACTGCCTCGCATCGATCGGTCTCTACGCGTAACGGTTTACCTCCGGCGTGATCGCCCTTGACCTTGACGGCTCTGAGCAACAAGTCGGAATTTATCTCGCGGGTGGAGACCGGTTTTTCACGAGCGATCGGTTTTGCCCACAGATGCTCCATGGTGCGGACATTGCAAGGCTCTAGCTCCGGAGTATGCCAAGGCTGCGAAGGAGTTGCACGAGATGGGTTCCAACATCAAGCTGGCTAAGGTCGACGCTACCTTGGAAACCGAGTTGGCGGAGAAACACGGAGTTAAAGGATACCCCACTCTAAAGTTCTATCGCAGCGGTGCCGTTCGCGAGTACGGCGGTGGTCGAAAAGCCGAGGAAATCGTGGATTGGCTCGTGAGGAAGACGGGCCCAGCCGCCAAAGACTTACCTTCCGTCGAAGAAGCCAAAGCATTCATCGAAGGGAACGACGTGGCCGTCGTTGGTTTCTTCAAAGTAAGGATAGGCCATTTTTAGAAACGTATGCACGCGTTTGTCAAATTTTACGCCGCTTTGATATGGTAATTCAAGGAAACGGCATGAACGGTCGATGGATGCGATCCATGGCATTCCTATATCGAGTTATCGGGTCATTTTTTGTTAAGGATGCCCGGTCAAGAGCCGAAAGCTCCGATGAAAGTAATGATTTCGTGACGTGCCCGGCCGAAGATCGATCGAAGCTCCTTTAGTACCCTCTTGTAAAAGATGTCCTCTTCCCTTGTATACGTTGAGAATAAAACTTCCCGCTGCTTCTCTCGTTTTGAATAGCTCATAGCACATGACAAAGACTGGGTGAAACATTTGTTGGGACCGTTATGGTCGAATTGTTTGAATATTTATATTTAGGCAAAACATGTCTCCTTGTACGGCAGGATTTGGAATCGGAAGGTGCCAAAGTTTTCTTGGAAACTGCCAGTACCATTGACGACCATAAATTTGGTCTTACCAACAGCGAAGATGTATTTGCAGAGTATGAGACAACCGACGGAAAGATAGTACTATTCAAAAAGGTAAACTTCTTTACCTCGGTTCATCACCGACCAAAAATATCGTGAGAACTAATTTATTATATTGATGTTTTAGTTTGACGATGGCAAAAGTGTATTCGACAAAGAGCTGTCCATTAAGAATTTGAAGAGCTTTATTGCCGTTCAATCTCTACCTATACTTGTCGAGTTCGGTCAAGATACCGCTCAGAAGATCTTTAGTGGGGAAATAAAAAGTCATTTATTATTCTTCCTTAGCAAAACTGCTGGGCATTACGATAAATACTTATCCAATCTCAGTGAACCAGCTAAGAAATTCCGTGACGAGGTAAGACTATTGCGAATAAAATGACGTATCTGTTTATTGTTATATTGTATATTTATAGAAAAATAGTAGAAATAAGAATAACATCTTTACATTTATTCGTAGATACTTTTTGTCACCATCAATTCTGACAACGATGACCATGAGCGCATTTTGGATTTCTTTGGCATTAAGAAGGACGACGCTCCTGCCATGCGAATAATTCAATTGGAACAGGACATGGCCAAGTACAAACCCGAGAATCCGGAACTGTCTGCCGAAAGCGTTTTGGAATTCGTCACTGGCTTCGTAGAAGGGAAGCTCAAGAGGCACATGCTAACTCAAGATCTGCCCGAGGACTGGAACAAAACCCCTGTTACGGTTCTCGTCGGCACCAATTTCCATGAAGTTGCTTTCGATAAAGAAAAGGACGTACTAGTAGAATTCTATGCACCATGGTGTGGCCACTGTGAAATGCTAGCTCCTATTTATGAATCGGTAAATAACTTTTTGCCTGCTGCCATTACCGTTCGATCGTTTAACTCTTATCATTTACTTACTAAACTTTTCGCTCTTAGCTCGGTGAAAAGTACAAGGACAACGAATCGATAATCATTGCAAAGATGGATGCCACTGCTAATGAGCTCGAAGACATTAAGATAGAGAACTTCCCGACGATTGTATTATACAAGAAAGAAACGAATGAAGTAAGTTCTAATTCTGGTTTCATGGTTTAATCGGGTTACAACTTTGATACGTTGATTCTCATTATTGCCAATTGTATAATTTGTAACAGGCCGTTAACTACATCGGTGAGAGAACATTAGAAGGTTTATCTAAATTTATCGAAACGAACGGTGCGTACGGACAAGCCCCTGAGGAGGTCGGTATTACCTTTAAATTAATATTTGACTTCGGTTAAAACCATTGAGTTAAATTCACAAAGTTATTAACATTTTTCTTTTATCGGTTCCATTGTAGGCCCAAGAAGAGGATGAAGACGACGACGTGCCGAGAAAGGACGAACTGTAAACGCGTCGTTCTCGCGGTTAACGTTGATTTCATCACTCGAATTCTTCCGAACATCGGTGCAGTGAACATCCTTTGCCGACCGTCCAGCTTCCGAAACGTGTCCGTTTCCATTTCCATTTTCACTTCCATTTTCATATACGTTTCCGCTTTCCCTTTTGCTTCTATTTGCGTGGAGTCGGTGACACTTTCGAAGAGCAAAGCGTTCTGCCTTTCCCAACGTTTTTTTTTTTATCCTTATAAATTTACATGTCGCGTCGTACAATTAACATTTAGGAGTTCAATTGCAATATTCGAGACGTTCTTGCCATGGAAGAACCCGAACTGGATTTATTTCGTGAGTCAGTGAAACACATACTCAAGAATTTTCGTACCAAGTGATCGCATTCTATTTAGGTTCGTGAAAACCAGCCGCTCGTTTAACGCAGACCGAAAGTTGGTCGTACTCTGAAAAGAGCGAACCACTGAACCTTAATTGAAAACTAGCAAATCAGGACTCAACGATTCGTTATACTCCACAAACGAAGTTATCGTTATCGCTCGTCCCGGATTTAGACATGTGTCTTTTTATTTTCGAAATGGAACGCGCACCAAGAGACCCTCCGAGGTTCTCCGTAGTCCTCGTGTTCCTTTTATTTTTATAATGAAACTGAACTTCCTTCTTTCTTTTTTTTTAACGATTAGCGTCGCAACACTTAAGATGTGTATTCAATCCCGACTAATCGAGAGGCTAATGGAAAAAGGGTTTTCCGCAGTCCGGCCACGATCGCGTAGCTCGATTGTGTAATTCCATCGACGGCATTTAAAAGGATTAATAAAAAGAAAGGGTTGTTATTCACGAGGCATTTAGACTAAAAGTCACAGGAATGCCTAGTTTAAACTGACTGACATATAATACGGAGTTAGAGGTGGAGTAGGTGTTGATAACAAATACGAAAAAGAGGAAGAATTTTTATCTCTAAGTCTTTATTATATATTATTCTTAATATATGAAATATTATATTCTACGTTTTCGACTTGCGATTCATTCCCCTGCCGAGACGAATGCGCGCGTTCATCGTTTTCTTCTCGCTGGGGTAACCAGATTTACTTATCGGCGATGTTGACGGTATCTAAATCTGCAGTTGAAAAGAAAAAACCGATTAACTCGAGAGATACGCGAAATGTTTCGCACCCGATGTTGCTCTCGCTAGCGAACGAGAGGTTAACAATTTGAGCATCGAGCGATGTAGATCATAAGACCCTCATTTCTGAGCGATCCTTAAATCGATTCTAATCCCTGTTATTTTCTTACGAAGGCTGACCCTGCTGGGGTAACCGAAAAGGCCGAAAACGTTCTGGATCTGTCGGCTCTTAATGATTTTGCCGAACGGACTCTGATATCGACCGAGCGCGCCAAAAAGGCTTTACTGGCCGAATGCGAAGAAGCTCGATTTGCTTTGAAGCCGTGGCCGGTAGAGACGATCGTTCCAAAAAATATTTCCATCTCTTGCACCTGTCTCGAGGTGAGCGGATTAGGTAGTTACATGGAGAAAGTATTTATCATGGTACAGGCAATGCGGTATAATTTTAGGATAAAGCCAAAGCGGAGCTCTCTTCGATAGAAGAAATCTCTTCTGGGATTAGCAAAGCGGTGCTTCGAGCTCAACAGCTCAGGGAGAAATTGGCTGCTACCGTTTCCAAGGAAAAAAGGAAGCTGCGGCAGCCCGATGTACGGAGCATCTATGCTCCGGTTCCTTCGGCATCGCTTAAAAGTGCAGCGAAGGGAAGCTTACCGCCAAGGAAGAATCATGCTCGCACAAAAGTAAAGAAAACTGCTGAAACTTTATTTTATATTAGATTAGATCATGAACAATTTATTTGCGAATCCGTGCATATCTGTAATTTTTTCTACCAGGCGAGTCAATCTGCCAGCTATGGAAAGTTGACGCCTACGAGCCCTAACGCGGCGTCCTCTACAGAGTTGGAGAAGTTGATAAAGAAAATTTCTCTGGAAAATGATAGTTTGCACGGAAGCGATTGCCCACACCAAAGTGACACTCCAAACGAGACCACCACCGTCGTCACGACAGTAGACGCAGTTGAAGGACTCGACAAGTACGGAGTTCATCCAGATCTATTAGGACTTCTGAAAGTCTATCACGATTACTCGAAGGAGGGAAAATCTCCCACAAAGTCTAAGAACAAAAATGCCGTTGATAGCTTTCTGCGAGCATTCGATAAAATGGTAGGAAATTGTGCCCTGCAAAGTCTTTACTTCCACTCAAGTAACAACGATTTTAATCTTAAACTTCCGCTCTTATTGCAAACCATTTTTCATATTTCAGAATACTGCTGAACGAAACCAGTTGAGGGAATCTTCGGGGGACATAACGGATCTTGTCGAAAGGAGTGTGTCATTATTCAGCGAAACGTACAAACAAGAGGGCGATCATTCTCGTCGCAAGGAGTGGAAAGCGGAATACATGAATCTGGATTCTGCATACAAGATGTTTAATGTGAGGCAGTTTCGTGTACGTGACTTGAAAGAATCAAAGGGTACCACAGGATTCCTCGAATTCCTCAAAGACTCAAACTGGGTACCCAGGGAGATTTGGAATGACTCTTGTTTCTCGGTATTGAAAGGTAACTCTAAACGGTAGATTTTTATTTATTAAATAATATTCCTTATTAACTTGAGTTTGAGAGTTTTGAATTTGCTTAAAGAAATTTCAGGAACCAGTCGAAACCTTTGTATACCGTATTTCACAAAGGACGAACTATTGGCTTCCTGCGAAACTATGCAACGATTGCAGAGAACCTGTTATCGAAAGGATTTGATCGACTTGTTGATAGGAGACGTGATACCCCAGATAAAAATGCGTCTCGATCCCAAAACCCGCGAGTATGCGGAAGCGTATAAAATGATCGTTGTGATTTCCCAGCCGATCAATCCGAGAGTTCCCGTTCTTGTCAGAACCGATGAGTGAATCGGAGCGAAAAGACGGTTTAGGAAATTTCGAACTTGCGAATACTTTAGATTCTGAATTTAAGAGAGTCCTTAAGTGATTACCAAATGAACGATCTTGTAGTTTCTAAGTATATCGAAGATTCGAGGTTACCGATGCGTTTCCATGGAGAGAGAGAGAGAGAGCGAGGTCCTTTTCATCGATTTAACAAGCAATTATTATACCCGCTCTTCTATTCCCCTTTGTTATCGGACACTGGGTTAGAATAGGAAATAGTGTAAGGATAGTAAAGAGGTAACCCGTGCGATTTACTTTCGAATACAATACGAGGCAAGATGGAGGAGCCACGGTACGAATACACGAAGCCTAGGTCAAAATTTGGAAAACGCTGTAACTTTTCCAATTACGATTCGATTGACGTAAATATGCTCTCGGAAGCTGCGGCTCAGGCTGAACATTTTAAAAGAATAGATCCCATCACCGAAGGTACCCAATTAAGCAAGTTGTACGGTTTGCACACGGTGAGTATCTCTCTTTCCGCCTACCTCGATGCTCTCTTTATTCATCGGACTCGACGGATGATTAAACGATATTTATAATATATCTCCTTGATTGTATAATAAATTCAGCGTTTGTTGCAAATACTATTGCATTCGTATTGGCGCAGGAAAATTGAAAGAGAATTTTGAAACGAAACCGATGCTCGTCCGAATCCGTGAAAGAAGATAGAAATAATCGTTAATTTCTAGAATAATACAGCAACGGCAACCTACGAAGAAGATGGAATGCATCACGTCGAAGGTGGCTGGCCAAAGGACATAAACCCGCACGACCAGGAACAGACCGTCCGATATCGCAGGAAGATCGAGAAGGATGAATTATTCGTCCATACGATGCAACACCTGATGCCTGTACATTTTTTAACTCGTTGCTTCGAGCTTGCTGAATCCTTTACGATGTTATTTATTTTCCCTTAATCCCTGACTGTAAAAAAGGGGAGTATTTTAACGCATCGATCTTTCGTTCAAGCCAATGGAACACACGATCCTGCAGAACAATGCCTCCGACATATACGAGCATTATTTCACCGACAGTGCCCCAGCTTCGCTCGTTCAGCGCAGATCTTGCAGAACGGTGAACGTTTATCGAGACTTGGTGCCGATCAAAAGACCGGTTACTCATCTTTCCTGGTCCCCGGACCAAGGAGTTAGACTGGCAGTGAGCTACTGCCACACGGACTTCGAGAGGCCAATCAATTGCAGCCCCGTGTCCTACATTTGGGACGTAGGTAAGAGGACCCGAAGAACGGGAACCCGGATCAATTTATTAATTCGATCGTTTGTTCGTGGGTCAAAGAGAGCCCGAACAATCCTTTCGTTACGCTGCGACCACTCTGTCCGGCTCTGGCGACCGAGTACAACCCTAAAGATGGGAACTCCCTGGTCAGCGGACTGATGTCCGGCCAGGTGGCTCTCTGGGACGTGAGACGGGGTGCTCTTCCCATCGAAAGGACCCCTCTCGAGACCAGCCACAGGGACCCGTGCAACAAGGTGCTCTGGATAAATGCCAAAACCGGAACGGAATTGTTCAGCGCCTCCAAGGATGGTCAGATCAAGTGGTGGGACACCCGGAAGATGAAGTCGCCTACCGAGACCTTGGTCATGGACCTGGTGAAGCCCGAAGAGCAGGACGTCGCCAGGGCGACCGGGATTTCCTCTCTTCACTTCGAGCCCACCATGGGGTCTCGTTTTCTGTGTGGCCTTGAAAATGGTACCGTAAGCGGTCCATCTAAATAATGGCCATTCGTCGTCGTTGACAATTCTTATAAAGACGCGATGCTTTCAGGAATCGTCGTCTCTGGAAATCGCAAAGGCAAGACACCCGGGGAACAGATGGCGGTCAGGTTTCGAGCACAGCATGGACCGGTGGTAGCTATCGAGAGGAATCCGACTTTCGTGAAGAACTTCTTCACGGTCGGGGACTGGACGGTCAGGATCTGGTCGGACGAGTGCAGGGAGTCCTGCATAGCTTGGACCCCGTTAGTTGACAACCCCTCGTTTTGTTTCTATTATTTTCGTGCATACGTACGTGCCCGTTTAAATTATTTGCACCTATTAAAATAATTTTAGCGGTCACAGAGACGCCCCAACGGGAGGCTCGTGGAGCGCAACGCGTTATTCCGTCTTCTACGTCTCCAAAGCTGACGGAAGTCTCGACGCGTGGGACTTCCTCGTTCAGCAGGACTCCCCGATTCTTAGCGTCAAGGTAAGAGACAAGTAACACTTTGAAGGTTCTTTTTATGACTTTTAATCGTTGCTACAGGTTTGCGATGATCCCCTTACGTACGTAAGATCTCACGAACATGGACAGCTGATCGCAGTTGCGAGTAAGAACGGGACTACGTACATGCTCGAGTTCTCGGAAGCATTTGTGGCCAACCAACGCTCCGACAAATTTCTTTTCACTGCGGTAAGTGAAAAGGTCGACGGGAGCTCTCTACATATTTTTCAGATCTCCGTTATCCTTATCGTTATTTTATTCCTCAGCTTCTCGATAGGGAGACTCGTCGCGAGAAGGTGATCGAGGCTAAAAACCGAGAAATTAGGCTCAAAATGAAGGCGGTGCGACCTTCCGATGCAGCAACCGCTGGTGGAGCGGAATCGGATCAAGCTAGAGCCGATCTTCGGAACTGTAACCCTAAACTGGATCCTCTCGTGGAGCAATATGAACAAGATTATGAGACCGCTGTCCACGAGGTAGGTGTACAGCGAGCAAATCTTCATTTTTCATTACTTTTTGAGGTTCGTCTCATAGTCCGCTCATCTACAGGAGATCACCAGGAGAATGTCTCTCGAGAATTCGGAGGTGAACAATAACGAGCCGCAGAATGCAACGTGGACCGGAAACCGAGAAATCTAGATTACTTGAATTTTTTTTTTTTTTCTTTCTACTCTAGTCTGATGTATCGTTATTACTCTAAAAAATGTATCCCGGAGTATTTTCTACTCTTACGGACATGAGGCCAACCTTCACGGGAAAAATGTGACGACGGGGACGAACAGGTGGTGACCTTGCCTTGAACACCTGTTGACTGTTCCCTCACCCGAATGCATTCGCGGCAGACTGCAACTCTATTTCCGTCCTGCTCCTAGTTCGCCGCTTATCGATCGACCGTCGCAGTTCCACCCTGGTATTCCCTTAGTATACTTTAAACAAAGTCGAATTGAATTATATAAATAACGTTACCCGAACATTCTTCCGTGGAAACTCTAATCCTGGTTCGGAATCACGGAAGGATCTGCCGTGCGTGAAAGGATTACTTGTAGAAACGGAGGGACGTCGTTAGGGTAAATTCTCGATGAATTAAAATTTTTTCTGAATATTTCAACTTGTATAAAATTATTTCGGTTTGCCTTCTGCTACCGTTTTATCGGAAAATAGATAAAAGTAAGAATACGTGATAGGCTGCTAGGGTGAACGTGATTTTATGAAAGCGTCGTTACCATGGAAACCGGTAGCCATCTTGCATCAAAACAATCGAAGAGTGGCAGAATTTATTCCGTACGATAGAAATGGCCAACAATTCGATTTTAATATATCTGCGCTCGCAATGTTAATATAACATCGTAACGGTGAAGAAAAAAAAAAAAAAAAATGAGTCCAATTGTAGTGTAAAAATTTGTACTGACTTTGCACACATTTTTTCCAGAAATCCGTCACTTTTCAACATCGACATGAAAAACGCCGCTGAAAGTCGAGATCAGCCAAGGCCAAAGCCGAAACCTCGAAGATTCGTCGTTTCTGGTCCAGATTCAGCGGATGCATCGACGTTGTCGAAAACGGGTGATCGTCCAGGTCCCCAGCCTCCAAGAAAGCCGCCAAGGAAACGATGGACCAAGGATGCGACTCTCTTCCACCTACCAGGAAGTAACTCCGGAAATGAATCCGGCGATGCTTCCGGTAAAAATTCCAAGCACGTCCTTGAGGCCGCTGGAGACTGCGGGGAGTCTCCAAAATCATTGCGAGAATTTCTCCTGGCGAATTCCCGCGACGCGGTGCAAAGAGAGGACACGGATGGCGTGGACAATGCGGCATTCGAAACGGACCCTGAAGAGATGCTTACGGTAGAGACGGACCACCGAGAGAGCACGAAAATCGAGATGAAGATCATCGCCGGAAATCCCGACGACGAAGAAATCCTCGAACGGAGTTCCGAACGGGATATTTCAGGAATCCAGGATCTCGAAGACATCCAAGACTTGCGAGACTCCAGGATCAGTTCGCAGGAAGCGATTTCAGAGTCAGAATCCCAAAGCGAAGTCGAGACCAAGGACCTCTTTGTCAGCGAGAGGGATAGAAAGCGAATTCCATCGAGACTCGACCTCGAAGAAAGCTCCACGGAGAATGAACTCGAAAACGTTAAGGAAACCTCTTTTATAGAAGGAAGAATTCATGGCAGAAATAAAAGAACTCCTCAACGAAGTGGATCTTCTTCGCCTTCCTCGGAAGGGAGACCTCTTAATTCGGGTAGGTCGGACGGAATGTCCGAGAGAATTCCAAGGCAAAAACAGCGTCCCCCTCGAGGACGTTCGCGAGGAAGAAAGGAAACCCCCTCCGGTGGAGAGCCTTCCATCGAGATGACGGAAAAGACCTCGGGACCGAGAAGACTCGAAAACGCTACAAGGAAAAAATCGAAAAAGGGAGTTTCAAGCATTTCGAGCAATCCTCGAGATAAAACGACGTCTACGTCGTCGCCGACGCGTGAACGGAAGAGAAGTCCAGCTTCGCGGAAATCCGAGGAACGGGAAAATCGCGATTCGAAATTCGTATCCGTAATCGTCCACGGAAGCGATGTCCTTGAAACCGATTACGCGACCACGCGACATCCCATGGTCAAGGTCCACCTCGTGGAGACCACGACCGGGGAACGCCTCGGAGGTGTGAGACCGATCGCCACCGGGAAATTCGACTTCAGGGAAAATCGGTCCATGCTCCCTCTCTGGGAAGAGGAATTGGTCTTCGAGTACCGCTTGAAAAACCTTTTGCAAGTAGCAGGATCGAAGCGTGGTCTGATCCTCTTCGAGATCGTCGATTCGGTGTCCTTCGCAGAGGCACATCCAGACTGTGAAAGTTCCGGTAAGTCAAATCACGGTTGTTGAGAAGACTTCCTTCGATTTCTTCCCAGTTTGAAATATTGATCGATGAATCATTAATTCAAGGTGAGGAGGCCTACAGCTTCGCGATAGCATGGGCCTTTCTGACGCCGGTGGGGTCCTCCGGAATTCTGCACGTCGACAAGAAAATCCGACTGCAGTTGTACAGGCCTCGAAGAAGATCCTTGAAAAAACAACGGAGACACAAGTGCGAGGTCTGGGATAAAAGCTCGGATAGAAAGCCGCGTCTATTTTCATTTTGATTAATAATTTCCATAATCAATTCGTCAATTCGAAACAGGTATACTCCTGGTGGAAATCCAGGGTCAGAGAGAAATACCCAGGCAGCATTTACGTGACGGTAACGTCCGTCGACCCTCCTCATCTCGAGCCAGTTTTTTACCAGGAATTCACTCCAAATGGACCGCCCAGGGCAAAAAGTGCAGCCAGCTCAAAGAGCGCGAAACTGGAAAATTCTCTTCGACTTCCGGAGTGGTCTCGACTGGCGGCTCAATCTTGCAAGATACCCAACGAGGTCCTCTTCGAAACCGAGATCTGCGAGAATGGGTGCTTTTACGTTGCCTTCGGCAACGACGGGAAATACCTGGCCTGCGTCAACGCCGAAGAGTACGACTACCCCGTTTCGGTTTACCAGGTAATTCTAGAAAAAATGCAGGAAACCGATGAACACTAATTATAGGACGTCTAATGCCGTATCGAATTTCAGGTCGACGAGGAGAAGATCCACGCCAGATTTTCCGGACACAAACATTTTGTGTACTCGTTAAACTGGTCCAAAAACGACACCTATCTGTTGTCGGTGTCTTCCGATCGGACAGCTCGCATTTGGGACGTCCACGACAAGATCGTGCAGCACGTGCAGGTGTAACTGCGCTTCTTCCTGAGTATTCCTCGTACCAAACTAACGCGTTCGCGACTCTCCCCCAGATGTTGCCGCACCCTTCGTACGTGTACTGCGGAAAGTTCGACCCTGAAGACCCGTCCGTCGTAGCGACTGGATGCTACGACAGGACCGCAAGGATCTGGGCCAGGAGCGAGGATTACGAATCCTACGAGCTGGTCCAAGAGCTCGAAGGACACGAGGGCTTCGTGAATTCTTTGGTCTTCCAGAAAACCGGCGAGTTGTTGACCGCCGACAGCGCAGGAGCTATCGTCCTGTGGTCGCAAAAGAGAGCCCCAGGCAAGCCGTGGCATCGGTGGCAAATCTCCAGGCGGATAAGGATCAAGGAACTCGAAGGCGTGGCGATCAACACGATAGTTCTGCATCCTCTAGGATCCAGACTATTGGTCCACTCCAGGAACAGCGAACTTCGGATGCTGGACCTCGCCACTGGAGTCGTTCTTCGCAGATACGAGGGCTTGAACAATCGAAGGTCCCTGCGCTCTTCGCGTTCCTCTTCTCTCCGTCGGCCTAATATTTCTTTTTAATTTATCCTGGCTCTTCCGACTTGCAGGATCCAAACGGCAGCTCGAGTGTCGCCTTGCGGGGGCCTCGTCTTTTGCGGTGGCGAAGACGGTGTCCTCAACGTCTGGAACGTGGAGACTGGAAAGCACCTCGCCAAGTTTACCCTGGGCGATAGTTGCGAACCGGTCACCTGCGTGGACTATCATCCCTACGACCACCTGATAGCGGTCTCCGTCTTCGGGCGACCAGCCGGAGCAAAGCTCCTGAAATTCAGCAAAAACTCAACCGGAGAGTCCGTTGGTTTGAAATTACTGATTAAGGCGGATACCACCCAGGATTCTCTGGGATCGATCGGCCCGCCGGGGAGAGTCCCGGTTCCCCTGCCTCGCCTCGACAAGGAGAGGCGCGAGAGCGCTTTTAATTTGTCCACCTCCGAGAGGAACCTCGGCTCCAGGAGCACCGACAGACTGCGAGATATCATCCAGAAGATCGATAAGATCCTGTCGAGCAGCTCCGTGGAGACCCCGAAGCGCCGACTGCGACCCGAGGATCTCAGCGGTGCGTTTCGAGTTCCTCCGGAATTAGAGGACAGACCGAGATTCCGAAAGTCAAGAAGGACGAGGAGAAGCATAGAATCCGGCAGGGACGGCCAGGACTTGGACTCCTCGAGTTCGAGGCAAGGTCTGGCGAGCGAACGAGAGACGTCGAGGAACTCCAGGGAAAGTGAAGAAGAGGCGGAGTTCTCGAGTTCCAGGAATGACCGAAGAGGAGCGTCCGGAGATCGGGAGAGACCCTCTCGGCCGAAGCTGAGTAAGAGGGAGAGACGTCGAAGAAGGACCTCGAAAGGAAGCGAAAAAGGAAGATTGGAAAGAGATTTTGGGAGATACGAGAGGCAAGGATCAAGGTCCAGACCCCGAGGGTCAACGAGCGATTTTAAGGACGAGAAAGGACAACCCGAGGAGGTGGTCTACGAAAAAGTACAGACGGGGGGCAGCGCTTTCGAGTTCTCCGGTTCCGGAGAACGCGAGTCATCCCTCGAATCCTCGACGGAACGTTTCCATACGGATTCAAGGGATGGCGAAGTCATCGTCGACCTTCAGGTCCATTGCCCCGGTTCTCCTGCTCTAGAGGATCAAAAGAATTCGGAGGAGGTCCGCATCGCCATGCCCGACGCCGAAGAAAGCGACGGGAGTACTCCGGATAGCGCGGGAACCTATATCGTTGACATGAGAGAATCCGACAACGAAAACGTCGACAGGAACATAGGATAACCGAGGAGGTGGCACCGAGTTTCGTGCCTTAGATCTATGAGTGATTTTCAAGGATCAGGAATAGACGATCAGACGGTTTGTCAGACATGCTCGTCTAATTAAACGTACTCATTGTTATTGTTCAATAAGTTGCTTTATTACATTAATTATTTTACAGTTTATTATACATCAAGTACCGCAAGTATGTACATTAGTTCTCGAGCTCGTTTTTTACGTTACGTTCACGTTGCCACCACCAGGCAGCACCATATACACGAGGAAGCCATTCATGACCGCCTGTGTATATACCATTAATATTCTTAACTTTTAGTAACTTATTCTCTGTCAAATTTCTGAATTCCTGAATTTTTTGCCTGTCCATTTGTGCTCCTTTCCGCGGTAGGTGGACCACTTAACAGGATCTAAGTTTTGAGGGGAGTTTCAGGTTGCGCAGCGATACCTGCCACCTCTCTTCCCTCTTAGATCCGTGACGTAAAGACTATCCATGCCACCTGGTGGCATACCAGTGCACGTGTAACATTCCGTAACCGATCATAACCGCACCTGTCATCCAGTCTGGGTTGGGCGGTGTTGAACGTAACTATAGAGACGAAGGGAAAGTGCGCGGAGTGCGCGAAACGCGCAAACGGATATCGAAATGCGAGAGACTCCAAATTGACGCTTTCCGCGTATCTCGAAGCGATAATGTTCTGGTAAATCGAGGATAAACCGTCGAACGCGTGGGCGGCGTAAGCCCCGTCAAAGCGGGATGCTTTTTCCGGTACGATTCGCGTTTTTCCCGACTCTCTGTATATTGAGTAAGTACTCCTGTTCACAAATAACCTCTATCTTCGGCTTTACGTAGCGTATTTCCAAGAGATTTCATAGAATTTCTGAAAAGTACCACGGGATGAGGCGCGCCGAGATTTGACCAACATAACCTCGTGACCCTCCGCGATCGATAATCCATCGCCGTCCGAACAGACGCGCTTTTTAAACGTGACATTTCGTAGAAACGAGTACTGTACAGGAAATGTTAATAAATTTAATCATTGGCGTAATTAGTGATTAATGTATTCATTTACTAAGATTGGTGTTATTTTGGGAGGTTGTATTTATTGTTTGAACGAGTCGTACTCACATCTTGATGTCCGATTGAATCATTACTTAGCTTTTTCAGCATTTTTTCCTAACACCGCTGCTTCTCGCGTCCTCGAGCTTAATGACAGGTAAGAGTTAAGAATGAGTCTAAGCGTTTTAGAATTAACTTTTACTTTGTTTCTAAAGCTTCGGTATTCGTTAAACTTTAATCGGCGATATAGGTTTTACGACTATTTTATTTTCTTGCAGGTTCCTTGACATTCGTAAAGAAGGGCAATGGCTAGTTATGGTAACTTTATATTATGGGAATGTTGTTACAGGCTTATATCCGTTGAAAACAATAAATCATGATCCTTGTTTAGATGTATGCACCGTGGTGTGCTCATTGCAAGAGGTTAGAGCCAATCTGGGGACACGTAGCGCAACGGCTATACGCGACATCTGTTCGCGTTGGGCGAGTTGACTGCACAAGGTTCACAAATGTAGCGCGAACATTAGAAGTCAAAGGGTTTCCAACGATTTTGTTGTAAGTATGATTTTTCTCACCCTTCCAGCTGTATGCGTAACTTTTGACAAACGTTATGAATTTACTGGCAGTCTGAAAGGAGATCAGGAATTTGTTTACAATGGCGACAGGACAAGAGACGAAATAGTCAAATTTGCTTTAAGATTGACCGGACCACCGGTGCAAGAGATAACAAAAACACAAAGCTTTGAAATTTTAAAAAGAGATCGTGATTTGTACTTTTTGTATGTAGGAGAAACATCCGGACCATTATGGGTAAGCTAAATAAAAATGTTATTAATTTAAATGCTTGCTGAATTTTAATATTCCTAGGAGTTGTATCACAAGACTGCCGAACTGTTCCAACCACATGCATTTTTCTATCGATCGCATGTGAAGGTGACGGATAAACACGTACCTGTAGAAAATACTCCGACGCTATTTGTATACAAGGAAAATCTACACTATAATTTCACAGGTAAAGCACTATGTGATTTTAAAGAATAAATCACAGTAATAATGACAATTTGGCAATGTTCGATTACAGGCCACGATATAACCGATATAGAAACACTGAATATAACCCTGTACAAATGGGTGAATGCGGAACGTTTTCCAACATTCCCAAAGGTGACTCGCGGAAATATAAACCAGCTTTTCTTAACAAATAAAAATCTAGTCTTGGCTGTGGTGGAAGAAAATCAATTGGAAGAAATCTCACCTGATATGACAGAATTTAAAGATATGGTAGAATCCGTTATTAAAAAGAAACGAGAAAAGTATCACGAGTAAGTGTATTTTTCGTTATTGTCTCGTACAAACAGTCTATCGTGTCATGTCAATTAAATAATTACTCTAATCGTTTTCAGTCATTTCCAGTTTGGCTGGATAGCCAGCCCTGATCTAGTCAATAGTATAGCGACGACGGTCGTGCCTTTACCGAGCTTGATCGTCATCAATACATCCACTAGTCATCATCATATTCCCGAGGACGAACCAGGAAAACTCACTCCCCACGTAATAGAAATGTTCCTAGAGCAAATCCGTAATGAAAGCGCCCCGGTAAAGAAAAATCCTAATAAATTTGAAGATGTGCGATCACGGTTATAAATTAATAATTCGGATACTTTTGCAGAAATATGGCGGAAATGGTTGGTTAGTTCGTATCTACAGGTCTTGGTTCGAAACAAAGACAACATTATTTTTAATGTGGAAGGGAAATCCTATATTAACGATGGTCCTTTTTGGCCTACCGGCTGGGTTTTTATCCTTAATATGTTATGGAATTTGCTGCCCTGATATTTTAGATGCAGACGATGACGAAGAAGGTATTGCATCGCCAGTCTACACTTATTACAACTTTTTATTTTGTTGCATTAAATATTGTGAACATCATTTGTCCACAGAATATACTAATGGAAATCACATGAAGAAAGACTAAGTGGAAAATATGTGTAACGGGGACACACCATACCGGTTGGATTTGCAACCTTCGTGTTATGTATGAATATCTAATTTTGCGAGATTGATATAACGTTGTGAAAACATTATGCCAGACGAATCAATTTTAAAGGACTTAACTAATGCCGACATCTGTTCAAGAAATGTGGTAAAAACTGTTTTTCATATTTTAAAAACATAGATGAATGAACTTCATCATAGATAAATGGAATTTACACAAGACAATACTAAATGTTTCAAGTAACCTTTGCTTGAAAAACTTAGGAAAAAATAGATTGCTATACGAGTAGCTAAGAACCTATGTATATATTACACATGGTATTATGAATATTAATTAGTATTTAATTAAAATAAAAATGTGCTTCAATTCCTACAGGTGAATTATACATGATTTTAGAATAATTTGTGTTATGTGATTATAAACATAGGAATGGCATAAATTTCTAAGAATTGTCTCACTATTGCTGAGTATTGGTATATTATATATGCCTTTTCATTGTGTAGTTGTTTCCAATTAATACCAGTTATTTTTTAAATTCATTGAAAAAGTTATTCCCTCAGAAATTTCAATTACCTGAAATAGATAATTCAACACATGTTGAATAATGTTTGAAATTCATGTATAATTCTTTTTATTATAGTCTCAAATAAAAAAGATGTACTTAATTATATTTAAAGAAAAGTATTCTTGCCTGCTCGCTGTATGATCATGGCGAGAGCGAAAAACACTGAATTTAAAGCCATGTGATGCATGTATTTGCTATAAGTCATCTTCATCCGAATCCAGAGCTGCTCTACGTCTGTCAAACTAATGGTTTGTTTTAGCGATAGGTAAAATTATTTTAACTTTGCTACACTAATTGTACTCCTTAGTACATGTTTATACCAACCTTAACGGTTGTTTTCTTCTGAGTTTGTTGACTGACAGATTCTAGTAAACCAATAAGTTCCTTTTCCCCAAGTTTACCAGGAAGTTGACCACGTTGCGCCATATTTAACAGCAAATCCTCGACCATTTTTCCCTTTTCTGGCTTACCCAAAGAAAGTGTGTTCACTGTAAAAAAAAAAAAAATTATTTATAGGTGAACTACTGTGTATGGAAAAATGGTATGCCTTACGTCTTGCTCTTGCTGATTGATCCAGTACTTGTGACAGAATAGAATTTCTCATATCCACCATTTGCTGCCTCTTCTGTTCCATGGCTTGTTGATTGCCTCCATCTTCACCCTTAATTGGAAAAGTTATCGATGTAGCACTGGTGCGATTATCATTCGTATTATAAATTATGGAAAGAATTTTATGAAAAGACCATAACCTCTATCATTGAATTTTTTAATTGATCACTTATTACTTAACATAAAATTAAATGCAGTCGTCGCTTTTAAGAAGTAAATTATAAATAAAGATATATAGTTTAACATCGAATGTTCAAGTAACTTCGATGTACTTATTTTATATGATAAATATATGAAGTCAAATTAACCTTGTACTGGGTCTGCAGCTGTGCTAAGCGTTGTTGACGGATAGCTTCAAGCTCCGGGTCCGACATGATTTTATGTTTCTTAATAAATTCTCTTCAATTTTTTAAGAATCTCAGATTTCACCACGTACTTAAATTCTTCGCCAATTATTTTTACCTGCTACACATGCTTGCTTTTATCCGCTACAGAAACGTCAGTCCGTGCCATTTCCATTCCCATTTATGTGCATTTATGGACAGATAACCAGACCGATGAATTTGGATGTTCGTAGAAATGAGAAATCAGTCAGAAGTTCCTCGTAAAGTTGTTTTAACTTGTGCTGCCTTCACGCGGAAGGAATTCATGATATATCCGTATGCAATTTGGAGCCTGCTTCAGCAGTTGTGAAATTCGCAACCTATCTTACTTACTCGTTAGAACAAAAACCATGGCACTGGTCCTGTCCATTTCGGGCCGAAATCCACACAAATACAGATACAGATGCCTATGCAGATACCCGACAGATGCCCATACAGATACCCGTATAGAAATAGAACCGAATAGCTTGCATGGCTTCGAATGGGTGTTCGCGTATTCAAGTTTTACGAAGAGGTTAAAATAAATGTTTTGTAAAATGGTAAATATTCATGTTCATTAACGAATGCTTCGATGTGCATTGACGGAATATGATACAAGTGATAATGTACGTTTATTTGCACTTGGTAGAAGGGTCATTCATACAATTGTTTTCTCATATCGGCTTTTCGAACATCTAATTTCAGGTTAGGTCTTTCCGATTAATTTCATATATGATGTTTATTCGATCGAGAACATGAGAAGTGACTATTTCTCATGAATTTTAGAAGAACTGCAGTTGTTGTGTATTTTCATCTCTTTTTTATAAACCACTTCTAATACATGATTCAGCAAAATCATCATTTCTATGAGAATTAATTGTTTTTAACATATAATAGGAGTTTCGAATTTTTTTGTGCAGCTTTGTATCGGTTATATTAATGATATTCTATGAAATATTCATTTGTTAATTATGTTTGTTATTTAGTTTCAGAACATTACATCATATAGGATGAGTCGTTCAGGAGTAACGCACACGACACAGTCGTGTAGTCGAATTATTCCTCCTTCTAGAGAATTACTACATACTAAGTCTTTAGCTTTATTAAATCAATCGCACATATCGGAAGTACAGGTAAAATTTCTTACAATTAATTTTATTAAGGCACAATAGATCTCGTAATGTAATTACATACAAATTTTAGGCTCGACTCTATTCGAATGCATCACGGCGTCCAGGTTTCTTTTCAAAATTTCTAGAGAATATTAAGCAAGATCTTCAGAAAAATAAAGAAATGAAAGAGTCGTTAAAGAAATTTCGGGAAGAAGCAGCAAAGCTTGAACAGTCAGATGCTTTACGTTCTGCAAGGCAAAAGTTCCAAACCGTTGAATCCGAAGCCAGCAGAAGTTCTGAAGTAATTAAAGAGAAACTTGACACTATCAAAGAAAAGGTACTTTTAAATTATAAAGGATGTTTTACATTATGTTTCGGAAAATATAACTTCAATTAATGTATCAATTTTTGAATGTGTAGGTTCAAGGAGTATTAGAAGAGGCAGGCAAAACAGAGCTAGGTAAAAAAGCTGGGCAATTTGGTGAGGAACTCTCGAAGTCAGCAAAAGAAGCAGCTGAAACCATTTCAGAGAAAAGTCAAGCACTTGGGAAAACGGGTGCTTTTCAAACAATAACACAGACTGCTGAAGCTGTACGCAAAGAATTAGATCACCAAGGTATCCAAGGTACGTTAATTTTGTAAGTAATCGGCATGCCAAGACAATTAATATATAAATATTAATTTTCTTATTATTAAACAGGAAGAGTTTATGTACCATTAAAAAAATTACGTAAAAGGAAAGAAGTATTGGAAACACAGGATGATAGGCCAGTGGAAGCAAATTTTGAAGCAACAGGTGTCGAACTGCATAAGGACTCAAAATTTTACCAGTCGTGGGAAAATTTTAAGGTAGTTCCTATTCTTTTTATTGATTTATATGTGCCATCTTAAAATGCATTTCATAATTATTTTTTACATTTTTCTTAACAAGGATAATAATCCATACGTGAATAAAGTTCTGGATTGGAAGATAAAGTACGATGAATCAGACAATCCTGTAATTCGTGCATCTAGAATTCTTACGGACAAAGTTTCCGATATCATGGGGGGCTTGTTCCAAAAGACTGAACTTTCAGAAACTTTGACAGAGATCTGTAAACTCGATCCAAGTTTCGATAAAGTTAAATTTCTAAGAGACTGTGAAACGGACATTATTCCAAATATCCTGGAAGCGATGGTCAGAGGAGATCTTGAAATTCTGAAAGATTGGTGCCACGAAGCTCCATTCAACTTGATAGCACAGCCTTTAAAACAAGCAGAAAAACTAGGATACCATTTAGATAGTAAAATACTAGGTATTAACATTTTTATGTATGCCTTGTGTATTAAATAATATCTTTGACGTTCTTCGATATGACAATTAATGATCTATTATGTTCTAGATATTGATAACGTAGATCTGGTAATGGGAAAGGTGATGGAGCAAGGCCCGGTCCTTATCATTAATTTCCAGTCGCAGCAAATAATGTGTGTCAGAGATTCGAAAAACAAAGTAGTCGAAGGTGATCCAGACAAAGTGATGCGCGTTAATTACGTTTGGGTTTTGTGTCGTGATCCAACGGAACTGAATCCAAAATCGGCATGGCGACTTCTTGACCTCAGTGCCAACAGTACGGAGCAATTTGTGTAGCGCAGAGGTTACAACCTAATGAATGTTTCAGCAAGCAAGAGGACAGTTTGTACCGTATCGTGCTTGCTACATTTCCTGAATATTGCCACTGTTTACTTTGAACAGAGAAGAGTGTACAGTTACATGACGATTGGCTTCGCTAGTTTGACGGTAAGATTGCATTCAAGAATTTGTTATCGATCGACTAGAAAAAAATTTTCACGCAGTACGTAACGCCTAACAATGTACAGTAAAAAGGACCCTGTCAACTCATGAATTTCTGTGCAATAATTTTAATTATGATTCTTGTTTAATCATAAAATCAATAGTAATTGTACAGTCAATCCAAAACGATTTTTAAATGGTATTTCCTGGGCTGCTAACGAAACACACAGAACTTGTCCTGTACTTTAGGTTACTAGGACTAAGTCCTAATACAGAAGCTGTTAATCTTATTCGGATACGTTTTTATTATCATATGTAATTTAGTTGGTATAAAATACTTATTTCTTGTATATATACATGTATATACAACAAGGTACGATCCAAATGTTTCGCGTAGAAACATAATGAAACTAGCCAAAAGAGCTATCTAAGTTTTTAATTGACTTAGCGCAGGGAACGATACTTTAACTAAGTATAATTTTGTAATATATATATACACACATGTTCATACAAAAGTGACAACTGAATTTATTAGAATAAGATAGGACTTTTAAAGTGTAATTCACAATCGGTTTTGTTGACGTGGCCATGATAAAAACCAGGCATTATTACAGAGATAATATAATTTCACATCGTTTGATTTAATAAGAAGTATAATTTAGATAATACTTGACGAGAGGTGGAGTACCGTTGTAACTTACCGTAACGGAGATATCTCTCGTACAAAGGACTGCGATTTTCCTTCCGTTTCCTTATACTTAATCATGGAAGCGGGGGAAATGATGAATTTTCAAGACGTTAATAGAAAAGATTGAAATAAGGGTGTACGAACGCCGCATCTGGACAAGTATTTAGATTTAAGTCCCCTGGGACGATTCGGCCAAGACTTTCCTTTGAAATTTCACCGGTACCTTTTATCCCTTGTGCTCTCTCTTTGACTTCTGCCTTTCGAGTTGCGCAAACTTTGACAGGGAGTCGTTCTGGCTTTACATCTTAGAGAAGGCAATGGGTAATCCGGACAAGGAATCTTGGTCCAGTCGTATCCTCGAGGCGATTTGTCCTTGCACTCCGGGTCACACGTGTCATTTTCGAACCACGTCAGTTCCGTAACGTAGCCATCCGTTTCCGGCACTTGCGAGTGAATAATCTCGATGTCGTTTTTCGCGTAATCGACCTCCCGTTTCCTGCAGATTGCTCTTTGAACGTTCTTGCCGAGTCCTCCGATACGTTGGATCCTTTTAAGCCGACCGTCGCCGGTTGGGAACTCGTTCGGTCTCCTGGGGACGCGAAGAATTTTAGTTTTTCACGAAAAAGGAAATCATTCCAAATTCTCGTTTATGTTCAATTAACGAGATATATTTTGAGCTCCACCTGCAGATCGTGATGTGCGAGAAATGCGCCCCGGGACCCCCTCGTCCGCCTTCGTCCTTTCGAGGTCCTTGGAGGTCCGGCGAGGCCAGCGCCCCCAAGGTCCTGCATCTTCCTTCCCGATGATGATCGCTACACTTCCGGACCATCCCGATAAGAATCGGATCGCGCTTTTGCGTCCCGATAGTCCTCTCTCCTATTGTCTGGGACTCGTCCCCGACCAGCCTCGAGTCCTTCGGGACCCTCGCCCTGTCCCGCGTCTCCACGTCCACGGCCTCCGACGAGGTCGTCTTCTGGATACCGACGCCCACCTGCTTATCCTCGGAGGTCCTTGTCGCGTCCTGCGTCCACGTATCCTGGAATCTCGCCATCCCCGTGCTAGAGCCGACTGCCCGACTTCTTTCGTCATCCCGGCCTGCCAAACGATTCCGGTTTTTAACGATCGCTATTTCAATTAGAAGCGGAGTATCGATTGGCCAAGATCCGTGGGGAATTAAAGTCGATCTCTCGTTATCGGGAAAAATAGTCCACGGATGTAAATTACTGTAATACGATTATTTGCTGCGGAAGGGTCCCCGGGTTTGCTTCCCTTTTTCCCGGTCCCGAGTGGTACCTCTTTGAACGGCCTCGCTAAGTTCCCTCTCGACGTCCGTCTCCTTCGTCCGACCTAATCTGGGAAGTTCTCGAAAATTGTCCGATATGTCCCGAGTCTGCGTGTCGAGCGATCTCGTCCTTTTCGCGGGTTCGTCTCCTCGTTCCTGACCGGGGCCGACCGCGACGCCTTTTTTCCTTGGAGATCCTTCCTTCTCGCTCGTCCTCGACTTTTCCCCGACTCCCTTCTCAACGAAGACGGATTTTTCCTTCGTGCTCGAAATTTCTTTGCCACCGTTTTGCCCTCGCTCGTCGAGTTTTCCATTTTTCGCGGAGTACCTTCCTCCGCTCCCCGAACTTCCGTTCTTCGGTGCTTCGCCGTTGGTACTCGATAACTCCAAATAACGAGTACTTCCCGCTTTCTGTGCTCCCAATGACGAGGTATTCCCGAAATTGACCCATCTCTCTGCACATCGAGGCAGACCACACTTCGGCGTGATTTTCGGAGCACCGTTTTCGGAAACTCGAAGTTCATCCAGAAGACTCTCCACGTTCTCCGGAAGTTCTTGACCCAGGTCGATCGTCATCATCGTTTTCACGCAGCTGATTATCTCTTCCGCTACGTCCGCCGAATTCCCCGGTTTGCCACCTTCTCCAAGGCTTTTGCGGCCCCCTGGATTAAAAAAGAGATGAAATTAATTCGACGTCCTGTATAAACCTTTAACGCGCCATCGACCTTTATCTTCCTCTTCTTCGCCGTCGATCCGAAGAGTGTGCTTCAGCACTCGAAGAAAGCTCTTGGTTAGGCCCCCGGAATGAGCTCTCCCTGCATCGTCCGGGTTGCAATTCGGGCGATCGGCGATTTCTGACTCCAAACCGCCAGTCCTTTTCCCATCTTCGGGTTTGTCCTTCTTCTCTTGAGACCGTTTGCGAGGTTCGCAAATTCTTGCTTCGGATTTGGCAGGGGAAGCAGGATCTTCGCCAATATTCCGGGTCTTGGGGGTGGAAGAGGCAACGGGCTGGCCGATTACGCCCTCTTTTATGCTAGGAAGGACGTCTTCCTCCCTCCGCGGTCCTGTAACTCATTTGCACGTTCGTCATCGTCCACCCGTCCTGGTCGGACGTAATTTCCCCATTTCATTAGCCTTACCAGCGTCAGGTTCTCCCGAGAACGGCGTTCCGTCGGTTATGTGGCTGACCTCTTCGACATCCAGCATTTTCTCCAGGCACTGTAAGAGTGCCTGCGACATCATGGGGTTCCCTTTCATGACCTGGGACAATCCCTGGGCACACGTGTCGATCGTGCAATGGAACGCCACTTCGTCCAAAACTGCCATTACAATTTAACGTAGTTCGGTAACAACGAGAAATGAAGAAATTTTCCAAGCTCGACGGATAAATCGGGCTCGGCACAAAATAATATTTCCCAAGATATCCGAATCATGAATAACCCACCGGTGTCAGGTTTTGCAGATTTTCCTAAGGCGGGCTCCCTGGATGCCCTCCCGTCCCTGACCATGGGCACGTATCTGCCCTGAGGAGTCAGCAGGACGAAGTCGCCGGTCCTCTTCTCCACCTCGTCGGAACCGTTCCCGTCCGCGGCCCTCCCGCTGCCCTGCGAGGCTCCCTCCCCTACGTCGCATCCGCAAAGGACCTTACCCCCTGCACCCGAGATCCCTCCGACTCCTCCAGGAGTAGGCAGGTTGGGCAACCTTCCGGAAACTTGGGTCTCCACGGACCTCAGCCGAGCTCCCTGCGTGGAAAGATTCTGCTTTCCAGGAACGCTCTGACTATTTCTCTCCAAGGCCATACCGGGAATGGCGATCCTGAACCTGGAGAAGGCTTCGAAAACCCCGTCCTCGAGCCTGACCGCGACCCTCGGAGAGAACGCATCCTGGACGGGCCTTTGGACCTGGAGATCCCTGGGCGGGGCCGAGGAGTCCTTCGTATTGGCCCCAGGGACACGAACGGGGATGCCCACCACGTCCCTCTGCCTGCCTCTACCTCCGCGACCAAAATCCGCGGAAGCGTTCCTCGTGCCCGGCGGAGAAGGCCCCCGGGACCGCGCCGCGTCTCCACGGCTGATGGGACCCCTCGATCTTCTACTCGAATCGGTACGCGGGTAATTCATCCCTTCGCGCCTCGGCGACGGCATTCTGGGGTAATCCAAGGTTTTGGATCTACATTGCGACCCGTTACAGGGGCCGATCCCCGCTCTTCGAGGAGACGAGGCGTTGCCGTAGTCCACCCTGGGCCTTCCGAACGTCGAGGGATCCCCGTAGTCGGTGTCCACTCTCCCAGGTGACGCCGATCGAGGATACTCCATGGTCGCTCCTCTGGAGGGAAACGCATCTTCGTTGTCCATTCTTTTGGGCCTGGGGCGGAACCGGTCCCTGTCATAGTCCGAGGTCCATCCGTCTTCGGGGTACGTGGCTACCGGGGACTGGGGATAAACTCCGCAGTCCCTGAAACCGATGTTCCCTTCTGGAGAGTAACCGCGGGGAGCACCGTAACTCTTGACATTCGAAGACTCGAATCGGTGACAAGGTGGGTGACAACCCATTCGACGGGGAAGGCCTCCGTAGCCCTTGACTCCTGAACTCATTTCGACCCCGACCATCCCGGTTCCGGAGACGTCGATTCTCGGATCGACGATGGAACTCCTCGGCACGTAGGCGGTCGCTGGACACGAAGTCGGGCTCCTAGGACCCGCGGAGAACTCCGACGTCACGCAACTAGGATACCTCCCAGGATTGGGATCCATTCCCAAAGCTCCTCCGTAGCTGCCCAGAGGGTCCGTCGGAGGGTTCCCAAAGCCGCCGATCGTCGTTGGCGTCAGCTCGCCTGGATACTCCCGATTTATCCTTGATCGTTGTCCCAGGTCATAGGCCCGTCCTTTGTCCATCTGGGAGCCGAGACCAGGATTAATCCCGGAGTAGGTCTCTTGCGTCCATCGCCCACTATCGACCAAGTCTCGGGCAGGACATGGCAGTCTCGTCGGTATCTGCTCGTAGGCGTTTCTTCTTCCCGTTCCAAATCTCGGGAGATTTTCCGCGGTCGAGGAGTCGTAGAAATTTGGCTTTTCCGCCTCCGTTTTGTAAGAATTCACGTACGTGGGACAAGGAACCATTGCGGGAGCCGTTGGCCTCGGTTCCTCGTCCTTGGGGACTTCCTTTGACTCTTCCTTGTCGTCCTGGCTGGCTTCGACTTTCTTCTCGCCCTTGGCCGAGCCTTTTTTCCCCTTCTTGCCCTTCGCGGTTCCTGAAATCGAGAAAAAGAATTCCTAGATATTTTTTAATGTCCTTTGGAGAACTTTTTTAATTTCGATTTTGACTTCGAGGTACCTTTTGGACTCCTTGGCTTGGATTTGACCTTGCCATTTTGAGGCTCTATCTTGCTCGCGTCTTTCTCGTTCCTGGAGGTTCTTCCTCGCCCCTGCGGACTCGCGCTCTTCTTTTCTTTCGCGCCTTTCGCGGACTTGGCTTTCTTCTTGCCAGTTTTCGAGGACTCTCTCTTCCCGGAGTCTTCCTCCTTTTTGGCACTCTTCTCCCCGTTCTCTTTAGCTTTCGGCTTTTTCGGGCTGTCGTCCTTCTCGGCCTCGGCTTGCTCGAAGTATTCTGGCAAATTCGTGCACGGCAGGAAACGATATTCCGAATCGGGGCTCGGCCTCCCGAAATCCTTGCTCGATCTCATGAAATGTCCTTTCGAGTCTTCGCGCTCTCTCGTCGGCGAGTTATCGAAATCTGCAAGATTTTTTAGGGGAGTTGTAGTCGAACGAGCTAAAGGGTCTCGCAAGCTTTTCGCCTTTTCGTCGCGTATCACCTCTTTCAGCATGCAAGATATGAGCTCGTACCAAGGTAATCGCGATTCGTAAGGCCTGCCGATTTTCAGGCCTTTCAAGGTTCGCGACTGCTCTTCCTTGAAGCTGAGCCAGAAAATATTTCTCATTACTTTCTAGATGTTAATATTTCAACCTTTCCTTTACCTCGATTACCTTTCCGTCACATCGTTTAGCTGCAGGAGGCAGTCGTCGACCGATAATCCAGGTTGACCCAGGTCTTTTACGATCGATTCGAAAGCTTTGTTCTTCGAATTAGCGTCGCTGTATCCCTTGTCGTAGAGATTCCAAAGGCAGGGGTACTTCCGATACCCTGTCAACAGTCTCTCCGTAATCTCTTCGTTCCATTCGAATGGCATATCTCACGAGAGTCATTCCTCCGCGATGAACGCGGCTTTCCGTCGCGGCTTAATGTCGATTTTTTCTTCGGTTTTATTCTTTGACTTATTACACTGGTTACTAATTTTACCAAGGAATTATCAGCCGGGATCGCAGGAGGGAGGTTTAATTGGGTTTAATGTCAAAATCAGTGAAAATTTGTCGCGCAGGCAACGTCAAGGCACTTGACTCGACGAGTCGATTAGTGCGGAATTCGACAGAAATGAATTATCCAAAGTCATTGCCACGTATTTATTAATAAATATATAAATGCACAGGGGAAAGGAAAAATCACAGGCGATATCACAGTTGTCTTTATGGCTACGGTTATCTTGACAGGGGTGGTTGACACTCGCTGACGGGCAAGCCGCAGGCGCACATTTCTTCCTTGCAAGACTTCTTGCAGTCGCTGCAGCTGCAGCTGCAAATCTGCTCGTCGGACTCCGCATTCTTCGCGTTATCGAGCCGCTCTCTCGTTATCATGTCTTGTATCCTTTTCTCCAGGTCGATGGCAATTTCTGTTGCGTTCTCGAATCAACGCGGAGAGTTTCAAATGAATATTTATTCAGGATTTCGAGTATTCCGATTCCGACATACTTATACCGCATACGCACCAAAACCAAGGCTTCGAAGCTGGTAGGCGATGCACTTTCCGAACATGTCGAACTCGTCGCGTTTCCTCGATCCCGCTCCATCGACGTCCATTTGGGCGTATATCCCACTGTCCTTGACGCGTACAACGATTGCGGTGAAATATATAATTGACACAATACGACACTTAACTTGAGAAGAAAATCATACGAATTCTGAGTTAATGGCTAAAATTGAAAAGCCAGTATTGGAGAATTTCGAACTCGATGCGATTACCTTTGTGCGAAGAATTTCCTTATTCGGGTCACGACCGACAGCCACTGTGTGGACGTTTTTCGAAACCTGAGTCCATTTTGCGCAAGTCTTTGGTGCGCAAGATCTGTCTCCTCCGTTGCGAATAACGTTAGTTCTGGCCTCGGTTTGAGTCCAAGCTCCGGAAATCGACGCTTCTCCGGGATGGTCTCGGGAGATCTCTTGGGGAGATCTTCCCGACTTTGAGCGACGTCGGGGGCGAAATTCCTCGGGCGAATTCGCCGATCCCGTCTCGGATTTACATTCGGTGTACGAATTGCAATTGTCACTTCGACAGCGGAAATCGCCGACGCGGTCGCGAGAATTCGTCAGGGGGAATAATAATTCGTGCATCATTTCGAACCACAGAGCTTTCGGTTTATAGTAATCTCCGCTAGAAATGGCAGAGCTGATTTTGTAAAGTTCGTAGCAATATCGTTTCGTCACGAAGGAGATCCTCTTAACGCAATCGCACACGGTCAGTCCAGGAATGTTGAGGAAATCGACGATCTCCTTCCAAGCCTTAAGTTGGAGTTGTCCGCTTCCAAAATCTGGATGATATGGATCTCTGAAGCACTCGTAGCGACGATAGAGTGATATCAGCTTTGTCGTCAATTTCTCTGTCCACGGGACTGTCATTGCGCCTTTAACGGGGCGAAAAAATCTCTTAATCAAATTTCAAGGATAAGCTCCACCGTTTTAAAATTGAGTAACCAAAAATATTATTAACGATGCATAGGTACTTACACACGTCGGTTAATTATTTCGATTAATGACATTTTTCATGTTACGTGGAATTTCGCGCCGAACTTGGACTCCATGCCGAGCGACTTGGCCGATCGTGTCAGTCTACGGTTAATAATCTGTCAATCCTGTCAATTGTGCTTTGTGACATCGATGTAATAAGAAAGCAAGAAGGTCTTATTGGATCCTCCAAAATCTTTGAAAAAATACTACGTCGAATCGTGATGCCGGTTGCATAAAAGTGCATACCGTTACGTCAAAAGAAACATCATTGAAATCGACATAAACATTCGCACGATGTAATCTCCGAGTTTGCTCTAATCCTAAGTGCTCCTTTTTTGTTTTGAGTTTTCTCTGATTTACTGCTGATTTACTCATAGTGGGACTTGAAGAAGGGTCCGTATTGGGAATTATTTTAATTTTTTTATTTAGCCTTTACTTTCCAAAAATCGCGACTATCTTTCAAAAGTTCCAAGAACCAGAAGTGATTTGCGATGGGGGCCAATTGGTCCACTAGCAAAATGTACGAGGGGGAGTTTCCTTGTCAGAATTTTTACGCCAGGGAGAGAATTTCTGAAATGTAAGTAAAAGTGTCTAATTATCGATACCTCAGGGTGAAAGAGAGTTACAGAGAAATTCAATATCTAAGTTGCAGACCCCAATCGGAACCATGTATTCGAAATGTGACAAGATTCGTCGATTTCCTGATTTCCAACGTAAAAGGGCTCAAGGACGAGTTGAGAAAAATTGAGTACCACATATCTCTCTCCCAGTTTGAACGTCATCTTTTGGAGTATTCATACGAGTAAAAATAAAGATTCTACGTATCTCGTTAAATAAATACCTTGCTCTAAATTAATTTCAATTCCGCAGAACCTACGGATGGATGATGTTAATAATAGAAGACTGGGAAGGACACCTACTTGCCTTGCAACCTCAAGAAGAACCGACATCGTGGTCCTTCATCATCCAGAAGGAAAGAAAAAGAAACAAGACCTCGGATTATACCTTAGTTTAATATACCTTTATTTTCTATAGATATATCACCGAATAACAGCGAGTTTCTTTCCAATTTCTGTAAATGCATTCACCGCGAGGTCGATGTCGTCTTCCGTATGCGCTGCACTAATTTGCACCCGAATTCTGGCTTTGCCCATGGGAACCACCGGGTAGCTAAAGCCGATCACATAAATGTTCCTCTCTGAAAAATGTAGGAAAATTTCTATAACGACGTTCTAACTCTTTGAAAAATCTCATGTACACGGAAACATCTCATACCGAGCATTTTCTCAGCGAAAGTGGACGCCAACTTGGCATCTCCGAGCATGACAGGACTTATGGGATGGTTGTCACCACTTATTTTGAATCCAGCGGAAACCATTGAATTTCGAAAATGTTTAGTATTGCTTTCCAGGCGGTCCACGAACGTCGTATCCTTGGAGATGATGTCGAAGACCTGGGAAAGTCAATTAATGATTAATATTAGGTATCCAGTATTTTAATCATTATTTAAACCTCACTTTAATTCCCGTTGCGACAATAGGTGGAGGCAGCGAATTGGAAAATAAATACGGTCTGCTGCGTTGTCTGAGTAAATCGACCAATTCTTTAGGGCCAGTGGTGTAACCACCCTGAGCACCTCCAAGAGCTTTTCCCAAGGTGGAGTTGACGATGTCGATCCTACCTTGGCAATTGAAATATTCCTCGGTACCTCTGTAATCGGGTATCGCGGGTATTTCAATACAATTGCTTATTTAAATTTAACCGCAAGTACGGATTAAAAAAAAAATATGTTAATTACCTTCCAGTCCTGCCAAAGAACCCCGTAGCGTGACAATCGTCCACAAACGTCAAGCAATTATACTTTTTGGCAAGATTGACGATTTCCGGCAAAGGTGCCAAAGTGCCATCCATGGAGAAGACTCCGTCAGTCGCGATGAGTCGTAATCGAGAGGAAGAGTTTTCTCGAAGCTTCCGCTCCAAATCCGCCATATCTCGGTGGTTGTACCTGAAGAAAAATATCCATTGAATAGATACAATTTGAAGCGGACGGAAACATTTGCGAGGTATCGTTTTAAAGAAACGTTCACCTGAATCTTTTCGCCTTACAGAGTCGTATGCCGTCGATAATCGAGGCATGGTTGAGCTCGTCGCTGAAAACGGCATCTTCGGGGGACAAGAGAGTTTCGAAAATTCCAGCATTGGCATCGAAACACGAGGAGTACAGAATCGTGCTCTCCTTTCCGTGGAACTTTGCCACTTTTTCTTCAAGTTCTACGTGAAGATCCTGCGTGCCGCAGATGAATCTTACGGAGCTCAAGCCAACGCCATATTTGTCCAAGGCTTTCTTCGCCGCCGTTATCAGTTCTTGATTGTTCTGAAATAATTAAATTGACTTGCTCTTCGTCGTTGCAGCTTGGTAGAGTGTCGATAGATTTTTTTTTTTTCAACGTACCGCCAGTCCTAAATAATTATTCGCGCAAAAGTTCAGGACCTCCTGGCCGTTTGACAGGCGAATCTTTGTACTTTGTGCCGAGGCGATCGTTCTCTCCCTTTTCCAGGTCCCGGCTTCTTTGATGGCCCCCAATTCTGGTTGCAGAATCGCAGCGAGAGAGCTCGCATTTTTCCCAAGCAGAACTCGCCTCGAGAGAGGTCCTCGACTGGGGCACAACATCGTCGACGAAATGAAATCTCGACGAAGCGAGAGCGATACGCGCGAATTCGATTACATGATTACCGTGCCTGGCACCCGATGTTGGAAGAAGTTAAGGAGAGACCGGTTTGTAAACCCGTTTGCTTACTCGAGCCTTTCACGGTCGTCGTCTCGAGATAACCACACGCTTCTATAGATATCTCCAACTTTGTACTTTCTGTACTCTTTTATGCACACAACGTATAGATGTAATGTAGATTTTCTATCGATAATCACATTTTTATTTCCCGATCTTTCTGAACGCCTTGTACATTTAGTACACGTATACAAATTCCCGATGCCGTGACTCTTTTATTTGCTCGCGAATTAGATTGAATTAGATGACGGAAAATGTGGGAAAATGAAATGATCGTCTATAAAAATTGCCCGGAGTCTGATGGAATCGACGGAGTAAATGTAGCTTTTGAGAAAGGGGAATCAGAAATGGAAAACGCCATTAAATCGAGTACAGGAGAAATTCGAGATGAAATTAGAAAGAGCCGGAAAAACCCACGGATAATTGTTGAGCCTTCGGGAAATACAGCCAATGGATGTAATAATTTCAGAGCAAATTTCACGAAGAACGAGGTGATTTTCGCTCTGTCGAGAAATGCCGAGAGGGAGATAAACAGACTAAAGAAGAAGGGAATTGCAAGGGAACGTTACGAGGAATTATTGGGAGGATTGAATTTGAAAATCGATTCGATAGAATTCCGAAGGAGTTCTAAATGTGCCAAGGAAGATTGTTCGTTTAGACACGTAAATGGTAAAAAATCGAAATGTAACGTCTGGCATGAATTAGGCACTAAAGCTCCCCGGAGACGAGTTTCGGAACTGAACGACTTCGAAAAGGATTTGCTAAGAGCGGTCGTGAAAGAGCTTAGACGAACTCAAAGAAACGAAAGGACGACGTCTTCCTCGAATTTCGAAAAATCCCGACGATATTCGATTCCGACGAACGGAATGAGTCTTCAAACCGGGGAAAAGACGAAGAGATTTTCACCCAGAATGACGGCAGGCTCGGATAATGGAATACTCCATTTTTATAATAACTGGAATAATCCTTTCTGCGAGCCGTATTCGCCGAAAAAATATTTCGCAATGTCAAAAGGCAACCAAAATAGCGTGTCAAAAATGTTATACCAAGTCTTGCAAGGTCAGTTCGAGAAAGTTGAAAAATTATTGGGGGAATTTCAAAGCTCGAGAACAGAATGTTTGTTCTCTGAATTTTTGGAAAATGAAAGAGACGACGAAGTCGAGGACGAGGAAAACTTCGACCCTGGAGGACGGTGCGATGAATATTTATTTGTCGAAAGTACGAAGGAAACGGCATGTCAATGTGATGTACTTCAAGAAGAGGAAGCGAGAATCATTGCCAGCGGTAATTCTAGTTTGGATGTAAAAATTTTCATTCCTGCAAAAATGACATGTAATAGTTCCGTAGAGGTTGAATTTAATTGCAGAAACGATCGTTCTTGCGAAGATGTAGCGGTGGAGTGTAATATCGCAACATTCGATGACGAGGACGAGGACAAAATATTAGGAATCGATTCCGATTCCGATTCCATAAACGATGATCCGAAAGAGTCACTGAATTGGCCCAGAGGTGTACAACAACCTGGAATCGAAGATTCTAAGCCCAGTCTTCAATTGCAGAATACCTTAATCAATGCTATTTTCGAGTCCCTGAAAAAATATGGATACGCCATTGCGACGAGAGGAAAATCGATGGTAGAAATACGAGATGATTCCAGAAAATCATGGCACGAGGAAGAAATGGATAATCTCGAAGAAAAATGTACAGAAACTCAAACGGATTTAGCGGAAGAAGAGATTGAGAAGTTGAAACCGCGTAAAACTTCAAGTTTCGTTATCGGCAACAGTTTCCCCGAGAAAACTCAGGAGACGTTCGCTCGGACCGAGGAACTTACTTTCGACAGAGAATCGGTAAATGATGAAAAATGTCAGGACGATACGAATATAAATGTCGATTGCTGTTACGAGAACAAAGACAACTTAAACGAGTCGAAAAAGGGATCGAACGGTAGATTCTATCGGTGGATTAATTTATTGACAGGCTGGCTCGGAAGGAACATGACCTGTCCTAAGGGTAAAGAGGGCGTGTTCCAAATTGACTCGGTTTTAGCGAATCATCTTCCCGATGATTTCGAGGACTCCGAGCTTCTAAAAAAATTGGACTCCGTGAAGATGCTGCTCAAAAATACAGAGGAATCTTTCGAAGAATTGAAAAGGGAATTAGGGGGCAAGAAGGACGTCAGTAAGGACATTGAGGTCGAAAATCGAATAAATCGGGAAAGCTCGTGCCAAACTGCGTCCATTGACGAAAGTTTCTACGGTGACCCGATTATTCCACAAATTGGGTCGATGGCTCGATTTGCCGAGGCGAGTCTGAACGATTTGAAGGATTCCAACGCCAAGGAAACCCTCTTAAGAGTAATAAGGCACTTCGAAAATATTCTTCTGCAAGGTACAAAGCCTCCGGAGGCAGTTGTCGATTTCTCATCGAGTTTAGATAAGTCGGAAAAAGAAGTGCAGGTTTACGAGGTACAGGAAAAATACGTCGATACGAAGAGTACAATAAACGATAAATATTATGCCACGGAAAATGCATATGAAAATTACCCCAAGGTGGACGCTTCCGAGGTCAAATGTAATAATTCAACGAATGCCAATGTGGCGATAAATTGGAGGACTTTGAAAATAACGGAACAAGCCGTGAATCATTTCTCAAATTATGTCGTCTCAGAACTGCTACGTCTTCCACCAAGTAGTTACCAAATATTATTTAATGCTATAAAAAAAATTAAAGTGTATTCTTTAGAGTTTAAGATTTTTTAATCATTTTCAGAGGCTGCAAGAAGAACACGGGAAAGAATTGAAAATCTCATTGACAATGTTTAAACAAAATGTGTGAATGATGCCGAGTGACGAGTACTTGCTTCGGGTGATACGATAACGGTAATACGTGATAATTCTTATAATTTAACCGGTATCGCTCAGTAGAGAATCATTCGTGAGGAAAATCAGTGATGTCGAGAAATGATGGGCTTCAAAGAAGGAATGTGGAATTTAGGACTGTCTATCAGCTAACTAAGGAAATTGTGAATATACACATTCACTCTAACTTTATTATAAATATAAGACGATGGAACACGGTCCGGTGTGTTTAGTAATTATAGACAGTACCACAGGCCACAGAGCGTACTTATGTTATAGTCACAGTTACAATCTTCCGCTTCGGTTAGGCTATATGAGGTTTTGGCAGTCATTAAAACTTAATGAAACAAAGTATCATTGGACGTTTGTAATGGCGAAATATCGCGATTCAATTAAATACTAGTTAAAAAATGCTGTGAGGTGCCGTGACTCTTTGGTCACATACGTTATCACATTATTTCAATGTCCGGTACACTTAAACATCTTTTGCCATTCACACTTATCATACAGATACTTGCAAAGTATTCAAGGAAATAAACATCTTCGAGGCGATTAGTTTCGATTATGAAATACGTTGTTCTTATTTGGATTTGTAAATACACTACTTTTTTAATGCAAAGTAATCCTCGATGTTCACGTTTTGGATGGAAAAGGGGGACACTCTATTAGGTTTCATTAAATTAGTAAAATTTCCGACTAAGGAAATCTTATATAGCGGTATTAATTTCACATATTATCGCATTAGTATGTAAAACATTCATTATTGCACATACAGACTGCTTGGAACACCTCATAAGTTTCTTGAATAATCACCCGATGTTATGATTACCTCGTGCCTCTTAAAATTCGCGAGATAGGATTCTATTCCTTTTCTTGTGATTTTCCCATTGTATACAAAAAAAAAACTTTGCACAATTAAGAAACTAAATTATAACTGTACATGCAACATTGTATAGTTACTAGAACAGCACAGATCAAATTTTCTGTGCCTATTTTATGAAATTCGAGAAATAAAACATGATGAATAAAGTAAGTCAATATTAATATACAAAATAATAGAGGAAGAGAGATAGAAAAAAAAAGAGTGTACTCAACACGCCGATCATCTACACTAACACCTTCCGTTTCCATTACCACTATCTTCTTCGCTCCTCTCCCGTACGTCTCGTTTGATCGCTATCTAATTTTTTTTAAACCCGGTGTTGGATGACTGATTAAAACTGTAAAATAAAACATTAATTTACTTATATGGTTTCAAATTATAAAATAAACTACAGATAAATAGTAATCATCGTTCCATATAATACTGACTCTTTTCAAGAATTCTTCAGCACAGATCCGAGCTCTAGCATTCATTGATAATTTCATTTCACTGATCTCTCGGTCGATCTCTTCCATAAAATAGATCACAAAATCCACTATTTTGTGTTTGAACATTTGTTCCACATGAATATTAGTGATTAAGAAACTTATATCATATCCCTAAAAAGAAAATGCATTGTGCAAATCAAAATGATAAGTAAACTATCTGCATTAAAATACTATTTTTAAATCAATAATATTTCAAGTCAAGTTCAACAGACCTCTATAGGTTTCCTCCTAAGGATTATAAAATTTTCAGCTCGCATCATCATGAATCTTGTGAATTTATGACAAAGAATCTTTTCAAGGTCATCTGCTTGCTTAACGGCTATGCTTATTCGCATACTGTTAACGCTCGATTCGATCAAAACCTTTTCCTTCTCGTTTCTGCTTATAAGAACAGGAGTTAATAACAGTTCCTTGCTTTCTCTGACTTCGACCTCTGGTTTATTGTGCTTCTCGACTACTTGTGACGAGAAATTCTCCAAGCACATTGCAGCCGTGAGTGTACGTCTCACTGCCGTCAAGTAAGGCTTCAAGGTACCGGACTGCAAAGTACATGAAGAATGATTAGACAACTTCATAGTTGTCTCATTAATATTATATATGAAAAAACATAAATTTCGCAGTGTTTCACATTTCCATAAGAATAAAATACTTAGATATGAACTTGTCTCATCCTAGCATGCTTAAATGATATGAAACAATACCGTACTCGGCGATCTACTATTACAACAATTTAAATAGATGAAATTGAAAAAGTAATTATCGCCATCGTTAATGAATGATTATGAAGCGGATCCAACCTTAGCAGAACTGACATTTCAAAATTCATACTTCTAGATCAATGTAAAAACTTACCATTTTCCTTGTTGGTTACCAGAAAATAATTCACTGGGTATATTTTCGTTGATTTTGTCGGTACAACTTAATAAAATTACCGGGAACAGTCAAGAACACGTGAAAAATGACACATTACGTATAGTGTGTACAACAAGGGCTGGGTTAGACTTCCATTAAGGAAGATTTACAACAGAAACGGATAGGAGAATTACTCACAACATAGAGTAGCAACAGAAAGAGAATGAGAGGCTCCATGTTTCATACTGTGTAGTCACCTACTTCTTCGCGCTGAAACTCATCCATATTTAATATGAACATGCTTCTTCTTACTTGCTAGTCTTTTTAAAAAAGGAATACCATTCTATTACGCGTCTAAGTTCATCGGCCGTAATTCGGCTTTATAGTTAAAGATCCCATGTTTTCTCCAAAATAAAATCTTCAGATCTCAGTAAAGTCAGTGTTCAAAGAATTGATTTACACGTTGTGAAAGAAGTTGACTAAATACTGTCCAGCATGGTTGGATGTTTTTGGAGGACATGCCATGGTGTTAACCAATCCTTAAATAAAAGTGGATAATCCTTTATTTACTATAATATTCCTAAATACACCTTGTATTAAAACATTTATTTATGTATTTATTTATTTTCCCTTACAGTGAGGACAGCGAGAACTTTTCTAAAGTCAGGTGCCATTTGCACTTCCCAATTATCCAGATCGTCGACACAAGCTCAACCTAAAACTGAAGAAACTACAGACAGTAAGATGATACGAGTTTCCACATATGCGCTATCGATATCAAGAGCGACCAATATTACGTTTTGTTCTCATTTCAGGTGCGGTAAGTGGGTTGATAGATCCAATGAAGCGACGAGATTTTTTTGAGCTCGGCAACTTGTTCACCATAAGAGATTTATATAACGCTAGAGTACATTTTGGCCATAAAGAAGGCACGCTAGATGACGGAATGCGCCGCTTCTTATTTGGATCACGATTAGGCCATTTAATAATCGACTTGGATCAAACCGCAGAACTCTTACAAGAAGCATTAAATTTTACCGCTCACATTGCATTTAGAGGTGGAATAATCTTATTCTTTGCTAGAAGCCCACAATTTTCGTATCTCGTTGATAAAACGGCAAAGGAATGCGGCGAGTTTTCCCACACAAAAATATGGAGGAAAGGAACATTCACGAATGCTGAAAAAGAATTTAAGGCAACGACGCGGCTTCCAGATTTATGCATTTTTATTACTTCGCACGATACCATTCTTCAGCAACATACCGCAGTTAAAGATGCTGCACAAATGTGTATACCTACAGTCGGAATCGTCGATACAAACTGCAGTCCGCGTCTCATAACTTATCCAGTCCCTGGAAATGACGATTCCATAGATTCCATAGAACTTTATTGTAAATTGTTCAAGGAAGCCATTTTAAGAGGTAAAACTGCTAGAAAATTAATACGGACTCGTCTATCGAGCTAATAGCGAATAAATTGTTTTATTTTTTGCAAGTGATCAAATAAAGAAGTTAATTACAAAATGAATTAAATCTAGTTATCGAATATTCAGGAATTCTCATTCATGACCTAACTGCGCGATTCTATTCATCATCGATGTTACGACGACGTCATGCTTTTTCTCTAAGTTTCCACTTCCTCTACCAAATGCAAATTATTTCTGAGGTAGATTATCGTATAAGAGTTACTTTTGTACACGAATTGAAAGAGTTCAATTACTTGCAATGCAGCCTAACGTCTCCGAATAGACATACCGAAATGTAAAGATACTCCGTGCGATGCTGTCGGTTCTGTAGAAATTGACTAGTCTCAATTTGTTCGATGTCTTCTAGATTTCTTGTAACGCCCAAAGTATAAGTATTCCTGTAACGTGAATCCGTACAATGGGATATATAAAATATCCAAAATATTAATCGAATCCCTGCCACACATCGTAGATAAGAAAAAAATTACCAAAAGAAACGAAGCACCAAGTAACAGACCCTTTAATTTCACATTCATGTCTGCTGGGACCGTAAGAAGTAGAACATATTCTACGAGAAGATGATCCCAGTGATGTATCAAGGATGCCACCTGATGCGTTCCATCCAAAGATAAAATCTGCGCACAAATGAGAACATATTTTATCCCTTGGCCGGAAAGTAATCAAAAGTCAGGATTAACATCTGAAAATATTCTCACGGATAACTACTGTACCTGAAACTGCGATTCCTCGTAAATGCAACAGCAACCGACGCTAGGTCCGCTGATTTTGTAGAAAGGTGCGCGTTTCTCGTCGTAAACGGTGAAGCTCAATCCGAACAACGAGAAGTTCTGCTCCACGCTTCCAATCGGTTCGGAACTCTCTACCGTCAGTTTCTACAGATAGATTGAAAGCATGACATTTAATCATTCACCTTTGGATTCTATAAGTGGAAAATGGCTTTATTGAACTTGAAACCTTCGAATGATTGCATTTCAACGCTTACGTGCAACAAGCCCGGGACGCATCCCCAAGTGATGGGCTTTCTAAAGGTGAACGCAACTTGTCCAGTCGGATCCACGGCTTTCAGGGTGAATCCCCTCGAAGAGCCCAGGACGTCCCTTTGACATTTCGTCGATGTTTCGGTTACCAGAAATAACGTCTCCGCTCTTGGGACTTTGATCTTGTACTGGTTCCCCGAATCGGACTGACCCAAGACTGTCGGAATGAAAAATCTTTCACGGACTCCGCGATTTGGGAACTCTCCCGTGACATCGGGCAGGACACGAGAAAGGGGGGAACCTTCGAGAATATTTATTACGCACGAGTACTCAAATCGACGACGGGCTGAATCTCCAATTGTTCGGTGCCAGCTAGGAAGGAAGATCCGAAAATCACGCTTAACTGCGATCTAGGGGTTGAAACCCAGTCCACCGTATTTACAGGGAAGGGCGTTCTAGGTGGCTGATTACCTGTCGTGAAAAAACGTCTTATAAACTAGGTACACTAAATTTAGGCGACATTTCCCCGCCGAGAATTTCTATCGGTCGATGTACGAGCTCGACACGGGAATTGAATTTCTTCTCTCCGCGAGACTTGCGTCGATTATTATTTATTTTTTGGAGAAGGTTCTCTTACCGAGCCTATGTTGCGGCTGAATAGTGATGACTCTCGAGTTCGAATATATCGGCGGGTGGACGTGCTCCTCCGAGTGCGTTAAATTCGGTATTTCGTTGCCAGATTCTGAAACTGGAGATGCGGACTTGCTCATCCCGACCGGAAATTCCTGATTATTTAATACTTATCAAAAAGAGAAGTGGATATCTCGGAAGCGCACTTTCGAAATGAGGGAAAAGGATCGCTCGGTGAATTACCGGATCTGGTGGACGAGGTGGGCGGCTCGTCGCTTCCCATGGTTGGAAATGCTCGTGGCATTCTCAGGAAAGCCTTAACACGCGACTGCGGTGTTGCCTCGTGAAAATTTCCGGCTTATCTCCTTTCGATAAGCATTATCGTCGACATCGGCTATCGTTAGATCCTGCGACGTGATCTCCAGATGAGCGGCCGGATCTTCAAATTATTCCCTTTACTTTGACTCTCCGTGAGAAGTCATTGCGCGTTATCGAGAACGACGATACACCAAAGCGATCGAACGTTTCCCTCGAGAAGGGCAACGGTGTCCCTTGAAAATCCCGTTGGCCCTTAAATGCACGTTTTTCGTATAAATTTTGTAATTGAAAAATTGCAAAATACTCACGTCGTGTCCGTCCCAATGCCATCGGCACCCTACTCGCAAAAATGCATAGCTGCGGACGGAGGAATTAAGGTAAGTATGCACGCCAGCAACGCCTGTAACTCGTCCAAGCCAATTACTCGCCATTGGATCGGCCCTGGACATGAAACGTTTAATCAATTATTAATTAAAATACCTCCCGCGTCTCTACCGATTACAACATCTCCGGACTTCTTTCAGCTCCCGAAGGACTCGCCTCTTTCAATCCTGGAACGCTCACCGTCGTTCGTCGAACGAGAATCGATAGTACCAGGTAGTGGTATTATCAACCGAGAAAACTCGGCGGATTTTCTAGTCCAGGGCAAATACGAGGAAAACTCAGAAAATACGATACCGCGGGTAATGCGACAATATTCCGTAGTTTGGATTAGGGCTTGCGATTTTTTCTTCAGCGTTCTAAACTTGGATGGCGAAAAGATGTAACGAGGTCAAACGGTCGCAAAATCGATCGAAAACTGCAACAGTCAAGGGCAGTTTTAACATAAAATATTTAATATAAAATATCTCTACCGTGAATTACATTTTACGATTGTATTTTCGGATTTTAACAGAAATATCGTAGGGAAGCTTTTCGTGTTTCTTTCTTCCGTATTTCGTGGCGGTTGATTAAATTTCTTCTCATGGAGTCAGGGAACGTCTCATCTCGGTCAGAAGGATTCGACTTGAAAAAAGGTTCGCTCGTATTTTTCTTCTCCTTCTTTCGTGGCGATCTCTCGGGCACTCCCCGCGTCTTACTTGTTGCTGCGACCCGGAAGACGGCATGCGCGGTTCTATCGATTCGACCACCTACTATAAAATCACCGAGGACGGTGGAGGTGGCGAACAGAACGCAATAGGATCGCGAGCTGATTATTCGGGAGATAATTTCACGAGACTTCGAAATCGGGACAGCATCGTTCGATAAAGGACCGGCCGGCGTTGCGCATCGAGTGGATGGCGATATAGGAACAGGGTAAGTCCCGTTCTCTTCGACTGCTTCATCGAAATCCCTCGAAGCTCGTTTTCCTAGGCATCTTCCTTCCTCCTCGTCCAACGATGTAACCCTTCATCCGCGACGTATCCATCAAAATAAAAACGGTAGAAGTGGCTTTCCGATGTCCTTGAAAAAATTTGCATACATCGATCGAGTTTCAATCTACATCTGGTCGATGACTCGGAGTACTTGGGTGCGATCTCCTCGGTGACAATCCCTCGCAATTTGATTGCAACAGTCGTCCCCGATGTTCTCTGACCAAGTGCGGGCAAACCGAGAGAATCCGCGATGGGTCGGTGCGTCTTTAAGCTTTGTCTGAAAAAAATGCAAGGTAGAATCGGTGGTAAGCTTTCAGGGCAGCGATAGGAAGATATTTAATAGAAAATATCATTCGAGTACTTCCAAGGGTGGAAGTTCTTTCGGGATCCGATGTCCATATGGTGCACCTTAGGGTGACAAAACATGGCCGCCGTGGCCGATGGCTCCTCGAAGAAACTCCGAGCAGGTCCTGGGGTTTGCGCCGATGACCTCCACGCCCATGGCTCCGTAACGATGAGAAAAGATGGCGATAACATCGTTAGAACTTGAATTCGAGCGAACTTCCGAGCGAAATTGATGGAACGATGCCCATGGATGGCCGAAGGTCGCAATCGATGAGCGGCGAAACGCGGACCTACGTTCTCTCTCGTCACGTTTATATATGTATAATAAACCTTTCGGAAGCTCAGGAAAATGTTTCCAGCGGAATCCTAGAATTTCCTAGAATTTCCTACAATTTGATATAAGAGATGAGGGGGACGTTCATTTACAGATTTGTCAAAATGTTACCGGAAAGCTCGATTTTCGCGCTGATCCTCGGGCTGGCAGCTGCTCTTGGACCCGCACCCCATCAGACCGACGAAGATTCCATGTTGAGCGCCTTGAACGCTGTCACCAGGAAACAAAGATCCCTGGATCACAATCCTCAGGAGTTTTACGACAACCTGCGATCACTGAAGTATCGCGACGGCGTGGCGGAAAGGAAGCTGCAGAGAGATCTCTCCGATGACCAGGACGACTTGGAATTCCTGCCACTCGGTAAAATCGTTCTCCCTGAAAATTAAGAACATTTCCATATAGTCAATCATTCGTTGAAGCAAACGTTTAAATATTTTATACCGAAATAATTCCTCGTTTAACATGTAGAAAATGGGCAGTTGGAGACTGTGGGAGATGGTTTTGAAAAAATGATGCCTTCCAATCATTGGGGCGACAAGAGCTCCGACCGTAACGCGAAGAACAAGTTATTGGAAAGGGCTCTGATCGATTACCTCGAAAATCTGGGCAACCAGGTGATTCTATAATATTTTCACAAACTTTATCCGTAATTTTTTTCAAAGAATTTCATTCCTGAATATCGAATCGGAGGTTGAGCTTGGTCTGACTTAAACGGGGATTTTCACTTAGGATGAGAGTATTCCGTTACCACTGCGAGAACGAGAACGAAGTGAAAATTACAAGAGGGATGCAGACGACGACCGACGCATGAACGACAAACAGCTGATGAAGATGATTCTGGAGGAAGTGCAGGAAGAATCCCCTTACAGACGAGTAGTCCTCGAAGACGATGGCGGCCTGGAGATGATTCCTTCCTTGGACGTCCCGGATAACAAGCCATACAGGTGAGTACACTTTCTTCTGGAAATTTAAAATATATAAAAAGTCTGATACATATTTTTTAATCGATATGCGTTACTTAGAGGTAGCATCCCGAGTGGACTCATGTCATGGGGTGATGCCATGGACGGGCAAGAGATTTTAAAGGATCGAAACCGGGAGGAAGACCAGAACGAAGCATCCGATCGGGAACAAAATGTTTTGTACTTGGAACCGGCAGAAAGGAGGAACATCAATGCTCGTTATCCCCTGGGGCGCGATTATGAAACGTATAGAGATTTAGCGAAGAGGTTCCCTGTCGCGAAGAGGAGTCCGAAACCCTTGCAGAGCAAAAAACAGACGGACCCTAAGGTAATTCGTTTTCGGGAAAAGACAGCCAGCTAATAATATTATAAAATCAATATTTTCTTTCAGGTGGCTCAAGATCTCGGAGCATTATTTGGAACCGAAACAACGAAGAACCATTCCGAGAGCCAAGAACACGACCACGGGCACGAGGGCGATCATAATCGAACTCAGACAAACGCTCAAGATCACGATCACGCTCATCGTCACGACCAAACCTCGGAATCTCCAAATGAAACCACTCCGGCGAAAGGACAAAAAGATGTAACGACGTCCCCTAAACCGAAGGAACGTTCTATAAAGGTCCAGAAAAAAAGCGTCGACTGGTCTCAGTACTTTGGAATAGATCGAAGGAAAAAGAAAGCTGCCCTGCTTGCAAGACCAGGAACTCAGAATCAGGATTACGAATGGCTGTTGCAACGATATTACAAGGTACATACATTGCTCTTCCTAGGATATTTTCTAAGACGCGTATTATAAAAATAAGTTTCCTTTTACCGTTGATCTCCAGACGATGGCGGAGAATTTAAAGACGCCCGAGGCAACGGATGAAAAAGACGGAAGCGAAAAAAGGGACAAGCTGCAACAGATGGACGATCGGTTGAAGAATATCAAGAACCTGATGATCGACGAGGCTTTAAAGTACACTGGATCGGAAGACAATACGGACTCGCAAGAGGTAAAACATTATTTATTTATATTTAAGAATGTCATGAAAAAAAAATATATATATATACATATCGGAAGTATTCTCATTTTGTCATCGTACATCGCTTAAGGTAAAAGACAAGATCATGGCTCGTCTGGCTGCTGCGTACTCTTTGGAAAAAATGATCAGAGCTTTAAACGAGCTAAGAAACAACGTCGTGGCCCAAAGGGAGAGTCAGAAAGCAGAGGCAACGCAGAATAATCTAACGTCCGATCAGCAAAACGGTAACGAAGGAAGAAATGAAGATAAGCGCGGCAACAAAGACCTGGTAGAAGCCGAAGAAGGTACCAATGGACAAATACATCGAAAGATGATTCTATCGATAGGATCTAAAGAGTGATCTGTTTTAGATCCTGACGAATTAAGGAGAAATTGCCCGGAAGTCGAAGTGATCGAGAGGCGGTGCAAAGCTCTGGAATATTTCTCTGGAGACAGATCACAGGTCCTCTTCATCCCGTGCGTCCTTCATCAGATCTGCCGAGCTTGCGTGAGCATAAACAGTTTTCCGATATCGTAGAACCTTGCCGAAAATAAAATGTATAAAATGTATCCTTATCGTGCAGGTCGACGAAAGCGAATGCATCTCAAGTTTTGCAGCGGAAACGGCCAAGATTTGCGCAGCCAAAGATGCCGCAGAAGGGAGAGAGTCAGGAGAATGGTGCGGAAGAACGGCCATGGTGATGTCCCATCTGACGCAAGTTCCATCCGCGTCGCTCTGTCATGCCGGCAATAATTGTCTTCGACGTTTCCGCTATAGCCACCATTACCTCCATTATCCCACCTATAAGTCCAGGAATCACAATGATTATGACGTCGCCATTCCAACGAGACGATAAGGTGGAAGTAGATAGATGATCGTTTAGTCGTTCGTGCACGAGCCGGGAATTACTTTGCCTAATTGACTCTTTGAATCGTACTCTGTTTAGAGACGAATCAAAAAGATTTACTTTCTACCGGTCTCTACAAAAACAAAGTAGCGACGTCTCGTTTGTCGCGATTCTTGTCCTAGATTAACTTAGCTAAAACGAAAATGGCCTCAACCACGAGAGAATCGTTTGAACAGGGTAGATGTCGTGCTTGAAAAAGGTCCCGTTAAAAGATATCGTTGTACACCTCGACTTGGAAGCACGTAACGACTGGACGAAGATATTTACCTGAAGATTCAGCCGGCTGATCTCATTTTAGAATTCGTGTTGACTTTTAACGTTGCCTTTCATAATGCATGGAGGGAAGTCGAGGCCCTTGAAGCGTCCGTTTGCGGTGTATGATTCTCGAGAAGGATATTCTTCCTAAACGTATCGAACTTTACTCAACGGTCAAAATATTCATTTCCGTGCGAAGCTATTAACGTCAAATTATTTGGCTCGTATATCAGATAATAACTACTCGATACGCATCATCGGCCCAGCCAGCCGTACAGAGATTATTAAGTTTTGCAATTATTCAATCTCTTGATATATAATAATTTCGAGACGATCGCCATTGTCTGCCCGTAAAATTGTTTAAAGGATCGCTAGACAAGGTACGGTATGATCGACGTGCACCTTGAAACGGTAACAGAAAAAATCCACTGAAAGTCACAGACAGATACGGTTAATGATATTTAAAATATAAAAAGTATTTAACCGACTTAATTGTACGTCCACGTTGGAAACGGTACATCACAGCGGCCGTACGTGAATAAATGTATCGCGAGCTGGGACAACGAATGTATGTACGTGCAATCGCGCTGATTATATGGAAAACTCTTCTTGACGAATGCCAGGGAGCTACAAGTGGCATCGTTTTACATTTCGAGCCTACACCGCGGAAAACCAAAGAAAGTCGTACTCCTATATTGAACTTACGTCCAAAAAAAGGCCACGAAATCGACAAACCGTGCGGGAAAATTCATTCGCACGCGTGGGACGAAACAGTGAGTCTTAAGTGAAAACTATGATCCTGTATCACATTAGTGTTTATCTCCAACAAAGATAATTGTCCTATCTATATTTATGTTAACTTCATGGACGCGTACTATATATATATTCGACGTAATACAAATAAAAAATATATTTAAACATAATTGTATTCTATTCGACTTCTTCGCCGTTAGACTCGGTCGATTACTCTTCTATTCTAAATTGAACTGAATTTGTTTTCTTCCGCAGATAATGAGGAAATCTCATATCTGTAAATTCAAAATGTCGCATCTGAAACGATGTCCGTTAATTCTCTGTTATTATTCTCCGCACTCTCGTCGACGGTTGATACTTCGGACAAAAGATCGAGAATTTGTGAAGTGGACTCGTTGTACAAACACAAAAACTCAAACTGCATTTTTGCGCACTCAACTGCAACGTAGAAGATATTTTTTTATTTTAGTTTAGAGTTTCATAGAGAAGGTTGAATTCATCCATCTAGGTTCATTGAAGAAATTTGAGGTGGTTAACGTTCTAATTTTTCAAGAAATTCATCTCTTACCTCGCAGTTTTGATAGTTTCTCGATTATTACTCTTAATTGAACCATGATATTTCTTATATTCGCCAAAACTTCTTCAACCTCCGCTTGTGATACTTCCATTGTTCGATCAATGAATAGAATACTTTTCGTCGTTGATTTAAAAACGTTCATATACCTCGCTCTTTCGCTCGGAATTAAAGGTAATTTCTTTTCCTAATTTCTTTCCGGAACCGCTTCATTTGGAAACAAAACTATTTGAATGGATTAAATTTCGATTTCGTGAAAAGCAGCGCCACTAATAGGAACTAAACTTTAGAACTCACTCAATTTAAGAACCTGACTACTTTTATTTACCGCTAGATGACTCTGTCAAGACTCAAAATCAACCTCCGAGTAAATCATCAATTTCGGTGAATTTCGTGAACCTAGGTTAGAGTAAGAATAGATTATAAGATTGATTGTGAAGTTATACCGCTTTTTACGATTGTCATCAAGAGATAACATCTATTTCACGTTGCTCGACAACGTAGAGTGACGTATTGATACTTGCAAATTATCAATCGTGTTATTTTACGCGTATCAACATATTTCCTTGACACGAGTGAATTGTAGATGGATTTATTCGATTTCTTCGACTTCACCGGCCCGATAACCTCTAATTTTACTTGGTTAATCGCTTTGCTATAGTTTAGCCAAATATTCAATTGATATTTGCTGACAGTATTTTTATCGTGTTACATTCGTGCAACGGATCATACGATTTAAGAGCAAAGGATGTACGCAGAAGATCACAGGACTTCATCCTCGATACATTTGGCTGTATCGAATGTTTCGCTGTATAAATTTTCACCGAAAAGAGTGAGAAAGTATTTCTTTATTGAGAATCAACATTTAAAACTTCGCCGTTTGATGATGCCTGTCGATTTGTAACCAATTTCTATAAAATCCTTTAAGAAGATACGAGGGGACCATAAGGATAAAAAGGAGTCTGTCCATTTTTTAAATCATGTCGTACCTTTCCCATGTGATGACGCTAGCCAATGGCGTCATAGGAGTAAGCGTTCTCGCGATGCCCTTTTGCTTTGAGCAATGTGGTATTATATTAGCCACTGTAGTACTTTTACTAAGCAGTGCATTGTCTCGACTGGCCTGTCATCTTCTAATCAAATCTGCCGTCATGTCCAGACGACGTAACTTCGAGTTCCTTGCATTTCATGCATTTGGCCGTACGGGTAAAATTATTGTAGAATTATTTATTGTTGGATTCCTGATTGGAACGTGTGTTGCATTCTTCGTTGTTGTCGGTGATTTGGGACCCCAAATTATTGGGAAGATAATAGATAGGCAACCAGAGGATATAAGAACAAGTTTCTTGATCATAACAGGAGTATTTATTGTTTTACCATTGGGATTACTCCGAAATGTTGACAGCCTATCCAGCATTTGTACAGCAAGCATAGGCTTCTACCTTTGTTTGGTTTTAAAGGTAAGTGAAATATTTTTTCCTTTAGATTTCTACAATCGCTTAATCTAATAAATTTATTGCAAACAGATAGTAGCGGAATCGACCCGTCACATCTTCGCAGGAGATTGGTATGATCGAGTGTATTATTGGAGACCTGCTGGTATCCTCCGATGTTTACCAATATTCTCCATGGCACTTTTCTGTCAGACGCAACTCTTTGAAATTTATGAGACAGTTCCTAATGCCTCTCTGGAAAAGATGAATGAGATCGTTCGAGGGGCATTGAACATCTGTAACGGTGTATACATTTGTGTAGGATTCTTCGGCTATATTGCATTTTGCAATCGAGCCTTTTCTGGTAAGTAGTTCCTTTTTCTTTTCAGGCTTAAAGTATATAAAATTAATAACATTATATCTCCTCAGGTAATATCCTCACAAGTTTTGAACCGGGCACAGCATCCGAAGTCATTAAATTAGGATTTGTCTTCTCGGTCGTTTTTAGCTTTCCGCTAGTCATATTTCCATGTAGAGCTAGCATGAATTCTCTTCTTTTTCGCAAGGTGCGTCCGTAGCATCGATGTCATTGCACAGCATAATTTTAAGATCTATTCCTGTATTATTTTAACATACTCTATTTCAATTGTCCTAGGTTCACGGTCACGACTCGTCTAGTAATTACATTCCAGAAACAAAGTTCAGGTGTCTAACGATCGTCATCGTGGTAGCCTCCTTAATTGTTGGAGTATTAATTCCTAACATTGAATTTGTTTTGGGATTAGTTGGATCAACAATTGGAGTAACCATATGCCTCATATTTCCTGCAGCATTTTTTATATCCATTAGCAGTAAACATACTAATGAAAGATTAATGGCACAAGTGAGAAATTTTCTAACGTTCATTACATACGTGTATACCTTCCCACAAATACCAAATGGAATATTTAAAATTAATAATGTATACTTTTAGATTATATTATTTATTGGTGTATGGATAATGATTCTCGGAACGTACACTAACTTGTATGCGACGGAAGAATCTTCAAACGCGAAGCTAATTATTACAACAAACAAATCTCCTAGTCGTCTAAATAATGTACCTCTTGGCTTGATCGACAAAGAAGTACCTCTCATTCCTGCGATCGTCAATCTTGAGGGTATGAAAATTTATTAAATAATAAATGATCTCATTGAAAATAAGTCACTAACAAATTTCATTTTACACTTCAGAACCAGATTTGCTGAAGAATACCGTTGCTGCGAAAGATGGTCGAAGAGAACCTCCAATTCCAGTAGAGAGAGTCGCAGTTACCGAAAAACCTGCTTTGGGAACCGAAAAGTCAGTTATAGCTGACATAACTGTAGGTTCTTCTCCGGAACCCAAGGTGGTAGCCGATGCAGCTGCAGTCGTGGCTGCCAAGATCTCAGAAAAAATTGAACTTCCTTCGGAGAAGCTGAAAAAAAATTCTCCGAAGGAAGACATGGTCATTTTGAAGGCGGAGGAGAAGATCAAGGTGATAGAGGCTAAGGAACAAGCTATCGCATACGTAAAGGGTGAAAACTTGATACATTCCGATGCTATACAGAAAGAGGAATCCGAGTTGGCGGCCGATGGAGAATTAAATAAAATTGAGGTGGAAGAGAGGCACGAAGAGCTTAGGAAAACGCTGGAAAAACACAAAATCGAACAGTTAGAAATGATACAGGAACAGAAGGAGCTATTAAAAGACCTGAAGGAACAGAAGCAAGAGTTCGAAAAGGAGAAGAAGGAAAGACTGGCCAAAGACGCCGTACAGGGTAAAAGAGAGGTAGTCAAGGTAGTGAAGCCAAATCCGGAGAATGTCGTAGAGAAGGCTAAAGTACCTTTGCTAGTCCCTAACGTGGAAAAGGATAAGTTGGAGACAACCTCCGATGTAATCTTTAAGAACAATTCACCTCCTATGGAAAGTGAAAATATTAAAGTCACGCCGCGCATGGATGACCGCCCTAAAAATATGAGAAAGTCCGAAAAAGAGGAGCGAGAATCATTCTTAAAAGTTAACATTAATAACAACGAAATCGCAAAAGGCGAGAACGATAAGACTGACAATAATTCCGATACGAAACTGATCCCTGTGGCAGGGGGTAACGTTTCCGTGATGAAAGCGCAAGGTCCAATTTTAGATGCTCTATCGCGCAAGAATACCATTCCCGAGGCCAAACAATTTGCTGCTGCAGCTGAAGAAAATAACAAAGACAGGATAATCGTGAGAAACAAGGAACACTTTAAATTGGGAGAGGAGCGGGATGTTGCAATCGGTGACGCAAAAGAAGAGAAGCAGAAAGATCGAGTCGAGGGTGCCGAAGATCCCAAACGGACAAAGTACTCTGTACCTATTGCGCTCATGATGCAAAATCAAACGAAAAGGAACGACAGTGCTGTGAATGATAAGAATAAAAATCTGGTCGGTAGAGACATTCTCGAGAACCACGAGAGGGAGAAGAGGGAATCGATGCGTGCTGATAGCGACGTCAATGTAGAGAAACGTGAAGAAAAATGTTTGCCGACTGGTCGAAATGATTTGAGCTTTGTCGGAGCTAAACAATTCTTACCTGACGTGGAAATCAATTCAGGACTTCCAAGAGTTCTGGTACCATTCTATGACAAAAGTGGAGGACTTCCAAAGCGTTCGGACGATTAATTTTGTTCGATTTTATGGAAAATCAAATCGAAACTGTTACGACTGGCAATTAAGTCTAAGTTAGATATAACTAATTGACATTAAGTAAATATCGAAGTAATATATATATATATATATATATTTCTTACAAATCTAAAAAGTTAAACATAACCATGGAAAGCTATTTCGATCCACCTTCTCTTTCATACTCGGTAGATTTTCTCGCTAAATATATTTCCGAGGTATGAAGAAATCATAACTGTAATTGAACATTTTCGTAAATACCGCTGTCTTCTAATATTCAGCTATGGTAAAAGCACGTGACTTGAAACATTTTGCCATTTCCTCCAATCAGAATACGCGTTCCATCTCATTCCACTGTCGTCCATGTTTGCGGTAGTCTTGTTTCCCGCCTTCGATTTGGCTGCGTTGATTCACGATCTGTAATCGGGTTCAGTGATACTAGGGAGTTCTTGCTCCAAAATTATTAATTGTATTACTTAACATAAAACCATTCACTTATTACATCGAATACATCCCATCAAACATCATGCCAGTTGGTAAGTATTCTGCATTGAAAGTTTCAACGAATTCTAACCTCACAATTTGTCTTTATATAGACTTTTCAACAATTAAATTACAAGTAATAATCTTATGATTATTTATTAAAATTTACTCATAACTGTATGTTTCTTCTTAGATTTTGGAACTTGGAATGTAGAGCACTATCTGAAGAACTTGGACACCTGTACACAAATTCTGGAGAATTCTGATGCCCTTCAAGAAATTCCATCCCTGAATTGTTTGCCATTGCACGATTTGAGACATGGACAATTAGTTAGATTTCGTGGGATGATTCAAGATATGTACGATCCTGAATATTATTTTGAACACTATGAAGTGGAGAATAAGGAAACGGGTGAATCTTATCTTCGCTGTGGAAAGTATACAGATTGTGCACGTTGTTCGGTAATTATGAATACATTTTTTTCAAACTGCATGATAATCATTGACCCGCTGGATGCAATTTTTCAAATACATTCCCGTACATTTCATTGACGTTCCGGATGTATTGCAAGGGCCAATAATAAAGCAAAGGACAGTTATAGGTGCAAGAGACGAAAAGTATTGTTTCTCTTGTGTATGATACTGCCTACAAATCCATTTTAGAGCAAGAATTTTAATTTCTTTGATATCTTGTTTTTTATTGATAGTAAATAATTGTTTTTTTAAATGATATATGTAACAGTCACAAGAAAGTATTCGAATGAACTCTGAAAAAAACCAAAGCTGCGAACGTCAAACATACATCCTTATATCGATACCTGGTTTAAATGATTGGGCAAAAGAGAAAAATGTTACCATTAATAAAGAAGTCGGTAATATTAGCAGTACTTGTAACAAAAGGAATTTACGTGACGACGAATCCGAAGATATGGACTGTTCAGAACCCATTTCAAAAAAAGAAAAAGTTTCATCTGATCCTGATAATCCATTTAACGAATCTAAACCTCAGAGCATACAACCTCAAGAATATGTTGCAAACTTTCCAATTCCTATTACTAATGGGAGAACCTGCATTGTAAAGGTACAGAAAATGTTTTCTATTTTTCAAACATATATATGACATGACTTGAATGTCTTACCGGTACATACTCCATTAGGTTACAAGGAAGTCTGTTGACTACCTGCAACTTATTATTTTCAGATTTATGAAGAGAGAACAACATTCAAATTGAATCAAGTTCTCGATGTCATTGGATTTGTGTCTTTGGATCCTCGGCAAAGTTTGATTTATGACTCGGAGGAGAATGATCCTGAAGTAAGGACACATAATCCCCCAGCATCTTTGGTGCCTCGATTACACGCATTAAAATTGATTTTATTATCAAACTCAAAGAGCAACTTTGGTCCACAAAATTCACCAGCGATGTCGATACAACATATTAGAGGAGATTTGCATATGGTATTAAGCCAACTGCTCTTTGGCGACGAGCTAGCAGCGGAATACTTAATTTGTCACATGATCTCATCCAAGTAAGGATATTTCCATTCTTGAACTTACTGTTGACCTTTCGTTTCATGACAAAACTATATGTCTTGTTTTTTACAGTTATATGAGAAACGATTATCTATGCTTAGGATCTTTTCCAATGAATATCACCGATTTTCCTATTACTCGATACACATCATTTCCAAAGGAACTCTACGAGGTACTGTCCGAGTTTCTGCCAAAGACTCATTTCTTAGAGATTTCTCTCAGCTGTCTCAACGACGCAAACTTAACACCTAAGTAAGATTAATTGATCTATCGAGTGACATTTATGGTTTTTCGCAAATGTAACCATTAACATTGATCTTTATCCTTTTTAATTTTTAGGAAGGACTATGACACAAATAGATTAACAAGCGGAGTTCTTCAATTGAGCGATAATACTCATCTCATCATCGATGAAACTAAATTAAGTAGCGGTCAGGTTACTCAAAGTGGAAGGCAGAATTATGCTGCTATTGACAGTTTAATAAAATTTCAAAAAGTTGCATACGACTTTAAGTATTATACAATGGAATATGAAGTTGACATTCCCGTGTTGATTCTATCCGAAGCAAAGTCCTTCGTGCCAGTAGGTGAACACTCAAGAAGTTTTAATTAAAAAATATCTAATTCGTGTAACAGCGTATGGGTATTAAAAAAATTGCCCGTTTCAGGGTATCATGCAAGTCCCTTTAAAAACCGAGGAAGAGACGTCAAATCTCTATCCCCAAATTTTGGAAGCTACCAAACATTTTCTGAAGGACGAAAATCGATTGAACGATATTCGACGATATCTGGAGGCATCGAGACATGCAGACTTTCAATTTAACGAAGAAATCAGCAACGTGGGTAACAAGATTGTTTAAGTATAAAATGAAAGCCCGATTGTAAACCTATTTGAATCGTCGAAACACCTCATCGTAGATCATTCAAGAAGATTTTGTAAAGATGCGGCAATCCGATAAGAAAGCTGACGCTGATCGTTTACACGTACTAATGGTCCTGGCCAGACTGATATCGTTATCACACGGAGCTAATACCGTAACTGTCGACTATTGGAAAAGAGCTCTCGCAATGGAAGCGGAAAGAATTGATAGATTATCGCTCCTACAGACATCCAAGTAAGCCTTCGTTTCTGACAATTATGTATCGAAGACCTATCAATATTTGTCATCGTTACATTGATCCAATTGGGGACCTTGAATGGTACAGAAGCTCCCGAATGTTATTTTCTACCACGATTTCGTTTAAACTCTCGGTACATCGAAAGAAACGTTAAACCGCTTAGTTTAATGAGACCCGGTTCAAGGAACTATATCTTTCAGAAGAAAATGAATGACCAACTCGAGCAGAACTTAATCCAGCCTTGCGGGCTCGCCAACTGAAGTTCAGCTCCGCAAATCGAAAGGCTTTTTAAAAAGGAAGAAGAAGAAAGGATGGGTCGTCGTTACATGTGAAATTACAGATCTGTGCGTAGTATTTATATTATCATCAACATCATTCGTAACAAAAGGGGTACGTTGACGTGCAAAGTCGTCGACGCGCATTGACGTCACCGTAACCCGTGGTCAATAAATCGACAGTCTTATCAACGCTCGTGTGCTAAATTCCATTTCGTGGATATCTTACCCCCCAGCACCATTTCTTCCGAGGTTCTCGCGATGAAATGAAACTAGTATTTGAGCGCCATGCAATATCTTTGCGGACATTCTTGGAATATTTTTCCCGCTGGAAAGATATTTAAGAAAACTCGCCTGCGATAAGGACGTTTAAACGACGCGAGGCATGCGCGAAACACCTGATTGCCCTCGTATCGAGAAACATGATATGTCTGTCGAGACGATATCAAATGGACGGAAAGTGAAGTCTAAGTCCAGCTCAAGGACGCCTCAATATACACCATATAACTTTTCACAGGCTCACGAATTGGAAATTCTCGTCAACGCCCGTGGAAAACAACTAAGAACACCAGGACCGTATTCCTTAGTTTAAGCGAATCGTACAGCCCGGTTCGATCTTTCGAACCCGAAAATCATTTTACGGTCTCGGCCCTCCCTCGTCGTCCAAGTCGGCGACATCAAGGACCCTCTGCACGGTTTCCGAATCTCTGGGCCGGATGCCAAACCTGACTTCTCGTTCCCGTCGCACGATTTCCAGCCCCTTTTTGGCTGCTTGTGCGTACCTCTTGGAGAGGGCGACTTCGCTCCTGGCTCCTGGAATGTGCCCAGTGTAGCCTACGATGGGCGGATACTCGGGAGACACTTGACTCTCTGAAGAAAGTTTCATATCATTGATCGGTAAATATGTGATCAAAGAGACGTCGCGTAAAACCATGTTTCTAACGTTAATATACGCCAGATAGTTTGGCCGAAAACTCGTGAAATACCGGGGAATTATTTACCGAAGAAGGTTCGTTCCCGTTGGTGACCATGGTCGATCTCGACATCGACGTTGTCGGCCCTAGCTCGTGCCAGCAAATTCCCAGGATCGGACTTCTCGGCCCGGATCTTCATGGTGTCCCTGCGAGTTCTCAGTCTGCATTGCGTTTCGCGCCATTCCCTGCCGCCCTCTTCGACGGCCCTCCTGAACGGAAGTCCGTACCTGTTGCTAAACCCGGGAATATACCCTGAAAGGAATGACGATTGCTTTCAAGAAGCCGCATCTCGGGTAGCGGCACAATACGCGAATCAAGAGACGGAACGACGCTTTGGAAAATCACCCGTGTATCCCAGAATGTAAGGCGGGGTGTCGTAGGGATAAGACTCCAGCGGAAACTTCCGTTCTCTGACGATAAGAGGATCCTTTTCCTTTCTCGCATCCCGATCCAGCGGCATGAGGGCCAAAGCGTCGTCATCTGCCGCGGGCCTGTACGGCCCAGTCTTCAAGATGCGTTTCTCGAGCAATTCCTAGAATCGAGGAAAAAACCTGAGGAAATCGCCAGGGAGAGCAGATTTCCCGCGGGAACCCGATGCTCACCTTTGCGATCTCTCCGGTGCAGGCGCCGAATCTCTTCCCGACCCGGAACTTGAGCGTTGGGCAGTGCCCCGTGTACCTATCGTAACCAAACGTTATCGTTAGTTCCTATATCTCTCTATTTAAAAAAAAAAAAAAAAACAATTTTAAGATCAAGTCGTTGCAATAAATACATGGAGTCGATTCTCCGCCTCCGTCTATCCTCGTCCATTTATCATTTTGGTTCACTCGTTATCTTCCTACAGGTGCACCCGGGTCGTTCTCATTCATCGATCCGGAGAGGTGCGTCACGTGCAAGCTCGCAGACGAGGTGAGTAAATAAATGGTAAACATCGCCTGGAGACGCCGATAATACGGACGCTTCCGTTATACGAAAGGTACGAATGCGCGGTAAATCGAAGATCTACCCGCGGCTCGATGAAGCTAAAAATCGAGACTATCTTTTGATGGCTATTTCCATTCCCATTCATATATTTGGTCCGCTTTTTGGTTTGCTTTATCGCCCACGGACGAAGCGGGTCATAGGTGGGCGATCGCGCGTAACGACCGACCGGTAACGGTAACTAACGACGACGAAGGAGCTCCCGGCTTTCTCTCGGCTCCGTTTCTACCGCTCGGGTCGATACGTCCGAAGGAAACGCCCGGCTTAAAAAGTTCCTTATCGCCTCGGGTGGACGAATTTATCGATACCCGGATCGCGGAATTCTGCCGGAAAAGGCCGGAAAAGGTCAGCCTCGCGGGCAATCCCGTGCGTGACGCGAGCGCTGGTACGGGGTCGTACGACCTCCCCTGGGGTGCCGCAAAAGGTCGGAGGGCGCGGGACGTTGTTTGAAATTCTATAAAAACGACAAAACTTGCGGAACGGTCACTCGGGGCCATTCGAAATTAGCGCGCCAACTTTCCTCGCGGGTTGCGCAGCGCGCGAGAATTGCGCACGACTCGCAAATTTAATTAGCGCGGGAGCGCGGTCTACCTCGGCGGAGAATCAACGCCAGGAGACCGACGCCTCTACGAGTAGCTCGATATAAATCGGAATCGAATTAAAACGTGGGGTCGACAACGGAACGCGGAATATTTTTCCATCGAAGGGGGAGAGCGCGTGCGCGAGCTTACCCTGGCACGTGAGCGCCATAGCCTTGGCGGAAGAAGGCCTTGCGCTGCTCGTCCGTCACGGGATCGAAGACCATCCCGGCGGTCGGACGTCCGATCGGGTCCGATCCTTCGAGGCACTGGCGCGACGGCCGCCGCGTCGCCGCGTCGCCGTCCGCGCGCACCCTCGCCGTGGCCGCCGCCACGCGACGAGGATCGGATCGAGTCGGAGCGCCCTCTCGGCCCTGAAAAGGCTGAATACGTCGAATCCCGAAAGAACGTTGCATCGCTCGGGGCCGGGGCAAAGAACCGCAAAGAACGAAGGAAAAGTTACGCGGACGAGGAACGGAGCTCGGGCCACCCGCCCTCGTTTAAACGATGGCGCCAGTGCGCTCGTGGCGCCATCCGTGGGCGACCGCGCGAAGCTCGGGGGGGAGAGGGCTCGCTCCGAGGAAGGGCCCCAAACACTCGGCAGTGCGCGCGCAGCCTCTGGGAATAATCCTCCGTGACGTCGGAGCGGTCCCGTCCCCTGCGCCGCCGCTGGGGTGCCCGGTCGGTCTCCCTTTTGGGATGAATTCAGTTCCGAGAAGGAGGAGCACCGAGGAGCCCGCAGCCTCCTCGCGGCCGCGTCCGACCCGGTGCGGCTCGTGAGTACCGCCGAGCGAGAGAACGGCCGGGAGCGTTCGAGAGGAAGAGGGGCCTGTGGGCCCGCCAGACCTCGGGATGGACACCCTGAGGGAGCAGGTCATGATCAATCAGTTCGTCCTGGCCGCGGGCTGCGCCCGCGAGCAGGCCAAGCAGCTGCTGCAGGCCGCCCACTGGCAGTTCGAGGTGAGCCGCGTAAACAAAACCCAAAGAAAATGGCCGCCGCCGCCGCCGTTCTTTCCCGATCCCGTCAATGGGTCGCCGACGTGCGGAGACGCGCCGCGAGAGCGCGCGCCACCCGCTCCACCTTTGTTTTGACTCTCGGCCGGCCCGGACGGCGCCGCGATGCCGATGTAAACAAAGGTCGATCGATCGTCGTCCGAGGAGCCTCCGGCTGAGAACCTCCGGCTGAGAACCCCCGGCCGAAAAATAAATACGTCCTCCGACACGTGCCGATGCCGCCTCGACGAGACGCTGGACGCTTCCTTTCGAGACTTCCGTTTGTCCATTTAGGGCCTCTCGTCGGGCCTCTCGTCGGGCGGATCTTACGTAAAGCGTTCCGCAACGGGACGGGCGCGATTCCGTTTGGTTTTTGGATTTCGGGGTCTCATTGCGTTTCCTTATCTTGCAGACGGCGCTCAGCATATTTTTCCAAGAGGCGGCGATCCCCTCCTGCCAGGGCCCCGGAGCGCACTTCGGCCAGGTGAGTCCGAAAGGGCGAGAGACCCTGGAGACGGGACTCGCGGTGGCGACGTCGATCGCGTCGAAGAATGTATTTATATCGTTGACCTCGCGGCGAAATGGCCCGCCGCGACGTCTTTTGACGTCGAGAGGACTCCTCCTCGACGAGGCTAATCCATGAGCGATCGCGTCCGCATCCGCGTATACGTACATTGACGCGCGCTATTGGTCGCGTTCTCTTCGTCTCTTCGAGGTAAACTTCAAGTACGTAACGCATACCGCGCGGTCGCTTATGTAACGGCCTTTAGCGAGTCCAATCGAGGGTCCAACGTCGCCGCCGAAGATGCCGAAGGAGGAACCCGTTTTCTTTATTTTTCGCAATTTTTCCGTCGGGAGAGAACCCTCGACTTTTCGGGACTCGTCGGAAGGAGTCCTCCTCCGTCTCGCGTCGGATGGGCCGGGTAAATAAACGGACAACGGGCCTCGCGATGGGTACGATTTAAATACTTCTCTCTCTCTCTCTCTCTCCTTTTTTTTTTCCCCTTGTGTCTCAACCCACGCGGCCTCGACGTTAGGAAGTCGCTCGGCGAGTTAGCGTAATGGATAGGGGGAAAGCGTTTATCGATTAAGCGGAGAAAACAAATAAAAAACTACCTGGCCGATTATCCCGGCGCTCGGACAATCGACGGTCTTTTTTTTTTCTTTTTTTCCCGAATATTCGATTCGCCGGCCGGAGAAAGTCGACGGACTTTGCGGAAACCCCTTAAGCGGTCGATGCTGCCGAGGCTATTTTCTCGGGGGGTGTTTTTCCTCCCTCCTTTCTCTTCTCCTAGCCCCCGAGGCGAGCGCATTCCAAAAATACCGCGTCTCCGGTTTGTTGTCTCGTGTTTACTATTACGAGCAGCTGCGCGGGGGCGTCGACGTTCGTTCTCTCCTCCCGAGAACCGTGATCGCCGACCACCCAGGGAACGCGTCCGCGTGAAATCGCTCCTATCGGAGTGCCAGGACAATCCGCTGATCCGATGTTTTCCCGATCTTGCAGATAACGCCGTGCAACACGCCGGCCACCCCGCCGAATTTTCCGGACGCCCTGCTGGCCTTCTCAAAAATGTCCGCCGGGGAGAAGACTCCTTCGGGTAACGTGTCGATTCGTCGTCGAGAGAGGTCTTCGCGATCTCGGCGTACGTCCGATTCGACGAGTCCTACTTTTTCCAGGAATGTCTCCGAACCAGAACGGACAGCAGGGTTTGACCGCGCAGCATCAGCATCAGCAACAGCAACCGCAGCAGCAGCAGCAGCAGCACCACGGGAGCCGATGTAGCGTACCCGGGAGCGCGCAACAGCAGACGCAAGGGCCGCAGCTCGGATTGGGAGAGCTCCAGAGGTAAAATCCAGGGAGAGAGAAAGGAACGGTGATCTTCGGATCGGGGAGCGACCGGAAGGATCTTTTTTCCTTTTCCCTCGGCGCCCGACGGGTCGAGGAAGACGCTCGACCGGTCGCAACTGGTCGCACCTGGATGGGACTTCTGGTTCCTGACGCGAACAAGAGCGCGAAGGGCGGCGAGGAGCCGAGGCTTAGACCAGCCGCGACTTTTGCGAGGCGATCGGTCGAAAAGCCATCTTCGCGAAAGAGGGCTCTTGGGCTCGGAGACGGAGACTCGAAACAGCCGTGAGTTCATCGGGACGCTCGGCCGAGAGCGAAGCGAGGATCGAAGCTCTGGGATAACGCGACGAAAAGAAGACTTTCTTCGATTTTTAACGGCGACGACGCGTGCCCGAAAGTTGACGCCGTGGCCGCCAGGTGACGCGAGAAGCGCCGCGCTCGTTCTCTTTTTCTTTTTTTAGGACCGACTAACGAGACGTTTCGATAGCTCGAGGACGGGGCCTCGCGACTCGGTCCCCTCCCTCGTATAAATTGTTTTTGTAAATATTGCGTTCGAATTAAGGCGGCGAGGATTTTCTCTTCTCTTTCCGGAGCGTTCGAGGCAGTCGCCGTGGCGCGCTTACCCTCTCTCTTCCCTCTTTCGCTGTGCTCTTTTCGGGCGGACCCTCTCCGCTTGGAAACCCGCGGGGCCGTTAAACGATCGCTCCTAATTATGTTACTATATATATGATCATTATCGATATTACCATTATCGTTTAATTTACAATCTATTATAAATAATGTTAAATGTACATAATTATGAGAAAGGAAAAGTTATATCAATAAAATCATTAATAATGGTGCTTTCATAGAAGGGCATCGTATCTTGCCCGATTGATCGGGAACGTCGATCAGCGGATGACACTTGGTGTTTCTCCGTCCGTTTCAAAACTTTATGTACATTTGACGCGAGTTCCGTGATAAATCGACGGCTTCGTCCGAAGCGGATCCTGAACTTTGGCCTCTCTCGGGAAGACCTCCCTTGCGAGCCCGAAGTAGCGCGAGCCTCCTCTTACGTAGTTTCGTTTCCTTCCTCTTTTGGTAAGGTAATAAAGGAAGGCGTTAAACCGTGTACTCGTTACCTGGCATTACCTTTGCAGCACGCAACGTCTCGTGAATCGATCGGACGGTCGGTCCCGACTAGACGAGTCGCTTCTTCAAGGCGTCTCGACGCCTCTTCCCAATCCTGTCCACCTGTCGGGAACCGGAAGGAAGTAACGGTGCATCGCGGCTATGAAGCGAGCTCGGTACTCCTCGGGGGAGACGATCGTGGGCAACTTGCCCTGACCGCCCAGGATTCCGGACTTCTTCACCATCGTCTCCAGCTTCTTGTCCCAGGTAAAGGTCCTTATGTAATCTGCGAAATTAGAAACGAGTCGAAGGAAGATCCGGAATCCGATACGGAACCGATCTTACCGATTATCCCCAGGACGAGCTCGTCGGAGTTCGGCTCCAGACCCACCAGCAACGAGTAGTCCATCACCGAGTTGTCCGCCAGGAACTTGGTGTCCTTCTCGATGGCCTTGTTCAGGACGGCCTTCGAGTGCACCCTAATGTACAGGGGCGAGTCGCAGCTCACTGGAAGACGAATTTCACGTCCGAAAGCGCCTTGAACGATCGCGACGCAAAAGAGCCCAGAAAGGAGACTCGTAAAAAATTCGTATCCAGAATTTACGAGGACTCACTGTTGAGGAGATTCTCGTCCAACAGGACCAACTCCCCCTCGTGAACGGCGTCTTCCGGGTTCACCAGTCGGTTCCTCACCGAGCCCTTCAGGTCGAACTTGTCCGTGATGGTTCTCCCGTAGAACAAGTTCTCCATGACCAACAAACTGGTGCGCAGGGCGGCGTTGGTCGTGTCGTTCTTGAAGGACACCCGGTAAACCCCGACGATCTTGCCCAGCAAGGTGGGCTGCCTCGTTCGCTGGCACTTCTCCATGTAGGCGAAGTAGTTGGGCGCGAAGTCCAGGAAGATCTGCATCTCCAGGCGGGACATCTCCTTCAGGATGAACCTATCGTCTGTGGACGAAGAAACGATATGGGAAATGAACGGGATCGGCGACGAGGCGGTCCCTCGGTACCTCGAGTCTTGCAGAACGCGCTGCCGCTCTTGCCACCCCGGGCGGCCCACTGGACGCTGCGACTGAGACTCCTGGTGAACCCGTCCTCTCCGCAAGGGAGGACGCTCTCTCTCAAGGCCGCGAACTGGCTCGCAAAGTACACCCTGCAGAAGAAGTTGGTCGTGGCGTCGTTGAACTGCACCTCGATGTAGTTCTGCTGCTTGACGGCCCTCTTCTCCTCCTCGGCCTCCTGAGGGTTCGAGGAGGCCTCCGGGATCGCCGGACCGGCCCCGGCCCCGGCCGTCGTCGAGACGCTCGAGGAGTCGGCGAGGGTCCCGGAGTTGGCCGTCGACGAGGTCAAGGACTTGTCCGGGTCGAGAGGACTGCCCGGGTTCGGACCGTTCCCTCTCAGGAAAGAGAGCACCGAGGGCCTCTTCGGCTCCGACGGCTGCGTCGCCTCGGAGAGGGCCTCCTTCCCCGAGTCCGGGAACTTGCGCTTGTACAGGGGGCTGGAGTTCGCGACGGAGCGCGGGAGCTCCTGAAGAGCGTGCTTGTAGTCGTGGGAGTCCAGAGCGTACGCGATGATCGAGGAGGGCTCCGTCTCGTAGACCGCTATCGGCACGACGGACCTGTCGAAGAGAGGGGGATCGATAAGTGCCTGGAACGAAGACTTGACAAATGCCCTCACCCCAGGGGCAGCAAATGATGCGCAACGGCCGGCAGCGGGTTCGCTATGGGATCGACCGCGGCGGCCGAGGGCAGCAGCTGGGAGAGAATGGTCTTCTTCTTCCTCTTCCTGTCGGGCGCGTCGTCCGAGGCCAAGGGCAGCACGTCCGAGTGGGACCTGTGGTGAGTCCTGGGGGAGCCCTGGACCAAGGGGGCCTCCTCGATCTCGCCGTCGGACGCCTCGGCGAGAACTGGACGCGCGACCGGCGACGGCTCCACCGAGACGACGTCCACGGCGTTGTAGTCGGCCGACCCCGGACTGCAGTCCTCCAGCTGGGACTCCGAGGCGGTGTCCTCGGTGGCGTCCCCGTCGGCGACCACGGTGTTAACGGTGGCCGCCCTCTCGACCAACCGCCGAGGTCGGTCGTCGCGCTTCCTGGCCGCGGCCACGGCCTCGAGGATCCTGGCGTTCCAGCCAAAGACCGCCTCGGCGATGAGCCTCTTCAGGATAACGATGCCGTCCTCGATGCGCGCGACGAGAGCCTGGACCTGCCGCTCGGACTCCTTGCCCTCGAGCCGCCGGTTCTCCAGGGTGGGCGAAGTCAGCTTCAGCTGGACCTCCTCGATCTTGTTCCTGAAGTACTGCTGATCCTTGGCGAGCTGCTGTCTGGCCTGCGCCAGGGCGTCCGGCTCGACAGGCAGAGTGGCGAGCTTCTCCCTCACGGCGGAAAAGACCTCGTCGCCCTTCAGGGCGACGTTCTTCGTCTCCTCCAGGACGTTCGCCAGTCGCCTCGGGTCGTACTCGACGCGGATGCTGGGCGGCGGCAGGGAGATCTCCCAGAGCGAGATCCTGGAGAACCTGAAGACGGCCAGCATGTTGCCCTTGGCGAAGTACTGGGTGTGTCGGTGGTGCAGCGAGTGCAGGCACTGGGAGGCGCCCCCGGAGCCGCGCCTTCCGTAGACGCCGCCGTGGAATCGAAGCTCCAAGTACTTGGCGAACGAGAGGGACCAGGCGTCGTCCGACATCGGGACCACCGGGGATACCTCCTGGCAGTCGAGACACTTGCTCCAGAGGAGGATGCGCTCGCTTTCCCGGGGTTGGAGCCCGAGGGGTCTGGTGGCCAGCTCGCTCAGGGTCACGTGGACGCAGCCGGAGTCGTGAGTAAAGCGTCTCGCGTGTCGCGATATCCTCGCCCTGCACGCCTGGGCTGGACACTTGTAGTCGGACGTCAGGCAGTACCTTTCCAGGAAACGACCCAGGGCGATGTCGTTCCTCCCGTAGAGGTCCATGTTCACGATCCAAGGGTTCACGCAGAAGGCGGGGGTGTTGTCGCCACCTTGGGAGAAGCTGCAGAAGAGGACCGAGAGTCGCTGGTGGCTCTCCGGGTCCAGGCAGTCCGGCCAGGTCGGATCGCCCTGTTGCCGCTTGTCCTCTGCCTGCTCGACCTGGGGGGATTTACCCGCGGACCTGCGGAGTCTGCTGCCCCGGGCTCGAAAATCCGCCAGCAAGGTCTGCACCTCGCGACACTCCACGCCGCTCGTCAGCTTCGCCTGCACGAACGGGTGCTCCCGCTTCAGCTTCAGGTTCGCCATCGGATCCGCTGGGTATACCGGTCCCGAAGAGGCTCCGCCGCTCGTTCTCGCGCCCTCGATCTTGTCGGTGAAGTACATCGAGTAGAAGACGTCCTTCGGGAAGAAGCACCGCAGGATGCAGTTCCTGCCGGGCTCGGTCTCCAGATACGGGATGGAGAACTTCATGTAGGGCGACACGCTGAGGATGGTGTCCTCCAGGGCTTTCTTGAACTTGTTCAACAGAGGAAGGTCGGCCACGCTCAGTCGCTGACCGCTCGGGCCGTTCTCGTCCTCGAAAATGTCCTCCTCGTTGAGGTACTGGTGCAGAGGGTCGCTTCGATCGCTCACCGACCTTCCGTACGTTCGCTTCTCCTCCGTGGTCGCCTCATCTCGGGGTTTCACTTTTTCTTCCGCGCTCTCGACAGTTTGCGATGGGACCGTCGCGTCGTTCGCTCGATCGGAGGCAACCTTGAAATCTCCGCCTCCGCGATCTTCGTCGCATTGACCTCCCTCCGGCTTCTCCGAAGACCTCTCCGACACGTTCCGCCGTTTCTCTTCCTCGACCGCTGCTCTCGACTTCGGCTTGAACAGCTTCAGGGTGTCGTAAGGGTCGGAATTATCGCTCAGGATCGAGGAGACTTGCCTAAAAACATCGGAACCGGTACCGCTCTCATCGTCGGGAAACGTGTCCTCGCTTCTTCCCGTTTTTGGCTGCAGTTTCTTTGCATCGTGCGCCGTAGAAAAGGGAGAGATTTTGGTCGGCTCCGAAACCTCCGGGTGCACCTCCACCGTCTCGAGATCCTCCCCGGAATCCCGCTCTTCGGCGTCGTCGATCGCGTCTCCATCTGAGAAATCCTTCTTCGCCGTCTCTTCTAAGAAGTTATTGTCCTTCGGGGAAGGAGGTTTAGCGAACTCGTCCATCAGGAAGGACTTTTCGAGTCTCCAGGAGTACGCCGCGAAGATCATCATCGCCGTGACCTTCTTCACCCTCTTCAGTTCGCTCAATGCCCCGCCTCTTAGTAAAATCGTCGAGCCCAGATGCGGATTGGCGCAGCCCTCGAAGTACATCAACGTCTTCGTGCCATCTGAAAGGAAGGGGACGATTTTGCGCCTCTTTCTAAAAAGACCACGCCACCGGTCTCTACGGTGCTCCAGTCTGCGCAACTCACTTCGTCCGTTCGGAAAATTTCTCAGGTAGAACTTCTTACAGGCGCCGAGCCTATACCGTGCCGTAAGATGAGCGTCAATGGTGCTGACGATGTTGGCTCCGGTACACCTGGCCACCCTCTCCAGGACGCTGAGTTTGACGTTCAGGACCAGAGTAACTCCGGATTCCCTGAGCCTGTCCTGAGCCAACCTGGACACCGATCGATGCACCAAAACAACGTCCGGTCCCAAAGCCGTGATGCGTGCCACGGTATGACCCAAATACTCGTTTTCCTATTAAATCATCTCATAATTAGGGCGCTACGCTCTTTTGGCGCTATACGTATACACGTGTTTGGTGCAAATCTCTACGCGGTGGAAGTCATCCGTGCAGGCTGCGCATTACCTGCATCATTACCGGTTCCAGGGTCAGTAATTTCCCCTCCACGCGCTGGTACATCAATCCGCACCGCAGCAAAAGGATCTTCGGATGAGCGATCATGGCGTTCATGTTCCGGTGGGCCACGTTCTTGCTGCAGACCACTCCCGAGACGATCTCGCAGTCTCTTCTGCTTCCTCCCGGGGACTTCTTGATCCGCACGTACTGCCTGATGTCCATGTCGTCGGCGTCGTGGTTCAGATCCGGCCTGACGTGGTCCACTATCTGATGAGAGATCCGCAGGATCGCGTCGGACCAACTTCTGGATAGCCCTTCTTTGCTCAGCAGCTGACCGACGAGGGAGTCTTCGTGCTGCCTGTACGCCGTCCTGGGGGCAGGATGGAAGAGTTAAAAAAAAATAGGATTCGCGTGCTCGTTTAAAATATTCATCGTTCTCTCGTACGTCAGACAATTGTACGCGTCCATTTCTTCAAAGGCAGTCCTCAGGTTGTTGACCTTGTACCAGCCATTCCTCTCCTTGTACTCCTGCACCTGGAGGCTGTCGGCGAAGAGCTCGTCGGAGAATCCGGGATTGCCCTCCTGGTCCTTTTCGTCGGTCGACGGGTCATTGCCATCCACGGAGACGAAAACGAAGTCCTCCGACGTAGGTCGCTTCAGGGTGACGGTCGAGGCTTCCAGATCGAGGTCGAGGTAGAAGCTCGAACTCGAGGACGGTAGACGACCCATCTGCGAGCTCGCGGGCGGATGCTTCGTCTCGCTTTCGGAATCTGAAAACGATCGCGGAGGAATAGGCAAGAAAATACGGTGATAAACGATCCGACCTGTGACCCGTGGTTAATACAATTGCCCCATCGTGAATAGAAATTAAAAAGTTCATCCTCTTATCGAGACGCTAGTTTCTTGACCTCACCGGTCGTCGAGTCGTGCTGTGGAATGGTCTTGACCCAGGCTGGTTCCTGGGCGTCGCAAGAGGCTTGTGCTTCGGCCAGAAAACGTTCCCTTTGCACGCTGGGCAGCTTAACCGGCTTGAAGATCGCCGTCGAGTCGGTGAAGTCGTCCTCGACTAGCTTGGGTTCGATGAAGCCCGCCTCGAGAAGAGCTCTACCGATCGCCGTGGCTTGCACTCTGGAGAACGGTGGAACTTTAATCGGGCTTTACGCGAGGAAGGAGTTCGACTCGCGTTACCTGGTCGCTGCCTTGTTCTGGGCGATCATCCAGTTCACCAGCTCGCTTCCCAGGAAGCAGTCGTGGTAACTCTTCAATCGGATCCTGTGGGTCTGCAAGAGGATCGCCTTACTCGAATGAAATAATTCTTCGTAGATCATTTTCAGGGATGCGGAATTTTGCAATGCCAGGCTACGCTCTTGGGACGTCAAGTAGCCACTGGAAGATCTGAGGAAGATGTCATGGAATTTCGTCGGTGAGACAGGAAGATACGCGAACGGTTACCGAGGTGAGGACGCACCGGCCAAGAGCATATTTCTCTTCCATGTAACCGACGCTAGGTTTCCTGCGCACTTCCACCTCATCGTCGATTATTTCGGTTGCATCCTTTCTAGCTAATGGAGGCGATTCGTTTCCATACTTTACGCGCAGGTCTTCTTGTAGAGCCTTCAGGTCGGCCGTTAAATCGCTTCTCATGTCGGAGGATTGCAGGTACGATAACACGACTTTACAGCAGTACGTGCAAACTCGTAAGTAACCTGGTGAAATATTTATCGGTCGACGCGTGATGGTGTAAAATATAATTTCATCGATTTATGCGTACCCGTGCAGCCCATGATCTTTCCGGGAATTTCGTCGCGGCAACATTTTGAACAGAATATTTGACCGCACACTCTACAATGATGCCGTCTTCGGAACGTCGTGAATCTTTCCCCACACTCGTAGCATTGTTTGCTGACGCTGTCTGGCATCCAATAGCTTCTCAATTGAGTGTCCTTGTAAGATCGAAGGTTCTGCATGAAAATGAATCTTTCATTCGATGGTCCGTCGAGTAGACTCGAATAATAATTTTTAGTAGAATTCTTACGTTACTCCTTAATGCAACAATTTTACTAATACGTTTCAGCACGTTGGGTAAACTACGACCCTCCGAGGTATCCAAAGGAAAATTAACTACGCTAGAGCTATCGTCATCCGGTGTTTTATCCACGCTCTCCGATCGTTTCCATGACTCGGATTCACCGGATGAACTGCGATCGTCGTTATCCGGAGATATCATCGTCTCGTCGTGGCTTGCCGGTGCGTCTGGAACCAGTTTGAAATATACGGTAAATTCTGACTTAAACAACGATGAAAAAGTTAGAAGTCATACTTTTGGCAAATCCAAAGAACTTGGAAAAAAGAGAAGCGACGACGGGTTGACTTCCCTCAGGACTTAGTGGGGCGAATTCCGTCAGTTTAGACGGAGAGTTCATATTCTTGTTCATCTTGCCTACAAGGTCTGCGGATGGAAATCTTTATACATCATTTGGAGTTAAAAATTATAATAGCACATAATGACAGCAAAGTTAGGTTAACTCACTGTCAGTGAAATATCGTATATAAATCTATCGTTCTAGAGATTTGACAGGGATAATGGTGGTTTTAAGACAACAGCAAATAGAACATTGTGTGTGTCGTATCTTCATGCTCCTTTATTCATTGACACTAATCTGGGAAACGGTGTCAATAATTATCAGAATTCATAACAATAAAGGAAGTATCACTACTTAGAACCTAACCTCTCGGAACCTCTCCCAGGTAGACATCTGCCTACTTTCCGTCAATGAATTTACACGTAACATAGAAACGCCTACATTGAATAAAATGGGATGGAGCTCCCTCCCAGGCATACATTTTAGGGGTTGAAATTTTCGATTTGTAACAGGAACATAGGATAACCGAGGAGGGGGGATGGAGCTCCCCCTTCCTTTGAAACTAAGCGGCGTAGGAGAAAACGGAAAAGGAAGTTTCGCTTCCAGACGACGTCCGCCGTCGATCTCCCTGGGTCCCAAGTTCCGGTACCCGAACGGACAGGCTCGGTTCAGGTAGGGGGCGTTCGCGACCGGCGCGATGGATAGGGGACCGGATTCCGCGACGAAACTTCCTTTACCGTTCTTTTCTACGACCCGTGGTTCCGGAGATACAGCGGAAATAAGAATGCTGCGTTCTGATTGGTCGGTTCTTTGGAGGCGCGTAACTCGGAAACTACGCGGCGTAGGAGAAAATGGAAAAGGAAGTTTCGCTTCCAGACGACGTCCGCCGTCGATCTCCCCGGGTCCCAACATCCTGTACCTGAACGGACGGGTAACATCCTAACCCGTGGTAACTTGTTCTAATCAGGTTAGGATAGCGTTGGTAGGTGATGCGTGGGAGAGGAGGAAAAAGGGCGGGGGAAAACAATTTTTTCCGCGCGGGCGCCTATGGATGCCTGTGCGAGGTCCCGTTCGCGTGGTAGGAGAAGGTGGCAGGGGGTGTCTAGAAGTGGGGGAAAA